TTCCGACCTCGTCCGTAATTACGAAGGCCAGTCCCTGATTCGGCCCCTTCTCACAAAGAATGAGACAACTGGCCAAGGGAACTGGCAGTTCGTGGTGGTAAATCCTGGCCGTGCTGTAGTGACTGCCCGAGATGCCCGTCACCCAGAGCGCCATCTTGCCATTCCTCTGATCGACAATGTCGAATGGCGATTGAGCAACGTGGACGAAGATCCCATGGAGCACGACTCTGTGCAGAGTTTCGACTTCACTTCTTTCACAGATGTTGTTTCACGGAGATTTGGCAATGACGTTGCACAATGGGTTGAGGAGGGTGCTTTCATAGCAAGGTGGTGGGCGGAGGAAAACCATAAACGGTGGCAGTATGGGGAGTATGATGAGCGAAAAACAGCATAAAGGGCTTGTAATAGAATAGAAATAATTGCATCACATTTTACATGTTTAACTTATGGCAGAGATGGCGTGTGAAACCTACCTATATTCGCTTTCATGTCTAAGATGTTGGCTCCGGACGAACCATTGAAGTCTTCTCTTGTCTCGATACATGGAAGTCGTCAAGACATTCCATGGCTTTCAAGTTCTTGATGAGCTACAAACCAACACGGATTTATCTCGCATTTCCTTGGAAATTCCTCTTTGAACATTCACTAAACTCCTGCCCCTTCATATCCCATGGAGGCTTCTTGGCTAGAAGCTTATATTGTGAAACACAACATGTGTCCTCGTCATGTGTAAGCTGCGTAGCTACGCCCCCATGGCCAGATACTGTTTGATTCGTCAGCGGCTGCAACTTTATGGCCTTGTGGAATCATACTTCGCACTGATTTCTTCAATGTTATGTAGACTGTTGCGTTTCGTATGCTTAAATATACTACACGTATTCAAGATGGGTTAAAATGAGCAATTTAGCGAGTTTTCGTTTGTATAATCTCCACTCGGAGACTCGAGAATATAACCATATCAATCGGCAATGGTCGAAATTGAACACGCTGCTAAGGCTCTGTAAGTCTTGATAATATTTCATCTATTCAGGTTGAGGCAGCTCATCTGAGATTCTTCACTTCCTAGCCTTTCTGAGGAATGTAGCCTCTGTGTTGCTCCATGCCGTGAGAACTGTCAAGAACGCTGCGTGCCCTTGAACTTGAGTTTTTGCACTGAATTAGTGTCAGCTAATCCTCCGAAACTTTGTACTAGAGTGTTGTAGGGTCGCCTGAGAGAATGTCTAGGTTTAGTTTCATTGTGTTATCTGTTGTCGAGATTCAGTTTCATCATATTACACATGATGGAACAATAACGATCATATAGTCCCCGAAAGCAAAGTTCTGCGTGTATTTCTGTAACTAAAAAGTGTCGATCTTCTATCAAAATGCAAGGTTTCAGCCTGGTGGGCTATACATATTTCAAGTTTTATCCCAACATAACCAGCTCATGAATGCCTTCCAAAAAGTACTCCTGTAAGTGGCCATGTTTCGATCTTAGAACAGCTCATCGTAAAGGTGTTTAGCTTAACAGCCGCAACCACACTGCTTGCAGTCACCCTTAGCGCAGTACTTGTCTTCACCAGGACAGTCACTGGCACTATTACAGGCCATCCAAGCACCCGTTCCCTCTTTGTGGGCAGACCAGCACCACGCACCCCATTCGACCTCCTTGGCACTGCCGCAGTTCTGCCAGCACCAATGCTTGTCGCAACCAACCCTAGGCTTGCCGATGGACGAAGTGCACTTTCTCTTCTGGAGGAGATTGACCTTGGTAGCGTCAGGGTTGCGGCTGTGGATCTTGAGTGAGAGGGGATGCTCTTTGCATTTGCGGAGCTCAGAGACATCAGTGTCGGCGGGAAGGGCATCGAGATCCCACTCTGCGACGCCGAGGGCACCGCACTCAGCTGCGGCGTTTGGGGCCGAGTACATGTTGACGGCGAGGGCCTGAGAGGCGAAGAGGCCGAAAAGAGTAGATGTGAACTTCATTGTGAATAGGAGAGGAGTAAAACTTTGTGATGATGATTGTGTTTGAGTGAATAGTGAAGTGAGAGATATTACTCTGGACATACTCTGCTTCTTATACCTATCTGTGGACTCGACCTTTTCATGGATTTCTCTACATCAGCTCCTGCATTCCCATAAGAGGAAAGCTCCGAACGGTCTTGGATATTCTAGGGGAAGCTGTTCCGCTCCAATTATGTGGCCATAATATCATGATGCCCGATGGACCGTGAGTCGATTCGCAGTGTTCGTATTACCAGAACCCTGTAACTCTGTACAAGTGTAACACAGTAAGGATTGTGATAGAGAGGGAAGCCAATGGGACGACAACGCCCCCATGATCTACACCGTGGAGAAGCATTGAGCACTTCACAGCAGGTTGCAGGGCCTTGGATGGCTGGTCAATTGCCATGTCATCAGACCACAGATACAGCCCTAGGCTGTGGCGAGGTGGAAACCTTATCGTTTCAAGTGGGACTTCACATCCTTACAACAAAAGCTAGTATTCATGTGAAGTTTAAGAAGCTATGTCAACTACTGTGTAGCACGATATAGTAACTTGAGAGCCATTTCCCTCCTGACTTGTTCGGGTATTGTTCGCTTCTGGCTAAATCAAGCCAGCCGTACGAGCCTTGGACCACGGAGAATTCTGCACGAGTCGGGTGTTTCTAATGGGTCCGTGTTGGTCCTGCGTTGTTGGTTGTTGGTTATTAGGTAAATCGCATCCCTAGTTTAAGCTGTTGGTTGTCCCCTGTCAACTCCCAGCAATGCCCCGCCCAATGGGACCATGAGTCGATATGGCTCATTATGGAGGTCAATGCCATCGTGGACCTATCACGGATAGCTGCCTCGTCCAATACGATCGTGATCAGACGCAAAAGTTCCATCTTCTGAGAGGGTTTACCAGCTTCAATTTCGAGTGTTGGTTGTGTAAACACCATCCTTGTCCTTGAGCCCCAAAGTCCACCTCCGCCCCATCGGCACCTTTGCGGCCCGTTCCTGGTTCCTAGGCGGATACGAGATCGACAACACCACTACGGGAACAAAGAGTTCTCTCCCCACTAGTGAATGGCACAGCAAGTGTCGACGTTGAGGATCAACGACATGTTCTGACTCAATGTCATGACATCCAGGTTAACAGCATCAACCAGCCATAGACTGAGGTACTTGGATGCAGTGCGGAAGTGCCATTTGCGGATCAGGCATATTCCTTGGCGAGAAGCATTGACTCTCGTGTTACTGGACTCGATTGCAGCTTTGAATTACCTTGGACCAGATACATCTCTTCCTGTCTGCTTGACCACTGTATAGTGGGACCCAGCCAGTCAGCCTGATTCAGGACATGGCTTGGCCTGCTTTCGGGCTGCATCTCCGGCGTCATAATGCCCCCAATATTGACTCAACCAACAGATGTCCTGCTTCTCTTGGCGATACACCGACACTCTCGCCACTCTCTCGCTTTGACTTGGGGGCTGATGCATGATTTCTGGGGAAGCGGCGTAACACAGTATTATTTTTCACTCACATCATCCTAGAAAACATGAGAGCGAACAAGGGTATCGGGGAAAAGTACGCCTAATTTTCGTCTTGTCATTCGTAGTCTTGCTCCGAAGATACAAGGGTTGGGCGGCTCCTCGCATGGAACGGCCGACGAGCCTAAGCCAACAACGCTGGACCTCAAGCAGCCTACCAGGACATTTTCACCAAGAAAGAAGATGGAGAATTCTATTTTCAGTCGTTATCGACAGGCAAAGTTGCCTTTGTGAACTTCACCTTAGTCCTGACCAAGATATCACCAATGGTGAACGCTCGCTGGATCAACATGGACTGGGCCAAACACAGCAACATCAGTTTTCATGATTAGCTTGATCTTGGCGATACATTATTCAAGCCAAAATCCATATCAGGTTAACGTTTCTGTCTACATAACTAGAAGTCGCGTACGATGGGTTGATGGTGACTATGAGTGGTTTGCCAAGCCTCTGAACCGAGGGCATATCGAGCAAGGAAGTTCAATACCGCATGAAATGCTATCTTCGCCACAGTCTGTGAGAAACCCTCAGTTCTAACGGAAGATCTCGGTAATTCCAGGCATTGTTTCTATTTTATTGACTTCCATGAGTGGTGGCCTGGGAATTCAAGTGAATTGACCTTTGTCCGCAGCATTCGTACCTATCGGGCTACAGCATCTTGATCATACTCTCAGTAAACCTAAGCAATATGCATCTTTCAAAACTTTGTGAACTTTCGTACGTTGATCTAGTAATTTTGTTACCATCACTGTTTCTCGACACTAAAGAGTCAGATGAGCGATGTAAGCATCAGCTATCAGGTCTATCAACCCAAGAAAACACCATGCACGCTTAAGGCAGTACTCCAAGCAGTGGCATGGCGACATTTACTTGGGAGGCAGCTTCCGTGTTGTACATGAGAGAAGTGTGTCTATTACTTCTCCAATAATAGCCTTTCATTCGATGTGCATCTTTTATTACTCCCTGGATACACACTTCTCCACTTAGGCCTTGTTTAAATAAGCATAAACAAGCCCTTTTTTGTTCTGTTGAGACCTTGAATATGGAGGCTGCCTCTAACTAATGAAACTCAAATTATCATGCACAGGCGTTTTGAATTCTACAACTACCAGTAATTTTCTCGTCACACTCACCACTTCCGGCTCAGCCGGCAACTAAGGCACATTTTCTCGTTGCTGTATTTGAAGCTGAATACAGGGTTTATATAACGTGCAGCGTCTGATAGGCTCAAAATCTTATCAGCTTCAATTAAAATGCTCCAAATCCGTGGGCGGCCGTTCCAGGCAGATCTAGCGCTGGCGCTATCGAACGCCATGTTGGATTCGAGGGTTATAATCAAGCCGACTAGACCAGCAGCTAAACGGAATCATCTGATGAAGTAGAGTGCATTATCAATCGCTTGTTGGAGAGTTGCTGAAATGCTATAAAGAAACACAACCCCGGTGGACCTTCAACGTGGCAGTGAAAGCATCTTTAACTTAATGCAGCATGTCAGACCCTATCACCGCTTCGATACAGATCGGCATCTCAGCCGTAAAAGCCGGCGCAAGCATCGCGACATGGTGGGAGTTACGCCAGAGGAATAAGCGTGAAGAAGGACAAGGCTCAACCTCTAGTGGAAGAGGCGCTGGCCTTGATGATATCTATTTGGTTTTTGCCTCCTTGGGCCAGCGCTTGATGGCACTCGATGTCGTGAACTACGACGCTTTGCCGCAGGCCCTCGCTGCTGTCAAGGTTGCGATGGACATTTCAGAGGATGATCTCACTTTTGAGTTGGAGCGTCTTGATCCCATTCTTCAGTATCTCATCGCCTGCAGCTTCATGTTCTGCGCGGCTTGTCACCATGCCCATCTACTATGGATACGGATGCGGAGTTATGAACGATACAAACTGGAGCAATCCTGAGAAGCCGACTTATTGGAATCTGGACATCGACCAGGCCATAGCATATCTGAAGAGTGTCCCGCACCCTTTTCAATTGCTCAAGAAATCACCTTCTCGCATTGGACACAGCGAACCGTACTATGAGAAGTATGACAAGAAATCTTTGAAGGCTGAGGCTGCGGTTGTTGCGGATATATTCAAACAGATTCACAAAGTCGGATACCCTCAGCCACTACCGCCATACGACAACATCCGCATCAACACATGGAGTATGCCCTTCGCTACATATGGCGGCTCAACTATGTACGCCAACGTCGGCCATGACACTTCAGGCATCATGACTTGGCAGCTGGACCCCGGGCGGTTTCTGTACGCGTGGACTGTCGGCGAGCGTGCTGACCTCCGACTCGGAGAGGCAGTTTTGGTACAGGATGAGCATATTGGAGCATTGGCATCTTGGCTAGAGGGGCTGAATGGAATCACCTTCAAGGTGCTTCTGGATTCAGACCTTGACTGGTCTAAGCTCAAGCTCAAGCCATCAACGAAGAAGTTCTGTGTGGCACAATCTGGTAATGAGTACAATATCAGAGGCATCCCCGATGTCATTGTGCGGAATCCTGATCCGACTGCGCTTTTAGCTGCACGACTTGATGCGCTTCATATGGTGTCCGTTTCAGTGCCTTTTACGAAAGTGAAGGAACAAGCTACGACTTCACAGGCACCATCATCTCCTACTCCTAGCTCTCCTCAACCACAAAGGGTTTTCAGCTCTCCACCTGCATCGCCACAATCACAGTCTACCATGTCCCCATTGCCAATGCCAGAGAAAACGGCTCAGACCCAGTTTCACCAAGAATCCGAAGTCCAACCCACGTTGCCTTGGGTCGACTCTACGCCGGTGACACCAATCAGCCCCCATGTTTCTATACCGCACAATGCTACTCCGGATCCTGCCACTCCTCTTCCAAAGGGGTGGGAGTCTCGACTCACTCCTGATGGTCAGATTTATTATGTTAATCACATGGATCAAACCACGTCGTGGACTAAACCTGTTGCTCCCGTGCTTACTCCTCTGCCACCTGGGTGGCAGGAAATGCGCACGCCAGATGGGATACCCTACTATGCCGACCATAATACACACACGACATCGTGGGAACGGCCTCCGCCTGCTGAGCCAATTCTGCCGACTTATCAGTCTGTAGGTGCAGAGTTTAAATCAGAACGAAGGGCTCAGTCTTTCGGTGCAAGAAAGTCTATATCTGCGAGTACAACGAGTACCACGTCCAGTTTGCCCTTTTCTGATAAACGCTCATCTATTAGCATGCAGTCGGAAGCTACAACGATCGTGAGCAATTCTCAACAAAGTCGTGTCAAGCTGAACAACTACTCCAACCCTCACCCGCAAAGATCTCGACAATTGCTCAACCCGTATCTATATCCCGCACAGGGGAAGACGGCGTGTTGGGTGGCAGATGTTCCCGTTACACCTGATATTTATCAAAAGCTACCATCTGATCAATATGAGACCTCATACATCAGGCATACCGCCCTTGCCGGTCAACCTACAGATCTTCAGAAGCTAGACTATTCTCTCCGCCAAAGGGGCCGCACTGAGCTTGTCATCGGCTTGAATTTGCATAATGAGTCAACCTACAAGCGTGAGGTCATCAACGCCCAGCTGATCAAGTCTCTTGGAAGCATCTTGGAAGTATTACGGTCACATTCGTTCTCGCGGGAGTTCGATGAAAGATGTCCCATGGCTGCGCCAGACCGGCATCAGCTTCTTGTGGGATATCCCTTCTTCCGTGCCTCTTAGTGACAGTAAGAAGGCTAATGGCCAATTCTACGATGATGCTCACAAAGCCACCCGCAAGATCCTTGGCAAAGAGGTGAAACTGAATCTGAATGAGGTAAGAGGCTCTCCATGTCTACGTCGACTCACAGAAGTTAATCAATATTCACAGTATACGACGACTTTCCATCTACAAGACTGGGAACGAAGCCAGGGACTGATGCCCGATGTCGTCTCTGGTGCGGATCCGGTGCAAATTGTGCTATGCTCGACTTATCGTTCATGGACGGGATCTTACGCTACAGACTCCTTCAAGCATATCTGCAATTTACTGGATGCTAGGTTGTGTGTTTCAGTGCCAGGTGGAACGACTGTGACGGGTGGCTCACTTGAGAAACAATGGCAGCTTTCGCAGTACAGGAAGAAACCAGCCGAGTCAGGGGAAGATGCTCATTGCGAGGAGTATCTGGGATAAGTAGATGCTAGACAACAGCCTGTCTCGTATCAACCCCGAAAGCAAGCAGAAACTGTAAACATAATACGAAGCCATTAAGAAAATTACAGGACGGTCAATTTGTGTTCTCATGACAACTTGCTTCGATGTCTAATTTACCTCTTGATTTATTACATAAAATACAAGCATACATGGGCACCTAACAGAAAGGACAGTTCTACCGACATTATGGTATCTTAAACATGAACTGAAACTGAACTGCAGAAACGAAGACCTCTGTTCACTCATTGCTTCAGTGTCTTCGACTTCCGACTCAACTTCCACGATGACAGTTTATTGGACCATTTCGACCCAGAGGGGTCAGATTTACTCCTCGTCGCCGTTGGCGGTATTTCCAAAGAATCTTGTCTCACATCACCCGGCGCGTTGCCCTCGAGTTCAGGCGGTTGAACGTGAAGCTCGACAAGTTTGTTTGCAAGTGAAGGGCCAATTTGTGTGGTTGTTCCTGAAGTATTCGATGCCATCGAAACATGTCCTTCTTTTGAGCCGACCTCGGTTGAATCAAGCTCAAGAAGTTGTAGCTGATCAGACTTCTCGTCCGACTTCGATAACTGCGAGTAGTCGACTGCGTCGCCAGGCAACTCTGAGATAGTAGGCGCGGCATCCATCTCGACAGGCCCTCCTGGCTGTAGGTCGAGACCGACGCTGGAGGGGCTTCGGAGGGAAGTGTAGTCGGGAGGGTTGCCAAAACGATTGCTATAGATGATCTCTTCGACAGATGATCTCAGCTTGTTAAACTTGAAGCCAATGTTGACCTTCTTCAGTGGGATAAGCTGGTCCAGTTCATCGTGGACTTGCTGCTGCAACCGCTTCTCCTTTCCATTGAACGTCGTGATTGTCGTTTTCGAGTAGTACTTGGCTGCATCTTCGATCTGCTTGATGGAAACATATTTTCCGTCGTAGCGAAACGACCTTTCTAGAATAAGAATCATATCGCATGAGCATTTGAGCAGCATCCGAGCTGTAGGAGGAAGTCCCAAAAGACAGCCCGCCGCACCAACAATGATGCCAATTCCCATAGTCGGCACCGCAGCACCAATCGAGATAGCACTAACAGCCGCAAACTGCGACAGAGAAACTCGGAGGTACTGCTTAAAGTTGCTCATGACGATATCCGACATGATCTGCTCGATCTCTGCGGGCGCAGCTTTGGGAAAGCCGAAGCATTGAAGTACATGCTCGCAGATGAGGCGCGAGACAGTCGGGGTTCCGACCAAGCCTGTGCAAGGGAGAGGAACGGCGGCAGTGCGGATTGCATGGGTTCCTAGTCTCATACACTCTGTTATCGCTGAGTTGATCTTCTGTTCAACATCAACGACTTGAGCGGCAACACAGAAGAGACGTACGCGTTCGTCGACGATAAGGCCGAGGGTTTGTGAGAGTAGATCTTTGACACCGGCGTCATCATCTGTTACAGTTAACACCCGCTCATAAGTCTGACAGATGGGTTCTACTCACTCTTTGAAAGGCAGCAGAAGCCGTCAGCTTTGTAGTGCTCAATCTGCGAAAGCTGGTTCCTCAGCTCGGCGAACTGTTCCTCGGCAACAGCATTGGCTTTCATTTCAGCAAGTCGCTTGGCTTCTCTGTAGTCGTCTGTCTTCTCCATGAGCTCTTCCAAGTATTGCATTTTTCGATAGCCAGTGAGTTTATCCTTCTTTGTACCAACGACGAAAACGGGGACTTGGTGTGAGTATTGGGCAATTGTGGCAAAGGTTCGCTTGTCGGCTTCTTCGATACGTGCGACATCGGCGTCAACGCAGAACCTGAGGTCACATTAGCTTACTGTACCGCAAAAAGGAAGGGCAACTTACCAAATGACATGAAGAGCTTCGGCGGGATCTTCTTGGAACGCTCGGTGCCGAAGGAACTTTGCGATCAACTCAAGCTCGGTATCACTACCGGCCTGCCAGCCCCTTGAGTCATGAATCAAGAGTCCGGGATGCTTTGGGGATTCAAAGGCGACGTTGATGTCATGAACTCCCTGATCATATGAAAGAGACTCGTCGGTCATCTCAACACCGAAGACCTTGTTGATCAATGTCGATTTTCCAACGCCCGTCTTGCCGCATACTAGAATTCGAAAGGCTTTGACGCCGCTTGCTTCGAGCTGCATCCCTTGAAGCCATGGAGCCAACCCATCCTCTGTGACAACGAGGTAAGAATCCTGAAAGTCTGAGATTGGCTTCTTGAGGGGTTGGAAATTCTTCAGATCGTTGTATCGGGGGTATCTATCGAGAATACAGAATAGGGAGGGATGGATCATGTTTCCATACGGTCCTAAGTTTGTTAGCTGAATACAGACTGGCAACCCCGGAGTACCCACCAACGTCACACCATCCTTTCAAGCTTCCATCTGCAGCAAACACTTTCCGGCTGGCAGCATGTTTGTAACAATCCGTGTCAAGTTTGATGGAGTGAGTCTCCACGCCGCCCGCCGATTTCTTTGCGTGCATACTCTGAAGGTCAAACATGCTTGTTCGAAGGCCATTTGTGTATTGGAGCCGCCATTCGATCTCTTCTGATCCGTCCAAGGGCGGAAGGTTGCCAGCATACTGCGGGAATATCAAAGACATGGGATTGTCGCTGGCTTTTGAGTCGCCCATATTGTTGACACGGAGGCCAGAGTAGATACTCTCCAGAACCATCCACTGTAGTGGGTAGAGTGAAAGGCCGTCGTGAGCCGTTCCACCGATCATGTCTTCGTGTGTACCGAGAAACCATGCTTGGATAAGTGACCGATGTGTCATGTCCGCATCGTCAGGAATGTTGACCACTTCTGGTGTCTTGCTGGACCTGTTCTCATTTATGGCCAGCGCATGGCGAAGAGTTTCGATTGAAGGGTTGAACGAGATGTCGTAAGATGTCTTTGAACTATGAACGATGGTGTCGAAGAGACCAACAAAGGGTATCCGAGGAGGATCTTGCGCTTCACTTTTGATCTTCTGTAGTAGTACGGGGCCTCGCTTGAAATCATCCTCAAGTTGAGCCTTGATCAGCCCAAGAGATGTATCAAACAAATCATCGAAACCTTGCGTTGTCGGCAGGCCCATTCGATGCACGATGCCAGCAACTGCGCGAGCGATGAAGGCTCCGTGTCCAGAACCGTAAAGCCAGAGCTCATCTTCTGGCCGCTCAAGCGTGAGACAGATGTCCCTAACAATGGTCTTGATGAGGTTTGTCGATTCATCGCTTGTCGTGCTCCGTGATCGGAACATATCGCTCAGCTTGACAGCATTGCTGGGTGCAACATAATACCTGGGAATCTGCGCAACGGGAACTCCGTTCGACTCAACCAGCCCATCGTGTACTAATTGATTGATCCTCTGAATTGTTGACGGGTTCGCTTCCTCTGCCATCAGTCAGCAATAATCCTTGATGCCAAGGTAAATGCTTACTCTTGGTTTCCCGAGCTTCAACTCCGTCTACCAACACCACAAGTCGCTTGACGGGTCTCTTTTCTGACATTTTCGTAACTCAGCGTCTACACGCGCGACTGCATCTAAGCATAAGGGAATAAAGTTATTGTAATAACGCCACATCAACAGAAAAGAGAGGGAGTGACCGTGAAATTAAGCTGGGCGGGGAAACGCATGCTGACATCGACATGGGCGCTCCATTGGACTGTTTTGAGCCATAAGCGCGATTTCCAAATGTGTACAAGATAGCTGGGCGTAAGCAAGGCTGCATATCAGCCTTGTGAATCAGTGGATCTCGTGGTGAGTGAAACCAGTCAAACACGATGGTTAATCAGTAGCGGACCTCCGTTTCCGACGGAGTTGCCTTGGCTGGGGGAGCTAAGCCTGCCATATTTCCGAACGAGATGGCCTGCTTCGTTGATCTTTTGTTGTGGTGTGCTGTAGCCTAGGGCTGAGCGTTTGATGTCTGGCTGTGTTGTGCATCGCCACGCAAAAGGGGGAAGCAGATTGACGACATTGCAGGGGTCATGTCAGGTTTGGCGATACAGCCACATACGTCGATGTTGCTTGGGGGCAATCACCAGAGCCGCATCCTTTGAAATCTAATGTTTCCTGTAGCCAATCAGTTGATGTCGATATGGCAAAGGCGTTTAGATATCGCGCCAGTTAAACAATTGAGGCAGCCCCAGAGCGAGGCCATCTAATTACCAAGCACCATGTCAGCTCAGCGGTAGTTACAACACAATACGAAGCCTGTCGCTTTGAACATAGTCCGAATGTTTCATGTAGAGTTTTCCTCATCCCGTCATTGATACGATTATGGTTAATACAAAAAGCCATATCGGCCTTGATCCAGACTAGTCTCATCCCAATGCCTCATCCTCCCCAACTCGAATCCATACGAATCCGCAACAACCGAGTTCATTATGACTCTGACATTGCGAAGGTCCTCCTCACTATTCTGCACGCAAAACCATGCTATTTGAAGTGGATACACTAACAGCAAGGCGTAACTCGCCGAAGCATCACCACGAAGTGCCCAGTTTGCGAAGCGACAGATCTCTAGGGCCAGGAACTTGTTTTTCGAGTCTTGGTCGATGTTGCTTGTCCCCTCCATGCTGTCAATCGGAAAGAGTGAGATACCCAGGTATTCACAAGGTTGTACAAGACATAAAAGCATGGCATAGCTGATTGCGAGGGCAACACATTCCATAGGGTCGTCCGGAAGAGGGATACCGCTGTTCTCCTTCATGGCCGGATCAGTGGTACATACCCATGGCATGTCGCGGTACCATGCATGCAATTTGTCGATGAGCGATTGTGTTCTGTTCCGCAAAACTTCAACTGCAACAGGGTCTGTCACACTCGCCTTCCGTATGTTATCGTAATCTGCAATAATCCCAGGCGGTTGGGCGAAAATGTCGTACAGAATATCGATCTTATCTGGAGTTTCACCTTCCGGAAGACACCTCGTGCTCTCCCATTGCGGCTGGTCGAGGAAACAATGGCGGCGTTGATGGCCCGCGGAGAGAGTCTTCATCCAGTTAGTGACTGCTTTCCAATGCTCTGTCAGTTGGCGAATACTCACAATGTAATACCGTGCCGCCTGCAGTATTTGCCTTTCGGCTGGCGTTCGCCACGGTTTTGGACCTCGAGCTTGCATCTAGGAGTCCGGTGAGCAAAAGGGCAAAGCCTAGCCGTGAAAGGACTTACCAATCTCCCTAGACCATCATAATGAAGGAGCCAAGCAGTCGGCTGAGAAAACACGACGTTTTCGTACACACAAAGACACATGATGCTCATTAGGGTGCCCATTTCGGTATTTAAGTTGCCGATGTCCGTCCGGAGCTGAGTCAGTGCATGAGAGTAAAGTCTTAGCCCTTGTTCACAGGCATTTCTATCCCGGTTCGTTCTCCCAAAGTACATCGCGGCCAGTGCCTGTACGCATGATTGGTGTAGTTCCGAGTGCTGGCCCGTCAGTAGTTCTGAAAGTATTCCTGGACCCAGTCCTGGCCCGTAGCGCAAGTCCTCTGGTGATAGCTTTGAAAGTGTGTAGGGGAAGAACAGAGTATCCTTCTGCGGTACCAGGCTGACTATCTGAGGCTTGGGGTGCCTTGGGCATTTTATCGAAGCTCTGCCATTGGCGATACGACTGCATTGTAATGTCGCAGATTTCGAAACAGGCTGTGAAGGACAAGCAGTAGTCGAAGTGAACCGAGTTCCCTCGTCGACAAACTTTAGTTGACTATGATACCCTGAACAAGCAAGACCTGCATTTTTACATCGTTGGCAATAGGGTTGCTGCTCATCTACCAATAGTCAGTTTCATCAAACCACTCAACTCTCGACACCGACATACCGCATTTAACCTTGCGCTCAACACAAGTGCCGCACCGTTTTATACGTCTTCCGTGTCGAGCCATGTGGAGATGAGCAAGAAATGAAACAGAGAATGAAAAGATTAATAAACAAGAATAGAAAAACAGGTTAGATCGGACCCGGAACCACAGAGTCGGGTTCGTAGGGCTGTGAAAGACAAAGCTTGGCTGCAGGAAGGGTAAAGGTTGGACGGGGGCCAGGTCTTGAAATACCCCGTAGGGAAAGCGATCAGACGCTAGGACGCCATGCTACGGATCCAGTTAGCTTGGGAGGGGACGTGGCTTCTAAGCGCGTGGAGCTGTTGAGGGATTCGCTTGGCGATGTGGAGGTTCTAGAACTGTAGGGGCAGACAGCCATTGACAAATCTCAACTGGCACTTGGTTCTCTCAGCTGAATTGTCGTAGGGTATGTATCCGGGAGTGCCGACATCCCAGTAAAGATCATGTTGCTTTGTCGATCAATAGCTATGTTATCGGGGCCATCAGAACCCTTTAATGCTCTTCAGGGCCTTTTGACAGTCAGCTAGCCCCCAAGCATATGAGACATTTACGTCACGATACCTGTCACTTACCCTTCTGAGCATGCCGAGCTGGCCTCTGTTAAGGTTTGCTCCATTGAAGGATCGCAGGGGTGTCTCTCTGAAATACCTAATCTGGCTAGATTCATCGTTGGGGGAATATCGGCTGGCAGATGCCGGGGATTGACTCAGCTTAGTGTCCAAAAAGGACAATTCGTCTGCCGCTTTGGCTTAAACAAAGTAAAAATATTGTATCATAAGATTTTAGAACGATAATCATCATTATCGAAAGTGTAAATACGAATTCCTTGGTCCAGGCAAATCCACGATTCTGCGGGGCAGCGACGCTGAGCCCCCTTGATTGGGACGTTGCTGACAAGATGGCCTCAAGCCTTGTACAAGCCTCTTCCAGGGTCCAGACGTATATAAGTGACGATGACTTCCGCATTCTGAACATGACAAATTGAGCAGACCCAAGTTCTCGAACAGCGTTGTGCATTCCACTCCGAGTCTAATTAAAGCATCATCTGTCAACTCCTTGTCAAAATCCACCATGCTTCTCTCCTCAATTAGCCTCGTATGCTTGTTCCAAGGCATCTTGGCACAGACAACCATCATTACTGGAGAAAACAACAAGAACTGTCCTGGCGTTCTCAACAATCCCTCTGATAACAGGGCGTACTGCTGCGTCGGCGGCAAGCTCGACCTCAGCACCTGTGAAGGGTGGCCCATCTGCACTGGCAGTTCTTGGGAACCCAAGTCAATGAGCTGCTACACCACGATCCCTGTCTCGGCATCCGACTATGACTCGCGTGTCAAGAGTGCAAGCTCGAGGTACCTGAATGGTGCCGAGGCATCGGCTACTGACGATGCGTCGTCCGCAACTTCAACTGGTGATGGCGCCAAAGACACGGTTTCGAAGACAACCACCAAGGGAAGCGCGGAACAAACGGCTTCGGAAACGGGCTCTGCGGCGAGCTCTTCTCAGACGGGCAACGCTTCAAACATGAAGACGCCGGGTTCGGTGGGTGGGCTGTTGGGAGGTTTCATGGCAATGTGGATGATCCTGTGAAGCGCTTGAGTTAGCAGGAAGTCTGATATATTTGGAAAAACAAGTTCTGGCGATATATAGTCAAGTAGCCGCTGCAGAGGGCTTAAGAAATCCATAAGATGTTGTGACAACTGACCATCGCCCTTTGTTGAGATGCTTTGACCAGACTAGGAAGATGAGAGTGGTACTCGAATCAGTATTCATTTCCTGCCTGTTTTAAAAATGATCCAAGGTTTCTCCAATCTGCACCCGAACCTTGTATTGCCTGGCGATCTTGTAAAGACTTTTCATTGTGTTGATGTTGGTTCGTTGTTGTTGTTGCTCACTGAGGCCCCACCTCCTTACCTCTCCGCTGTCTTTGGCAAACAACCACGCAGGCACCATCTTGAGCCCCAGTCACGATGCCTTCAACCACATACGACCATACCTGCGGTAAAGTACGGGATCCCGTCTGCTCTCCCTTAGTCAAGCCCGCAAGGGGTGGATTAGTAGTTGGGTCGGAGACGACCAGCGAATACCTGCTGTTGTATGTTTTTTGTCTTATGAACAAAGTGTCAAAGACATGCAACTCTACTGCACTTTCATTTTTGACTGGTTGATTTAGTATCAATTATCCTTTTACGGAAGGGTACTTTTGAGGTGGCAGATGTTTATTGCGGTTTCAAGGTACTAGTTACGGGACTATATAAACCCAATTATTTTGTTAGACTCCCTGCTAGAACATCTATTGCCAACACCCTTCCCATCTCAATAACGGCTCACTCCAGCCAACCACTCTCTATTCCTACTCAGAATCGAGCAACTCGGAGCTCGTAAGGGGTCTCGCCTTGAGTTTGTCTGGTGACTCTGTCAACGACGATAGACCACATGAGCTCGATTTGTCCAGTGTATCGAGGATCTCCAGGCTGGTCGCTCTTGACCTTGACCCATCGATGATGAGGCTGAGCGGGAGGCAGGTCCTGGTCTTTGCGAATGATCCAGACACGGGCGACGAAGTCTGAATGGGTGCCTTCAAAGAGCTTACGCTCCGGCTTGTCGACAACCGGGACAGTCGTTGCGTCTCGGACCTCGAGGGCGGAAAGAGGCGAGAACCACACTTCCTTTTTCAGCTGGTAGTAGAGAAAGCCGGCCCAGAAACCGCCTCGGGTCGTCTCGGTTTTGTCGTAACCGTATAGGCCGACCAGAGGCCGAGCGGGAGGCTCGAAAGGCACCATAGCACCACTGTTAGGGCAGCGATATTCGTTCGGGCCAGGAGGAGGGGACGTGGCGCCGTTGTTCCAGACCTCGCTGATGTGCTGCCCAGGGGCGATGTCGTTGGTAGGAGGGTCACCGGTCTGTCGGAAGCGCTCATCGAAGCAAAAGCCCGGAATCCACTAGTCATCCGGGACTTTCTTCGCAACAATGTAGAGCTCATCGACGCAGACGAGCCTGCCGAGCCTTTTGATGCTAAGGTCGGGGATAAAGCGGTCGTGGTTCGACAGCACTCGAGCAGGTCTAATAGTACGAGGTTCGTCGGGGTTGGTTCGGCCCTGCCACTTCTTCCGCCACAGCTGCAGAGAGTCTCCGGGATAGTTTGCCTTATCAGACCTTGAGGAATGGTGATGGACGGGCTTGTCGCGCCAAACAGAGAGAATTCTCTTGACGGGAAGAATGTCAGAGGAACATCCAAAGCGAGGTAGCTTCATGTCCCAGACTCGCAGAGTATCCCGGTAAGGGTCGATGGTAAACGCCCTGCGAGAGGGTGGGAAGATGATAGCGCCATGCTCGGGACGCCACTCACTTCGAGGGGGCTGAGGCTGAACGATCGTGAAGGCTTCAATGAATCGCTTCGCTTTGATTGCTTTATAGATCATACGGCATGAGAGCTTCAGATTGAGAAGGCTCTGCTCGCCGGCAGACGTAATAGGGCCATACTTTTTTTCTGCATCGCAGGGAACGGTGAGAGGGCAGATACCGAGAATGAGGAATTCCAAGATCATCGACTGCAGATCTGGAGCGAGATCCAGGAAAGATATATTTCCTGGAACTAGCTGAAAGACACGTGTTAGTATGATGTAAATAAGTAAGTAAATGAGAGAGCTTACTCGAGTGCCAGTGACAGGAGGATCCATGGTAAGACCGTGAGATGAACACTGAGGGACGGGGGTGAAGAAGGAAGAGATTGGAGGGGAATTTTGGAATCACAGATAAATATCTGAACGATAGAGAGTCACCCACAGAAGTGGGCCTTGCTACAGCCACCAGATTCAGTGACGTCCACTTACGCAGCAGCAGAGCATTCAGGAACGTGCACGAGCAAGTTTCTCAAAAGCACAATACGAGTAATCGATTCAGGGTCTTATAAGCACGGTATGAGCTCTACGAAAAGCAACATCTATAACTAGACATAAGTTGGATCCTCTTTACTTGCGTAGTCTTTTCACCTGAAGGCTGCTGTTGAGGAGTGTTGATGAAGCTACGAATAACACTCGATCGCTTCGATTGCTGGGAGCAGCATCACCTACATATGTCCCCACTAGACCCAACTTACTGATACACTTCCTTCAGAGTGTGAATTCAGGCACAAATTGAAATAAAAGACTATTGCTTGTGCCATTGGAGACATCCCAACAGCTAATCGGCTGTAGACCAATGACTGCGGACAATGGCATTGGACAAAACACATGGGTATTGGTGTAAGTGTTGAGATTCTCTACCGCTCTGGTGAGTTTGAATTTTGCCTAAGAATGTGCATAAATAAATGTTGGTACCTGTGATTTCCTTATTCCGGTGAGATATTGTCAAGCATCATGGCGAACAAAGTTACGGCACCCTAAAGTTCAGGACCCACCAGTCTCGGGGGCAGAATGTAGACGTTGGTTGGAGTCAATCAATCATCCCTTCGGGCGAATGGTTTAGTGGTATAATACTCCCTTAGCAAGTTCTCAATGAGCGTCATTTGGGAGTGGTCCAGGGTTCGATTCCCTGTTCGTCCAATGTTGGTGGTTAAATCCCACTGTCATCCACATTTTTTGTCATTTTGTATCGTTTACCGCACCAAATGTCTTTTTGGGCGTGTCACCTACCCAGGACAACAACATATAGCCAGAGAGATTAAGTGCTATACTTTTGGCTACTTGTAACTTTTTTTTATAAATAGCTTGGCGTTGAGTGTTTTGGAATTTTTGCCCCGTTTCAAGGTCAATCAATTGGTGACCTCCAGTGTGTCATTGAGTTTCAGTTATGAATTCACGTCTTATCATCGACGTCTCATGCGTATTTACAGGTGGCGGGGCATTCCCCTCTCAACCATCAGCCTTGAATCCCACTGAGGCAAAATCACGAACTTGTCAGGGAATTTATCGATGGCAAGCGCGCAAATGTTTCAGCAGCACGTATTGATCGAGCAATTGTGTTAAATATGCTCTGCAACCCCAAGGAACGAAGATAATACCAGTGCCCTTCAGTCTCAGCCCCCGCTGAAATTGATTGCTACGCGACCCACAAAAGGGACAGCTGTTCTCATTCGTCAAATTTCAGGGGGGGCCTTGCACAAGCCAGGCTGTCACTAATCATCTTTGGTCATCTCTCCCGCTTCTCCAGATCAGATCCAATACATACACACGTCGACACCCACCACCATCAGCCTTGTCCCTGTCCCCGCCTCACTTGTTCGCTCACTCGTTTGTCCCTCTCTCTCATGACTACGTAATAAGCCCCCTTTCTTTGTCCCCAGCGCCATTGCACCATGGTCCGCGCCCTCAATCTCCGCCTCGCCCTTCAGGCAACAGCTATCAAGGTCTCGGCAAACCTGGTCACCCAGATTATTATTCACTACAGAACACCAGGCGTATCGACTTTTGATGCTCAGCAGGTACTGGAGTTTGCTATCTATGGGTTCATAGGCTCTCAGGTCGGCAACATCATCCAATTCATCCTGGAGGACTGCTTCCCCACTGGCCACGCAATTAGGGCCAACGAGATCCTGCCGCAGGTTCAGGCGGATGTGAAGCAGGTTGAGGAGAAGAAGGACGATGACACGAGGGGAACGACTAGGAGATGGTTCAATATCAGCCCGGATCTCATTTGGCGCAACGTTTTGGCGAAGCTGATTCTTGATCAAACAATTGGTCTTGCCATCAGCGGGTCCGTCTTTCTCATCTGCACAAACATCGCACGTGTTTCACACCCCTTCCTCGTTCTGGAAGTAATCCGCAATCGACTTTGGCCACTCATCAAAGCTGGCTGGCATATCTGGCCGTTAGTCGCCATTTGCAACTTCCTATGGGTTCCCGTGCGCTCTCGGGTTTTGGTGGCAGTTTGTGTTGGGTTCGGTTGGAGTATCTTCTTGAGCGTCTTTGCCATGCGGAAAGGGCATTGATCGGGGTTAAGACTGGGTCTTTTTGGTCTTTGCGTTGTTGAATGGGTGTTTAGAGGAATTCCCCTGCGGAGCACTTTTCTTTGTATCTTGGAGTTAGAGTTTTAGAGTTATATGGGATCTAAATTTTGACCTCAAGTTTCTGTATTATGAGTTTCGAATCATGAAGACTTCCTTCTCAGAAGAAAAACATGCAATCGCCAGGTTCTCGGGCCCTATCATGAGCCAATATTCAGGCGAGGCTAGGATTGCTGTCTATTGGGTTTGATGGATTGGATGCCATGGTACTGACTAAGTAAACACCACGGCGGTTGCGGTGCAACATTATTCAGAATAAGAGGCTAAAAGCTGTGATGGAAATCTCAAAGGAGCTGCCGACTTGAAACAAACCAGGTGGCTACATGGAGCATTGCTGCAAATTCTACCTGCTTGCGTGTAATATCAAAAGCGCACCAAACATTCAGCCTTTGCAGCTAAGATACAGCCTACATTTGGCCTCGAGGCTAGAATATGGTGCATCCAGACATCAGAAGCTTAACTGACCAAGTCGACCACATTTAACGATGAGACTCATTCCTTGAGATCAGGGTGACTTGGTCACGGGAACGAGATGCAATCGGGGCCATGCATGACTTGTTCGAGGTGAAAGAAGACTTGGACAGTGGTGGAAAGAAGGTAGAGGTAGATGGCTGACTCTTTCGCATTATAACCTCATTGGGGTCGTCGAAGGGTTGCACAAGTCGACGCTTTGTCTCAATTTCTTTCCCGTTGCCTTTTCCGAGACCGATTGCGATGTATCGTGACACAGGAGTTGGCAATGAGCTGAAGTAAAAATGAATTTCGTCTCAAGTCTTCTCCATAAATAAAGGATGAAGGCATTAGTATGGCAGAAATTGACTGATCTTAGGCCACGATCGATCGGCCACATCATCATCGACACCCGGATCGGCTTTCCAATACTGTTCGAGTATTTCCAATGCCCGTTGCGTATTCAAAAGCCCAAGTGCAGTTGAAACACCTTGTAATGAAGTCTTTATTCTTGGCCTATCATCGCCCAGCGCGTCGCATCCCGCAAAGAACAAGGGTGGAGTAAGCAGTGTGACCGGCGTGAGGCCGTCTCTTAGTGTCAGACGCTCTGAGCACTCGAGAATCTGATTGACGAGGTTCTGCACGAGAGGTGACGACCTTCTCTCGTGGCGTAAGCGTCTGTGGATGAGGAGCAGACCGGTGAGCTGCCAGATCTGATTCGATAACCGGTATTCGCGGACTTCAGCAACAGATAGGACGCGGCCGCGTATTGACATAACTGGAGGAGGATTCGCTTGATCACGGTCGATTATGGATTGTAAATAGTGGAGTAGCCACCATACCTCGGCCTCGACTTGACCACCTTGCGATGAAGTCTCAGACGCTGTTCCATCGTTGTTGATATGGCATAATCGCGCGATCTCTTTGAACACTCCAAGGAGGTCCTTTGTACGCGCAAGATACATATCGATGTACACAGGCTCGTCATCTGTGTCTGATGCGAGTGTGGTTGGTGAGGGGATAGTCGACTGTTGAGGGGCGAGATCACTCATCGAGTGACAGACCAGCGATTCGGTCATGTCGAACCATCGTAGTAAAAATCGCAATTCGTCTGTCGGGTTCTGTGAAAGGCCCTTGTCATGTATTCTAGAGATGAGCCCTCGCGCGCCGCGGAAGTGAACGCTCCATCGATCCGGACTGGGCTCGCTGGCGAAGACTTCGCAAACGAAGAGCGCTCTTGATGCAGCCAGCAGTGGAATAAGTTGTTGATCCTCATCACACTCCGAAAGTTTCTGGCAAAGAGACCTGGAGCTGAGAGCTTGAAAGCCAGCAACAATGAGCGCTTGTGAGGACTGCTCCTCGCTGGTTTTGCAAGTCGCAAGTCGGTGAGTAGCGGCTAGCGCAACGATGCCCTGCAGTAAGGGCTCATTGAAGACTGCCATTGGTAAGATGAGTTCGCATAACTCATCAAAGATCTGTGGATGTGGCGCAAGAACTTTGACGGTCCTCTCGGTGAAGTACTGCAGGCCTGATCGATGCAAGGGTGATAGGTGACCGAAGAACTCAACTGACGGAGTTAGTGGAGGCATTGACATTTGCCGTTGGCTGACAACAAGTTGAGAAGACTCCGGGTCCTCGGGTGGAGAAGTTGTTATCCATTCTGGCTCATCGATGTTCTGATCTGGAGGAGGCGATGTAGCCTTTGACGGGCCTGGTCTAGGAGTAGAAGGGGAAACATATATGAAGTTCTTATTGTTTAAATCTGAGATTGTTAGTACGTATGCTGTGCAGTGGATTACTGGCATGCCTAGTCTTTGTACGTTGCCTTCATTTTGTGACAAACAATCTCCAAAAGGGGACCGATTAAATGGCCTCCCTCCCCAGCGAAGCTTCATACCGTATTCGCATTTGACCCCAGCAGTCTGACATCTCTGACACGAGGGTCTCTCTTCACTGCACTTCTTTTTAAAGCTCTTACACCTCGCACAACCAACCCATGATCGACGCTGCGGTGGCATCACAGGGGCTTTGAGTTTGGGGCACAGAGCAAAACATGCTGCTTTGGGGTTATGTCATTTGCTAGGGGACAAATGAGGGCGGGGGAAAGTTGAGTTGGTGATGGAACGTTTCGAGGCGGCGAATGGAGATAAGGCTAGAGACTGCGCTAGAACGGAATGGGAAGGATCAGGCGACTGATTGCTTATCTGTGTCACCTGCACTGATTGTCTTGCACCTGAGTGACTGGTCTTATCAGTAATGATAAGAAATGATGGATACGCAATCATCGACCAGACTTCTTCAATTTCTTGACTATCATGAACTTGAGTACATATGATCTATATGCATCAATTGGTTGTCTGTCGAGATTGCTTTGCTGTCTTCAACTTGCTGTTTGTCCATGACATGCCAAACGTCTTCACCATTCAAACAAACATCCTCTGTTATCTGAGTTGGCACCGAGCCTGGATCAACTAGTAGGCAATGCTTCGCAGCCGAAAAGGGCAATCTTGGCATAGTCTTTACCGGGAATGTTAATGTGACTGAGAAGCTGTTGCTTTATAGAGATAATAACCTTAGGGAGTATTATAAAACCTGTTTGCCTAGATATATGCCTAATAATATAGATATTAAGGGTAATAAAGATAATAGGGAACCTATATATATAGTCTTAAGCCTTCTGGCTTATATAGTCTAGGCTAATAATAGTTTAGATTACTATAGATATATTATTTATAGAGTTATATTATAGTGTATATACCTTTTAGTCTCTTTTCTTTATATTATTTTAGTTAGGGCTTATAATAAGATCTATTGGTTATTATAAAAGCTTATAGGTCAAAGCTTATATTGGGGGGAAAAATATTATATTGTTATTTATTATCTATATTCGCAGCCTAAAGCTTAACCTTATAGGCAGCATTCATCCCTATTGCAACTAGTAGGCAAACCGAAAGTCCAGTCGCTTATTGCTCTCATCCTTTGTGGTGTCAAGATAACGCTTCTTCTGTTCATCATCCATGGCGCCCCAAATCTTATCCCGGCTCTTGTTTCTCCGGATGTAGTAGGTTCTGGTCAATAAATACAACGTGATGTTGAGCGCAATGATGGCCAAAAGATTCTTGTTTCCTTCCCGATATCTTGGCGCGTCATCTTTGCGGTAGACATTGGATGCGATAATACCGGCAGATTGATGTAAACAGCTCCCGAGACTGTCCTCTGTCCTCAGACGAACGGTATTAGAGTTGCGTAAGTTCCAACTGACTTGAATAGGAAGGGCTTGGAAGACAATGTTGGTTAGCAATGTGTAAGTCAAGAGGAGAGTAAGCTCACCAGTCGGAGAACCAAGCAGCAATGTCAACACTGCGAGCGAGACCCATCTGTTGACCGTGCTCATGTCCACGACGTATAGATAAATCATGAACGGAAGTTTCCAAGCCTGAACGGCTAGACCAAGCAGGGATCTTTCATTCCACTTCTCAGCGAGGTATGAGATCAGCAGCAAGCCGCCAATGGGGAGGATCGTAAGCGGGGGATCAAGAAGGTCAAGCCGATGGCATAGATCGGCCAGAGGTCATAGTCCTTGAGCGACGCCCATAGTAACTTCGGAGTAATGTGTTGGCGGTTATGCATGTCGCCCTTGCTGGGATCGTCACGGATGACTCGGTGCACCACAATACGTTTCTCTCTGTACACAGGTCAGTCCTGAAGGCATATCCATCTCTGGAGCGACTTACCGCTCAGCGAACCCACCGTTCTTACCACGGAGAATGCCTGAGGCTTGAGTGGGTCCAGTGGGCATTAGAAACCAAGCGGAAACGCCAACCGCGAGCGTCAGCAGGCCGTATTTGGCACCACCGTCAGTATAGTACATGAGGCGAAAGGTTTGAAAGGCAAATCTCGAAAAGGAACAGCCATCTCCAGCCCTCGTACCTGTGCCAGACTCTCAGTTGGAGGAGGCCTGCTCCGAGAAAACCACTGATAATATCGGTGACGTGATAATATAGTAATGACAATGGTCTGGAAAGTGCGCTTTGATTAAACTCGAACTCCAATTGATGTATTGCTAGTCGTTGAAAATCCACTCCACGGATCCCTTCCGCCGCTCACGTCGCCAGGTACTTTCAAACTCATCTTGATGCGGTGACAACTAACGAAGTACTTGAATGCGCCAATCCTCCGCCTTTCTCTTCCTCGACTCGCCCCACGAGGATAGACTACCGGAAATGGCCGCAATTAATGTATTTTCTTGAGCTTGAGATGCTTCGTCCAAGTAAGAAAGCTTTTTGTTGATCTCCTTTCGACCAAAATGCCAGTTGTGTTTCGAATTCCCTAAAATGCCTTCTCTAAGCATGTGCTCGTAGCTAGCTGAGGCAGAAACCCTTTCTTCTCGAAGCCAATAATGGCGTTGCATATTTCGATAATAGAAATTAGGTATTCGCAAGTAAGGGCCTTTAAATCCGAGTCGTGAGGAAATAAATGGACTCGACCTCGTTGGATGATAGTTGCGTGTCCTAAACGCATAAGCAAGAGCGAAAGATGTTCGAAATAGGATAGATGACTAGTCGCTATCTATAACCCAGACTGGCCAGGAAATTGAAGCGATATCAAAATGGCTAGCATTCTCACCTCAAGAGACATTCTTGTAAGAGGTTAAACCTGAGATACCTAGGTACCTTCCTTGATGTAAAGGTATCTCCCGTTTTGGCATAGTGGTATCCTTCTACAATTCTCACGGTTGCCCAAACGCCACTTGCGATCATGTTCTGAGATTCACCAACCAAGATGTCCCCAGGTTTGACAAGTGGCTGGATCTGATCTAAGAACTTGAGAAGTCTTGTACCAAAAGGTTTCCAAGAGGTTTAACGAAGTCGCGAACCATCTCGATTGATTTTCTCCGTAAGACGGATGACGTCGATTTCGGAGGGAGGAGAATGCATTTGCCATATTTTGAAAATTGGCCGGTATCATTCGTCAAGTGCAGAGATGCGTTCTGAGATAACCTTTGCGCGTTTTACGGCGAGGGCTAAAGGCGCCGTAGCAGGCACTAAAGAGGACATGATGTCCTCGTCAGAAGATACTCTGGCTTAACCGCAAAGGAATTTATCCTTTTGCATGTGGCAAGATGAGAGGAAGAAAGGCGGCAAGTGATTCTGTACCTTGTGCTAATGTAGTCTGCCTTATCACGTCACTGCAAGATATGTGAGGGGTTCTCTGGAAGCACCTAATTGCTGATAGGCTGCATAAAGTACATGGGGGTTGAAAATGGCTGAATCAGCAATAGATCACCGCCCCATGTTTCCCAACATCACCGCCTCATTTTATCTAACATTACCGCCTCCCTAGTAGCACACAACAACTGTCGCGTGCGCAATCGGCTGCTTCATCATAGCAATATCTCTTCATTACTTTTTATTGCCCTGGACGAACCAAGATGGATCCCCTCACGGCGCTGTCATTGGCAGCCGCGGTGGTTCAATTCGCTGATTTCGGCGTCAGACTGCTTTCGAAAACCACGCGTCTCTATAAATCTGCCTCTGGTGCTGGACGCTCCACGGTGGAATTGCACATTATTTCCAGTGACTTGAAGGAGCTTATAGACAATGTCGAACGGAAGTCGGTCCCCCTGGCTCATCTTGGCGGACATGTCGACGCCTCGAATCGACGCCTGTTAGGGATTTGTGCTCGGTGTAAAGAAGCGTGCGCTAACCTGGACGACGCAATTATGGCTCTAGAGAGTCGAGGTTTGACAAATTTCAATTTTAACTACTTCTCTACTGATAGTGCTGGACAATGGCATGAGAATTTTGCCGCCTCGCTCAAACGACTATGGCGGGCGGATAAGATTGAGAGCTTGGGAAAACGGCTCTCTGACATCAGACACTCACTTATGGAGGCATTCTTGGAAAGCTTATGGTGAGAAAAGCATTTGGTCGAGTGATTTGTAACTCAAAGCTGTGACTAATGCAACGAGCAGGGAGGAATCCAAAACGGGTTCCAAAGATGTCCACCAGCTATCAGAGCAGCAGGTCGGCATGATGTCAACCTTGAGTCGAATCGACGAGAATACGAGAACGCTCAATCAGACTCTGATGCAACTTGTGCATCACTCCAAGGCGGAGAGCACCAATCGGGATGCAACTTCTTTGTTCTGGTCGTCCGACTATCAGCGGCCTGAGGTCGGATCTTCAGACGCTACAAATATACTAGGACTTGACCACGGAGAAAACCTGGTCGACAATGCTGTCTTTTGCACGACTACAATCATTGAGAGCCTTAGATTTGAGGATGCTGATCACCGAGAGCAGGGTATTTCGATGTCCTTCGAAACTACATTCGAATGGGCATTCGGTGAACCCCCGCGCTTGGACACCGGTGATCCGATGTGGTCCGACATGCGTAGCTGGCTTTCTTCTCAGCACGCGGATGTATATTGGATAACGGGGAAGCCTGGCTCTGGGAAGTCGACCCTATGAAATTCCTCGTCTCACACCCAAAAACGAGGAGTTATCTAAAAGAGTGGGCAGGCTCCAAGCCTCATCTTATGGCATCGTTTTATTTTTGGAACCCGGGAAGTCACTTACAAAAGTCCCAAGAGGGACTTCTTAGGAACCTCCTTCGTCAGTGTCTTGAACAGAATCCCAAACTTGCTCCCAAGATTTTCCCTCGCCGTTGGGCTCTGCTGAAGCTCTTCGGACGTCAGGCTCTCAAAGTAATTCCACCGTGGACGTGGGAGGAGCTACTCGAGGCGTTCTCGGCCTTGGACATCATGGCAGGCCGCGACAGGGACTTCAACCTAGCCATTTTCATTGATGGAGTTGACGAATTCGATGGAAAGCACGACAGACTCATCGACCTCATTAAACTTCTTCATTCCCGATCTAGCATCAAAATTTGCGTGAGCAGCAGGCCCTGGAACATATTTGAAGATGCCTTCAGGTGCAATCCCAGTTTACGGCTAGAGGATCTCACTCGAAATGATATGTCGATGTTCATATCTGGGAACCTGGATAAAAACCAAGCTTACCGCGACCTTCGTAACGCCTTTCCCACCGGAGCTAGCCAGATACAGGGAGCCGTTCTTGAGAAAGCGCAAGGAGTGTTCCTTTGGGTATCGGTCGTTGTTCGTGCTATACTCGAGGGTCTGACAGAGGGTGACAAGTTATCGGATATCCAAGGAATGGTTGACGAGCTTCCGAGTGACCTGTCGAAGATGTACACCCAGATATGGTGCAGAATCAAGTCAGACTATCTCCGTCACGGGTCACAACTATTTCGTATCTACGAGTGTTCCACGAGCCAGGTAGATGCAATTACCCTGTGGCTTGCAGATGAAGAGGACCCCTTTGAGATTGATATCGAGTCTATTACCCCTGCATACAGAGCTCATGTTATTCAGTCCATGAAACGACGGCTAAACAGCAGAACGAGGGGCTTATTGGAGGTCTCATATGAGGGCAATGTCTGCTATCTTCACCGGAGCGTCAAAGAGTGGATACAGCCAAGATGGGGGGAAATGCAGTTATCTTCCGAATCATGGCTGACATTCGACCCCAACCTTGCGCTTTTAAAGGCGAAAGCGGTAAAGGCACCAGATAAAAGTTACTGGACCGCTCGCTACAACGAATTCTCTCCGTCCTTCTGGGAATTCGTGAAGGAGTGCTTTGGCTATGCATCACAGGTCGGTGCCTGCGAGCAGAATCTGGCCGTATTGGTCAAGTCGCTCGATCTACTTGACAGAAATCTTACCAAAGTCGCTATGACTGATACCATAGGAATAGCAATGTCTCTTCCGACACTTTACTCTGACGCAAGAATTAATCCCAGTCGACCCCAGGACCTCCCTCACTGGGCAACCTGCCAGTGGAAAACCAGCGGCCACCGAACACACTCTCCTCCGTTTGCCAACAAGCAAGTCGACTTTATATATCTCTCTGCTCAGTTTTCCATTTTGCCCTATGTCTCTGCCAAGCTTACTGAGAATCCGGCCATCCTCAACATTAGCACTGAGAAATCACCCCTTCTAGCCGGAACTATTTTTGGTTTCATGTCTACAGGGTCCGATTTACAGACTCGGTATGAGCTTGCACACATCCTAATCGACCAACACTTGAAGATTGTTGATCTGGATGACTACTCGAGGAAGACTATCGGGGAAATCTACAAAGTAGTCAAGGGAAGGGCTGCCAGAGGCCCTGAGACCTGGGAAGCTATAGCTAAGTTATTTGAAGATCGTGGGTTGGATAAGCCGACAACTTGCTATCAAACTGCAGGTAGCCGACCTAGAGTAAACGGCAAGTGGTCGAGATTTCTTAAAACCTTTATTAGCTAAGGATCTTTCGCCCGTACTAGGTGCATAGCTTCTGGGGTTCAAAATGTCGGCCATGGGACCAAGGAGGGCTTTGGTAGCTGCATCCTGGAGAGATGAGGCCACGAGGCTTTGGGTATGAAGCTGTGGAACGGCCATGGCATCCGACATGAGCAGGCCATCAAAGCCCATTTCAGATCTGAGCATACTCTGCAGAAGCTGCTTGTTGATTGAAATGGGTACCCGGTCGATGCTGAAGTACGACACCATGATCGCCGCAGGCCTTTCCCTGAGCACGCGAACGTAAGGAAGGGCGAGGTCGTTGTACAAATGATTGGTGCCACCCGCCATGCTTGCAGTGTTGATACCACCCGCGCCTTCTCGGTAACGAAAGTGCTTGTCCATCGTGGCGACTTTGATGAATCCGTTCTTGTCTTTCTCTTCCATGGTTCGGACATACTGGGCTGCGAACTCGCCGACGAGGTAGACATCTTCACCGTAGCTGGTAATAAATTATTCAGCAACACGTCTTATGCATCAGGTGCCGTTAATGCTGCGAGAATATGAGAAAAGAAAGCTGTGCTAGGAAAGGAATTGCAGTGTTGGGGGGCGGGGCGGTATACACTTACGTCTCACCCACACGGCCGTATCTGGGATCCATGGCTACATCCAGCTCGGGACTTAGTACCCAGTGCGCCCCGAGAGCCATGTTCTCGTCTCGAATCGCTTCCGCTACTTGGCCATACAGATCTAGGTCCCATGTAGTGGAGAGTGACAGTGTTGCCGGGAACAAGGTCCCACCGGGCACATATATGGAGTTGACCGAATCTGTGACTGTAATGTATGGAACTTTGCCATTCTGCATCTGTTCCTGTCGGACCTTGTTTGCAAATGGCAACACCTTTTCAGCAGGATTCAGTTGTGAGCCGTAGCCTGATGATTTATTTGTCAGCATGGGACTTGTCCGTCGAGATAAAGCTTTATGCACTTGTGCCTGGCGAAAGACCTACCTAGTATACCGTGTTGCAGAGGATACAGTGCATCGTATGCAGTCTGGTTGAAAGATGAGTTAGGATCCAGAAGCTTTCTTATACCACCTAGCTGAGCAATCTTCTCTGTCCATTCAAGTGTAGGCAAGAGAGCTTCCGCGCGCTCGGCTGGGGAGAGAGCTTTGTTCTTCCAGGCCTCGCTGTTTGGGGCTGGTGCCGCGATCACAGTGTAGGCCAAGGACCCAACAAGAGCTAGGGGCGTGACGGAAAAACGGAACATCTCCGCAGGCCGTTGAGGGTGACTTGTGTAGAGGTGTAGACAGGTAGAGCCTTGAGGGAGGTACTGTTAGCGGATGGATCTATACATGGGATGACATAGTTCTTATAATTTTCTTTACAGGGCAAGGCAGCAAAGTTGTGAAAGCCAGCATAACCTCTTCAAGGCAAATCTGTATAAAGATGGGGCATATGGCCTTAGCTCGCTTGTGTCATTTCTGTACAGATGACGAGCCAATTGATGGACCTGGCTGAGCCAGACCTTTCCCGCCAACATTTTGCTGGATGGCGATGATCATGTCTTTGACCATATGCATGATCCGTTTCCAATAAGTCCGGATAAGAATCCGGGGTAGTACCTCCGTATCTCATTCGATAGATATTTTGTCTGGGATATGAACCGACAACCGAACAGCGTTGTGATATGCCAAATTCTGACAGTGTGACTTCGAGAGTGAGGTGAGCCTGGAGGCCCGTCGCTCGGACAGTACATATCCATCTTAGTCTCTTCTATAACCCCTTTGCAGTCTAGTCAAGGTGGTATTGACCCGGTAGTGCCCCGGTATGTGTATCTCGGCCGGACTTTCTGCAAATGGTTAAACCACTTTCTAAGGACATCGGCCCTCCAAAGGCGCAATCACACTCACTCGACGAGAATGGCTCGTTCCCGTCTTTAAACAAGAATGAGAAAGATTGTTAAATTACAAGGTGAGTATAATGTAAGACAGGTTTATCCTGAACTGCATCAAGTCATGCCCATCACCTCTCGTATCTCACAGCAACACTAAGACGTAGGATAAAGTGTTTCTTAACCGGATTCTAAGACGAAATACCCCAGAAACAATACAAAAACGGCGCATGTTCCTCACCAGACTAAGTGTTTCCTGATGAGTTGGCAGTAGCAACGATGTCGTTGGAAGATCATTAAGTCTAGCCTTTGTAGCCGAAGCAATGGCTAAATGGAGAGCTACAGCGTTACTAACAATATTCCTTCTTTATATATATGAAGAGACGAACTGCTCTTCCGGTGATAGAGCAGGCGCGAGAGATAGTCAATAACATGATTTGCCGCTTACGTGCTTTTGCTCAATTCCACGAGTTGATCCTCGAGGAGCCATGCCCAATCCTGGGGAGCCCACCACGCGAAGAGACCCGGCACAGCATGGCTGCGAGTGCTCGTTGGCTCCTGATCTTGAGACTTGGCCGAATAGGGTCGAGACTTTTCTTTTGTGGCATGATTGTTGTTCGTGGAGTACGTTCTCCGAGTAGGGATTGTTGATTGCAAACTGGTGGTCGCATCAGCGGGAGCAGTCGATGCGACAACAACGCAAGGTCTTTCCTCTTCAGAAGTTCCATGGCTTCCCCGGATGGGAGTATCGTGTTGGTCACCATCCATTGTAAATGGTGGACGCCGAGGTGTCGTATCAGAACCAGGGGTTGCTTCGTCAGTATGCGGCCCCTGGTACTCTTCGTCATCGCCTTCGACATTTGACAATTCAGCCCGCCGCAATAGACTATGTACAGCTAGGCGCTGGCGAGCACGCACAGCTTCGGAAAAGTGACCCTCTGATCTCCTTTGACTCTGTAGCGAGGAAGGTTGGAGGGCCTTACTTTGTAAAGCCCGACCCTCTGTAGGTTCGCTGTTCATCGCTGGTACAGTTGCTGGGCAGGAACCAGGTGTGTCTGTCTCGTTTGATGTGATTCCCGAGAAACCTGGCGGGGTTTTGTTAGGCATAGCTCCCACAAAAGGTGTTGCATTTGCTGCGGCAGCGGTTCCCTGGCTCGCTGGAGTTCCAGCGGCCTCGGGCTGACCGCCAGGAATATTCCGTCTCTTCTTTTGCTGCTCTGAGAAAATGGCGATGGACTCCTCCAGCTCCCCAAGGACAGGACTAACAAGCGCTGAGAATCGGAAGAACCTCTTGAGCGCAGCTAGGCAAAGCTCGGCACGACTAAGAGCGAATTCTGGTGACGGCCGAGCAGGTCCTTGACCGAATCGAGAGATGAAGAGGATGAGGCGGGTGGCATGATAAGCACAAATAGCTGTGTCGAATTCAAGGAGATGGTGTTGCGTGCTGTGCTGGTTGAGCGCGGTGAGGATATAGATGATTCGCATTGCGTGATGCAAGCACTGAGCCTCAGCAGCAAGAAGAGCCTGGTGGTCGTGGCCAACGAGCACGGCAGCGGGAGCCGCTTCTGAGTACCCAGGCAAAAGGATGCGGTTGATGTCGCAGTGTGCTTGGTGCCAGGAGATGTGGGCCAGCAATAGGCGAGGTAGCCATCGGGAGGTTGACCTGTCTCCGTTGCTACTGTTGCCAAGGGGGTCGAATGATTCGTCCGCGCTCAAGAGAGCTTCCAGGATCGGTGCTGGTTTCTCCATGCATGCTAGTGTTTGTAAGTGGTGGCTGAAGAGGTCTATGAGATTACACAAAGGCGTTTCTAGCAGCGCGATCTTCCTGGAAAGCTTCATTACATCACATCGAATTGCTTCCAATTGCATAACGAGCGGGGGGCTTGTGGCGTAACGGTTAGACCGTCACTGGCCTGACCAGAAAGCTGACTAGGCAGCTGAAGGTAGTGGTGAATTACGAGGAGAAGTGCCTGGAGTTTGGTTATACTTGGCGATTCGAGACTTTGCCAGATGCTCTCCTCGGCTATCCTTATCCACGTATCGTCAGCGGAGGTAACAATGCGGCCGAGCGCTCTTTGACCCGAGTCCTGTCGACGATCAAGATCGAGATTAACTTCTCTGTGCAGGTACAACATTGCAACTGCACAAATAGAGGCAGGAAGGGCACGATGCACATCATGCGAACGGCACCTTCTCCTGGTGGCTTCTGGATGTAGGAATGCGTATGATGGCATTGGATAGACGAACTTGAAGAAGACATCAAGGAGCGTGTCTATTTGGTTGCGGCTCGGGCCAACATACCCTGAGCCTCTTGTTACAGACTCTGTTGATGATGGATGCCATGATACTGACGAGTCTGCGGGTGAAGACAATGGTATCGTTGTTGTTTCTTCGTATCTTGCAGGATGTCTCGTAGATTGACGCTGCCGATTCAGTTCTACCCTTTGCAGCTGATGCTGTTGATGCTTCAGTCGTTGATCGCCCTCATCCTGTTGCTGACGCTGTTTCTGGTGAGTCCATTCCCGCCTATCTTCCGATTCCGGTTCCAGCTCCGGTTCTCGTCCTTTCTCTTGTTCCACGCTGCATTGTTGTACATGCTGATGCTCGTGCTCACGTTCATACCCCCCATCAATGATCAGGTCGTTTTGGTGATCATTTTCAAGCTCCTGCTGCTGCTGATGTCGGTCTTGCTCGGCTAATTCTGTGGTGGAAGGACTGCTTGAGTTTTCCGAAACAAACTGTAAGCCTCGTTCTCTTTCTAGAAAGGAGCATTCGCGTTGCTGAGGTGCCTCCTCCTCCAGTGTGGTCCCGTCAAGCAAGTAGCCTTCTGGAGCGCGTCGATAACGCTTGAGCGGCGGATAAGTGCATCTGATGTCCTTCTGTTGACATGCGACACATGCTGGAAGCGTCGCCGAGCACTTGATCTTCTTGAGACGACAGGAAGAGCAGGCGCGAGCTCCTCTCAGACGTTTCCTTGACGGTGACGGCCTTTCGTGAAGCTGGTAGTCATCATGATTGAGAGAGCAAACTAAACCTAGCCGTCCACAATTGCGACACGTCCCTGGTTGTTTGTCACAGCGTACCTTTCGCTGTTTGCATTGAAGACATGTTTGAGGGATGTGGGTCTTGGAATGCAGTTTGAAATAACCAATATGCTGTTCGTAGTCCATGCCATTCTTCTCATGACCGATACTTGTCGGCTTACGAATTGCCCCAGTTGGTGATGTCGGGTGTGAATGATTTGGACGGAGAGGGAGCTGAAGTGACCGTGTTTGCGGGGAAGTGGAGAATTCCCAAGGGGCCATGGCGTGCTATTCTCCCCAAGTGACGGAACCAACTGAATTTAATTTAGGGCGGGTCTGAGTCTTTTTAGTGCCTTCAGAGGTTGACCATTGGGGTCCGGGGATAAGTGGCCAGGGTCCCCCCGAGCGTCTTACAAACCCATCAGAAAAAGCCTGAATGTGTGCAATAGCTTCAGCTCAGCTCGTTTTGCACAAGCTAAGAAGCTTGAATTTACAGACACAGTCTCACTAAGATCCTGATGCTTCAGTTCACTGGGTTATGTACATGTCTCATCTATCAGTTGTCTTACAATCCGCCCCTCATCCAATCCTTCACAACTTCTGCTTCAGCGCATCCTCGGGTCGCAAGCCGTTCTGCTCTGCATACTTGACAGCCGCTGGTACACCTTTACTCGGACCACTCAGCCGAAGATGGATTGGATCATCACCAATATGCTCCATCTTAGCCTCGAGGAGAGCAGTCATGTGCTTGACCACATCACTATATGCAGTATCATTGTACAAATTGAAGAGCTCCAGAGGGTCCTTCTCGCAATCGAATAGCTCCCATTCCTTCTCCTCTGGCTCGTTAATATTATCTGCCTTTCCGGGTCGCGCTCCTACAACTCCAAGGTCCTCATTGTACCAGTAAATGAGCTTATACCGCTGATTGCGACAGCCATAGTGCGCATAGGCCTGGTGAATTACATCGTTGTGCATCCAGTACCGGTGATACGCGACGTTCTCCCATTCTGGGCCTGTCACGGATCCCCCGCGCATCAGAGGAAGTGCCGACTTGCCTTGCATATAGTTCGGGATTTTGATACCTGCCAGCTCGAGGAAGGTCGGAGCAAAGTCGACGTTGCAGAATATCTCGTTGCTTGTAGAGCCAGCTGGAATTTGCTTGGGGAACTGCGCCAGGAATGGCATCTGGAAAGATTCCTCGTACATAAACCGCTTGTCGAACCATCCATGCTTGCCCAAGAAGAAGCCCTGGTCTGAGGTGTAAATAACAAGAGTGTTCTCGGTGAGACCCTTTTGGTCAAGATAGTCCAACATGCGCCCTACGTTGTCATCAACCGATTGGATCACCCGCAGGTAACGCTGCATGTAGCGCTGAAACTTGAAAGCAGACAGCTCGGCAGCTGTAGTGAAGGTGAAAACAGTGCCGTCGTCTTTGTCAATCAGCTTAATGCTCGGGTCCGTTGGAATCTTGCGCTGGGCGGAGCCAGACTCTTGAGTGACGCGCTCGCCTACCGACCGACCTCCATCAGGCTGAACAAGTCCAAGATCCTGATATGTCAAGTCCTCAGCTACGCGCATTTTGGCTACTCTGGCAGCTTTGGCTCTGTTCTTGTAGTCATCGCCGTACGTCTCTGGAACCTTGATCGGCTTGTCGGCATACAGGCTCTTGTGCTTTGCATCGCATTCCCATGATCGGTGAGGGGCCTTGTGATGGCACATCACAAAGAATGGCTTGTCAGAGCTCTCAGTGGCGGTCATCCACTCAAGGCACTTATCGGTGATGATATCGGTAACATAGCCTGTTTCGTGACGTTCGACACCCGGACCTTTGCCGTCGGGGGGCATTTCGATGAACTCGGGGTCCCAGTAGTCTCCTTGGCCTGGTAGGACGCTCCAATAGTCGAACCCTGTCGGCTCGTGTGGTTCGCCTTCACCCAGATGCCACTTGCCTACCATGGCCGTACGGTAGCCGCCCGAGCGCATATGCTTTGCCACGTTGGGCATATGCTTGTTGATGTGGTTATCGAGCGTCATGACGCCGTTCACGTGGTTGTGTGTCCCTGTAAGAATAGCCGCCCGAGAAGGTGTACAGATGGAGTTTGTTACATAACAGTGATTGAAGAGCATGCCATTCTTAGCAAGCCGGTCGAGGTTTGGCGTATTGTTTATGCCAGCTCCATAGGCACTAATGGCCTTGGATGCATGGCCATCTGCCATGATGAAGAGAATATTCGGCCGGGAGTCCATCTTGGCCCCAATGGTTGAGTGACTCGTTTTAATGAAGAACGGAATAAGGGGAGAACAAAACACACTTGGAGATGCGAGGAGCGAAGGTAGAAGATGTCAGTAAGTGCACGATCAGGTAGCAACAAGCTATGGGGAGTGTGATGAAATGCTTACTATGTATGTGACACAGGTTGGGGACAACAAACTGTCCTGCCGGCTACATCGGGCGTAAGAATTGTAACAGCCGATGCAACGACCCGTAGGCGACTGTCGTCTCCCCTGGTGCTCTTTTCTCTGAGTCGGATGGCATCGGTAGCCCGCAGCTCCCTAACTCTGTGCAGCCAAAAGGAGAAATGATGACTGTCGGTAGTCGGTCGGATGCTACAATCGGGCATAGTGTAATTGGCACCGACTTGGTTGCGGGGGCTCACCAAACCCATCCCCGCGTCCGGGTATCGGTAACGAGCTCCCTTTGAGGTTAGTCCGGTCGGCTGCCAACCTTCAGACCCCACGACAGGACTGCAGTGCCATGGTCCACCGAAGATGGCGTCCACCAACCTTCACAGTTTACCAGTCTTCCGGCTTCTCTACCTAGTAGAATCTCGACTTCAGCCCATTTCCGGTGCATCTCATCATTGCCCTTACACAGCACGCCATGCTTTGACACCAACTTGTCCATCAACCTTTCGCGAGGATGATGGATTTGTCTATAAAGCTTTTCACCATGCCACAAGACAGGCCGCCCTTAGCATTCACTTCACTTGGTAACACTCACAACCTCCTTTACCTTATTACATGCTCAAAGTCCGAAAACGAGTTCCAAGATGACGAAAGCTCTGGGAACTTTCAGAGCATTCTACCTTGTAGCGTTATGCTGCGTTGGTTCTTTTCTTTTTGCCTATGACACCGGCACTGTTGGCGGAATTTTGACCTTCCCGAGCTTCCAACGGGATTTCCGGTATACCACCAAGGACAAGGCCAATGTTGGTTCACTGTCCACGAGTCTTCTGCAAGCTGGTGGTGAGTACTGTGCTGTTATCATGTCTCTTCTTGCCGCCTTGAGAGTAAACAAACAACTAACTTGGAACTCTTCTCTTCCGTAGCTTTCTTCTCCTGCTTCTTCGTCTGGCCCTTTACCGCTCGATTCGGCCGTCGCTGGTCTCTTGTCCTAGCCTCGGCTATCTTTAATGTCGGCGCCGTCGTGCAAACGATCAACACTCATCATCTCGCCGGATTCTACATTGCCCGATTTGTCTCGGGCGTCGGTGTCGGCATGGCCACTGTGATAGTGCCCATGTACTCAGCTGAGATGGCACCAAAAAATATCCGTGGCATGCTTGGTAGCATGTTCCAGTTCTTCTTTACCTTGGGAGTCATGACTTCGTACTGGGTTGATTACGCAGCGAGTATCCACATCCCCGACGACAGCAGCGCCCAGTGGCAACTACCAGTCGGTTTACAGCTTGTTCCCGGCAATATCCTTGGCCTCGGAATGCTCTTTACAAAGGAGAGTACCCGTTGGCTGGCCAAGGCAAATCGCCGTGAGGAGGCTTTGCAGTCCTTGATCTGGGTTCGTGGTGGAGATTCTCCCGAGGTCCGAGAAGAGTAAGTGATCCTTAATCGTGACAACCAACATATCCCTGAATTGCTGGTCAAATGTATTTGCTTCTGACACGCATGTTCCCCCGCAGGTTCAGCGAGATTGTTCGAAGCATCGACGAAGAGAGCCGTATCAAGGCTGGTTTGACTTGGAAAGAGCTTATTGAGCCCGTCAACCGTTACCGTCTCGGCCTCATCATTGCTCTGCAAATCGGTAAGCACTTCTTTTGGATCTTCAATCGTAGAAAACCTGGCATTAGCTAACGAAGTACGTGTTAAAGGCGTTCAGCTCACCGGAAACACCTCCATGGCATACTGTGAGTCGATTACCGTGCAGTTCAGTGCCTTTCCGATTGTCTCTAACATATCTGTTCAGACGCTCCTCAGATTTTTGGTCTAGTTGGTGCTGGCCAGGACAAGCTTCTGCTTACCGGCTTCTTCGGTCTTGTCAAAGTCGTGGCGTGCCTTTTCTTCTTGCTATTCCTCGTTGAACGGATCGGTAGTCGTGGCTCTCTTCTCGCAGGGGCAGGACTCATGGGTACTTACATGCTCATCGTGGCAATCTTGACAGTCAAGTTCCCTCCGAACCCCGACGCTGGACTGACACCTCCTTCTATTGCTTCTCTGACTATGATTTATCTTGAAGCCATGAGCTACAACATATCTTGGGGGCCTGTACCGTGGGTTTATACTGGTGAGATTTTCAGCAGCCGCATTCGCGAGGCTGGCATTGCCATCAGCACCTCAACACAATGGCTATTCAACTTCGTCTTTTCTCAAGTCACTCCACACGCTGTCGCGAACCTTGGCTGGAGGACCTTTCTCATGTTCTCAATTTTCAATTTCGCGCTTGTTATCTTTGTCTGGTTCTTTATCACGGAGACCAAAGGCGAGTCCCTAGAGGAAATGGAAGAACGTAAGTCTGATATCTCGCCCGACTCGTCTAGCCTCAACAGTAACTAATGTTTGTAATAGTCTTTGCCAGTCGGGCTGGCGTCACTGTCGTGAGACCTGTAGAAGCAGGGGTAGCAGACGAGAAGGAGACTGAGAGGCATGTTAAAATGCAGTCTGCCAAGTCGAGCTAGGTGCTTCGAAGCTTAGAGGGAGATGTTGCGTCTGCAGTCGCAATACAAGTTAATCCAACACATGGTGGACTGGACCATTACACCAAACGCTCACCCAGCAAAGAGTTTCGCTCGCTAAAATGGGTTGGCATTCCTCACTAACTTATTGCTGTGCGTTCAACAGTAGTACAGACTCGCCATTCACTAGAGAGTATTGTTGGATATTGCAAGTAGGATTAATTAACTAGGAAATTAAAGCGAACCCTGATCAATCTGTTCTGTGCTAAAGAGAATAGAAAAACTGTCTTTGATACGGGAAACCCCGTCGAGAAGCCTAAGCTTTCTGAACATTGTACTCCGAGACACCAAAGTTGTGGATCTTTTTGTCCTTGGTTCCGACGGCAATAAACTCAGGGCCAGTGTTGAAGATGTAGAAAGGCTGGTCATCTCCAGGATAGAGAGGCTGACGCAGAGTAACGGCATAAATAGCCTGCTTGTATCCAGCCTTTCGGAGGATGGTGAACGCATCATGGATATCGAGAGCGCGTGTTGGCTTTGTCAAGTTTGTCTCATGGTGTTAGTGTTTGCATTGAACTGTGAAGCGCAAATGAGCAGTGCTTTGTCAAATGCGGGCATTCACCTCGTCTGCTAGGTTTGACAACTCCGATATACTGATAGTTTCTTTCTTTGACAGTAGCGGAATATCCGCCTGCAATTCTTCCCTTTTTCTGATACAATTGTAGTAGTCACGCCTAAATACATATAGAGTACTCACTTAGTGCTGACGGGGTGTATGGTCTTATGGTCTGTATGATTGCATAACCGCTTTCCTTGTTTCATTCTGTAAGGATCCCAAGGCACTAGACTCGAATCAAACGTTCCTTGACAAAAGAGGCAGTGAATGATTGTATCAACAACAAATCATCGCAGACGGCCTGGATTGGAGGACGCGACAAGATAACAAGTCCCTCAACTATCTGCGTTATGAATAGCATCTCGATATCTAATACGAATACTACTGCGCAAAGCCTTTGCAACGCTGATCATAATAAAACACAAGGTTAAGCTTAGGTATCACTTGCACAAATCTCATCACAATGTTCCACTGAGCAAGGGCTATTTGATCTCCGCGGATACTCCGGGGACGGTACTCCGTAGTGATCTTAAATTACAGGGGTTTAGCGTCTAGATAAGACAATCTACACGCATTGGTCTTAGTGTCGACAATACGAAATGAGCGCCTGAAAGCATGACTAAATAAGCGCCACTCCCGCCTCGCGCTGGCATGGCGATCCCCAAATTCAATGCATTTCTTCAAACTCTAAAAACGTCACCAAAACAACACTTCAACAATCATCGGTTCACTCGGACTGACTGAGATATGAGGCTGAAACGGTCGAGAACGAGAGAAATGAGCTCAATGGGGGACGACGAGGTGTCCTTTAATGCTTTCAACAGCCCCAAGCGACTCCCGGCTTGGCTGGACCACTTCAATGCCAAGGACCTCAAGATTTTGTTCAAGTGCTCTTTGGCTGTTTGGATCCTCACCTTGTTTATCTACATCAGTGATACCTTGAGAGTGCTCGGCCAGTCGGCATTCTTCGGATGGTAAGTCCATCATGAAGATATCATGTCATTGGGTATTAACGCGTCTTCAGTGTTGTCCTATTCATCATGCCGCCTTCGGGCGTCGTATTCATCCACTTCGCCGCCGGAGTTATGATCTGCGTCGGTCTTGCGCTCGGCTGGGCCTGGGGAGTCATCACCATGAAAGCTGCTTTGGCGACAAGGCCTCTGGCTGATTTACAGCAACGCTACGCGGAATTGCAACAATCAATGCCACAAAACACGACGAATGTTGGCCAAGCGTCAGGCCAGACAACCTATCAACAAATAGCTATCTACGAAGGCTTCATGTTGGATACTCGCGTATCGGTCACGTACTTCTGCATGATGGGGTTGTTTGTCTATCTCATGGTAAGTTGATTGCGTAGTGAGCCGTGTTTTCAACAACTGACAAACTCTGGCCAGGCGCGTGTACGAGTTTCTGCCCCCAACTTAATGCTCGTATCCATGTTTTCCATGATTGTTGCCGACATCTACTTTACGACAGCACCGCTTATTCCTACTTTCAACGGCACCATACCGAAAGTCCTGATTCTTCCGAGTGCCATTGCAGTTGGCGTTGGTGTTGTTTGCAATTTGTTGTTCTTCCCGCAATCAACCTCTCAAATCACACTTGGAAGCATGGGAGACCTTCTCCGTCCTATAAATGGGTACGTCAAGGCTTTGACATGGCACTTCAAGACGAGAACCAGATTTGAGCCTGAACAGCTACAAGCGCTGAAAGCTACCTTGGCCGTGTCCTTCAAAAGTGTCGAGAGTGCCGTCAAGTTTCTGCCTCTGGACTTCTCTTATCGAAGATGGAGCCCTGAGGATATCAAGTCTTTTCAAGAACCATTGCGACAGGTACTGGTATCTTTCGGAGAGTTACTACAGCTGTCGATCTCTCGTGAAGAGCTCTTTGCCAAAGACGAAGCTCTGACGAAAGCGGCCGAGGAACTTGAGAAGTCTGACAACGAGAAGCACCCTCTGGCTTATCATATTGCAAAAGCGGCTGATCTACGTGAGATTACAAGACACCCTGATACTGAAGAGATGATTGTCAAAACCATTGATGCACTTTCATCTTGCGCTACTCCGCTTCTGAAGACACTGGAGCAAACCGTTGATGCCATAATCGAAGCATTCTCGGGGGCTTCTAAGGACGACACAATCAGTCAACATGAGCAGATCCTCGCATCGCTGCAAGAAGCCCTCGAAGACTTCGAAGACACAGCTGCAGAGCAGCTAATCGCCCCTCATGCTCATCTCTTCGATTCCAACGGTAAGGTTATCTACAATGATCACCGCGCACCTCCTCTGCTTGGCTTGATGCCTGGGCTTCTATACCAGGAACGACTCATCAACCTGACAAAGAATATTGGAGGAGTTCTCGAAAGAGCTATCGAGGTTGAGAGGGTTCGAACATCGAAGCGAGTATGGCTACCCAAAGGCCTCCAGCACATCTTCACGCTTGGCCTGTCCCAAGATGCACCGCCTTCTACGATTCCCAACTCTAATGATCTCACTCGAACGATGTCCGTCATTTCCAAACCCGAGAAGAAGCGAGGTCTCTTCAGCAAGAAGCGAAAGGAAAAGGAAGACCCTGAAGGGGCAAGAACAACCGCCGCCATTCTGGAAAGTATGGAGCAGCCCACGAGTCGTCGACGAAGCAAATCGAGTCTGATCTTCTTGGCGCTCATCAACTTCTTTACTGGTGTCGAGGGTCTTCACGCTCTTCGTGCACTCGTCTTGACTATTGCTCTTGCCGTTCCTGCAGTTATGCCATCATCAGCTGGCTTCTACTATCGCGAAAAGGGACTATGGGCTCTGATCATGGCGCAGATGGCTCTCGAACCTTACATGTCCGACTTTACATCTGGGATCCTCATTCGTACCCTGGGTACTGTAGCTGGAGGTATCCTGGGTCTTCTGTGCTGGTACATCGGATCTGGAAACGGCCCTGGAAACCCATACGGCTTAGCTGCTATCATGGCAGTCGCTATCATCGGCATGATGTGGTGGAGATTGTTTGCTCCGCCACAACATATGGCGGCAGGCATCATGCTTACATCAACTATGTACATGGTTATGTCGTATAGTTGGGTCGACACCCATATTCCCAGTTACGGTAATCCTGGAGTCGGATATGAGGTCTTCTGGCGCCGAATCCTTCTTGTTCTTATCGGTTTTGGCGCAGCCGTCTTTGTTGCGCTTCTTCCGCGACCCCTTTCCGGAAACAGACACTATCGACAAATATTATCCAGCCAGTTGTCGAGCGTCAGAGACCGCTATGCCCTTCTGATTTCAGTCTGGCGCTCGCCTCCCGATGATTTCGTCGAGGTCATCGAGAAGCAGGCTACAACGACCGAAGAGCTGCTCAACTCCATCGCCCTTCCAATCCTAAAGACCAAATTTGAGTTCTCAACCTCAAACATCGATACTGAAACGCTCAGCCGTGCGAACCATCTTTGCAACAATCTCAACGTCTTCCTGGCGCAGTTCAGCATGACCGCGACGAAGCTGCCACTCCCAGTCCGCGAGAGATTCTTCTATCGCGTGAGCGCAGGCGACGAAAACCTGATTGCTGACTTGATGTCAACAATGACCCTTCTTCAACATTCATTGATGTCTGGAGAGCCACTTCCAGCAATCTTGCCGACGCCTTTGGTGGGCCGGGCGATCCAGTTCAGGAGGTTGCGGGGCGACTTTCAAGATGAGGGCAACTCTAAGGAATACCTAGCAAAGCAGGAAGGAAGACAGTGGTCAGCAGCCGTTTATGCGTTTGTGAGATTTTTGGGCACGCTTGACGAGCTTGTCATAGTGATGAAGAAGTCTGTTGGTGAAAGATCACATATCAATGCCGAAGCATTGGGGGGGAGTACGTACTAGAGACATGAGCAACATCACTTCTGAACTTACATATAAGCGTGATTTTACACCACTAAATAGTAACAGAAAACCCAAGCTGGTGTAGTGGTTAACACGTCCGCCGGTCACTGATTAATGCTTCTGCGCGGAAGTCAGCCCCAGAAAGGGGGGGGGGGAGTTCTGGGTTCAAATCCTGGGCTTGGGAATCTTTTTTCTTCTTGAGGGAACTTAATTGTAATCTTGATTGTATTTCTTTATGCCACATGTCACTTCGTCAGTGGCCCTGTAGGAGTTTAACCTTCTAAACTAAAGTCTAAGACGGGGAAACTTTTGGTACAATAACTTAATAGATCTGCTTGAGATAAGATACGCTTTAACTATCAATTAATTATACATGGCACTAAAGTCTCTACTGATATTACCAACAGGCTTCTGATATAAAATTCCATCTCTTTCTTGACCCGATCAAAACGTAAAGTATCGAGCCTGTATTTAATTCACTGGCTTCCCTCTTCCTCGTGGCTTCGCTTTGCTTCCACGTGTTCATGATGCTTGAAGAGTCCTAGGAATCCCAGGTCATAGCATACTTTTAGAGATCCGGCCATGATGAAAGAGACCCAGAAATAGTTCGAATCTGCCAGCAATCCTGTGATGAGAGGTCCAAGGCTCTGAGAAGTTGTCTTGGCTACGTTGATAAGACCAATGACAACTGTTCGTTCCTTAGGTTTGATTATAGCGGCGAGGAATGCGGAGCGGGGTGCAACGTCCATTGACTGAGTGCAAGATCGTAGAATGAGGAAGAGAACCGATAGGTGGACGTCGTTGGGGATGGGGACCAGAGCCAAGAAGACCGCAGATGGAAGGTGAGTAAATACCATGGTCTGCGAGTCATGTCAGTTAGATAGTTCAAACTATTATCGGCATTGCAATCTTACTCGAACATTGCCGAACCGCTTGGCAAGAGAAGATGCTACCAGCATCGATGCAGCGGCGATGATGCTCGTTGTGAAGAAGATGGAACCTAGCTTCCCTTCCTCGATATGGTAGTAGGATTTGAAGTAGTAGGTAATCCATGAGCTATGGCGACTGTTAGCTCTCACATAGAAATGATCTCGTATCAAAGTACTTACAGAGGAGCCAGTCCTGAAGCAAAACTGTCCAAAGCCAAAAGAGTGCAAAGGGTCACAACAGTCGGGATACTGTCACGAGAAATTCGAGCTCGAAGTTGTTTCTTGGGCTGAGGCTGATCGGAATTTTGAGCTTGAGTATTGTCGGGAAGCAGAGGTGCTTGTTCGTCGTTGTCCACTGGAGATCCTTGCTCGGGCTCATGGTGAACTTCAACTGCAGAGCTTAAGATGATGGCCGAGATCAACTTCAGCACACCCATCACGGAGTATCCATAGAAGACGCTACGATAGACCTCAACAACATCCATGCCGAGATTAACGCGCATGTGGTGAATAATCCAACCGCAGGTCAAAAGACCAAAGGCGCCACCAGCCGTGCCGGAGAGACTGTACCAAGCATAGACATCGCCTCGCCGAGCTGCATCAGTCAGGTGAGCAATGATGCTCTCTTCAACACCGCGGAAGGGTCCGATTTCGTTGCCACTATCGATTGTCAGCACCAACACCATCAAAGCATTCTTTTCTTTGTCTTACCCAGGACTGATGATACCCAAGATTGCTGCGGCAAGCAAAATCCAGTAATTGCTAGAGGTGGCAAACACAATTCCACTCGCAGTCATTAAGATTGCCCCCAAGGCCAAGACCGCGCGTCGACCAACACCATCAGCGAATAGTGCAAGCAGGAAGCTGATGATGGTATCACCAACCAAAGTCAAGGTCATGAACAAGCCGACGCGTGTTGTCGATACGCCGAGTTCTCGCAAGTAGGCTACGAGAACGAGAGTAGATCCGCCATACGCGAAAAGACGGATAAATCTCTGTGCGCAGAGGATCTTGACATCTTTCGGCGATCGATAGAGTGAAACAAGACCAAGTTCTTCGATGACTTTATAAACGGGATGACGTCTCGAATTGGTCTCCATAGGTTCCGACATATTGGCAATTGAGGAAAAAAGAAGTCGAACTGTTCATTAAATATACAAGGACATTACTAAAGAGAATTCTTCTTTCTTGGATCTCAGCACTACCAAAAGTTTATATATATGTCTACCTCCGAAGTTCCGAGCCGATTTTGACCCAGTATAAATTCCAGGGTAGCTGTAGCGAGCATAAATCAGCTTGGTGTTGCGTCATCCGCAGTCTCGGAAGAGAGTTTACCAGAAAGGGCGTTATGATTGGTGGATTGACTTTGTCAGCGTCGGTTTTCCGAGATTCGCGTGCCAAATTGGGCAAATTTTGACATATGGGTATATAGGTTCCAAATTCTCTTCACGTGATATCGAACTCCGCTACAGTGACTGCTCACAGTCATCATCTTCCGTAGTATAGTGGTCAGTATGCAAGCTTGTCACGCTTGAGACCCGGGTTCAATTCCCGGCGGGAGAGTTCCAGCCAGCTGTTAAAAGCAGCAATTCGTTTTTTATCTTTTTTTGTAAGGCTTTTTTTTTCTTACATAGTAATAAGTGCGCCTCTTCTTGGTTTTCAAACGACATCGGGGTGCGATCTAGTGGTGGACAGGTTTGTCTTAATTTTATGGTAAATTCTGTAATTAATAACTTCCTTCGCTCTATAAGACGCTAACATTTCTCCAGCTATAATACAGATTCGGTAATATATAAAGAGCCCTGGCAGAGACTGTTGGTCTTAATTATGTTATCGACATGGCTTACTTATATAATGGCTTTGATTGCTTTCTCAATACGGAACAGTACTTCTCAACAGCTTGTTCGGCCGGTTTCGCTCTCGAATCTTTGTTGCAATTGACATAGCAACTTTGACAGGAGACGCATTAGCGACATAGATTCATATGTAAGGAGAGTCCGCTGCTTACTTGGCAAACTCTTTATGTGTTCCACAAAGGCATCGCTCGTTGTCACCGCAAGCATCAGTCTAGAGACACAGGTTAGCTTGCCTTCTTACACGGCTAATCAAAAACGTGCATTTTTCGGACCAGCTTTGAGGCAGGCGTCTACTTCACTGCAGTTTGCTGCTTGGGCAGTGACCCCAACAGTGGAAAAGAGGAAAACAAAAACAGAATATTTCATGTTTGTTTCGGTGTATGTTTGCTGTACTCGCTAGTAGAGACAATAGCGAAGGAAGAACGTAGTACTTAAGTAGTCAGGACTCAGGAACAAAAGCCCTACGACGCCATCGATCGCCAGAGGCTTGAGAACCCTGTCTCTATCACCCGATCAAGAGACGATAACCTTCAGCCGCTGTTCTCATTTCGAGACGATCATTTGAGAAGCCCTCATTTTGGGATGAACTCAGTGGAAAGTCTCAAGTCACTGCATTCCTGAGCCCCTGGAAGTCAACCAATTGGTGCGGTGGCTGGCGGTCGAGCCCCAGGTACTTGGCGTCTTGTCCGCATTCTTCGGGAGCACCTTTCCGCATCCGGTAAGCCTCATGGATTGACACAATGGCAAACCTCACTGCTTGGGAGCAGTCGATGAAAAGGGCTTGGGGTTCATGTTCCCGATGTTCGGCCCTCGACGCTCTCTTTAAATTGGTGGCAGGGTATAGTAAGTGACCGGGAACCAAAATACAGAGTGTATAAATGTGACTCGATATATAAATCCATATCACTTCATCATTCGACGGTGTTCGATCACGGCCATTAGATGCCCAAGGAGAAGAGCAATACCCTAGAGCATGATATGTGGCGAATAATCGTGGCTGTGTGTTCACGCCACGTTTCTTTGGGTTTTCATGACACCAGCCCTGTCAATGTCCTCGAGGCTTTTGTATCATCACCGGAATCATGCTCCGCCTTACATCAACTCCGTCAGTCCTAAAGATTTCAAATCCACAAAGATCCGGATCCATCACTTCTCACAAGAATGGGCTGTCTCTCACAATGGTTCGGCAATTTCAAAGGTCAATTGTGGCCCAAAAGAAGTTTCAGTATCGTGGTGAGAAGCCGATGTCTTCTGAAGAGGATTATCACAAAGCCCAACCGCGAAAGGATCAAGCTGGAAACGTGATGTGGCCTGCCCCCAAGAGTCAAATTGAGAAAGCGAAAGATTTCATTCGTGAATGGTCAGCTGCCCCTACCTGTTACCCTGCCAATCGTCTGGATGAGAACGACATGTCTAAAGAACACTTCAGCTAATCATCCTATAGTGCCGCCGCCGGTAAACAGACGCTGATCGTCCCTGATAAAGATGCTGATGGTCTTGCTGCTGGAGCCATCATCAGAAAGACTCTCATGTTGCTCGGCCTTGATTCCAAGCTGATATCGTGCTACACGATGAACAAAAACAGCTTACTACACTACATGGATTCTCGTACAAACATGGAAGCCTATAAGCCATCTTACATCATTGTCCTCGACCAAGGCTCAGGGAAATCAGAGCCTGTGATCGACTCACCCCATCGCGCGTTAGTCATTGATCACCATCTGGCAGAGGACGACGATCACCCTGAGGGCGCCATATTGGTGACAGCGAACAAATGTCCGCCGATAGCTACAAGTTCGCTGCTGACTTATCTCATCTGCCGCGACTTACACCAAGGGGTCGAGGAAGCATGCGGGTGGCTATGTGTCATGGGAACACATGGGGATCTGGGTAATGCGATCAGATGGCGCTCGCCATTCCCGAACATGCAAGCAACGTTTGAGACGCATACCAAAAAGACGATAGACAATAGTGTAAAGCTTATCAATGCTCCTCGCCGAACCGCACAGTACGACGTCCCCAGAGCCTGGAAAATATTGATCAAGGCCTCATCACCCATGGAGCTTGTTAAGAATAGGTTCTTAAAGGAAGCAAGGGCCGAAGTGATACTTGAAATGAAGAAGGCCGGTCGCGTGGTGCCCAAGTTTTCTGCTGATAAAAAGATCGCAGTGATCCGCATCAACTCGAAAGCACAGATTCATGCTGTCATTGCAGCACGCCAGGCTCGCCAATTGTTTTCAAGAGAACTCGAAGTCGTGATGGTAGCGAATGAAGGCTACGCGAGAGGCGTTGTCAACTATTCGTGTCGCGTTCCAACGTGCGCCAGGGGTAGAGATCCTCCCGTCAACATCCCAGAAATTCTTATTCGAGCAGCAGAGGGAGCGGACGACGATACGCTGATAGAGCGATTGGGACCTAGGTTCGCTGGTGGTCACAAGAACGCAAGCGGCGGAATGATTCCCCAAGCCGAATTCGAGGAATTCTTGGAGGTCATCGGAGTCTCAGGGGATGGAAAGCCATCGCCTTCGCCGAAGAAGTCACCAAAGGGTTGTGCGAATCAGGATCAATTCAGCATACGCAGCTAGGAATCCTTGCATCCAAGCATTGGCGCCCCGTCCGGCCAATTGAGCGCAATTTAATTCCAAGTATTCCTCCTTGCGATAAGCAGCATTCGCAGCCCGATGCTGGCAAGCTTAAACCTTGAACCCCCTGTTAGCTGCCCGCTAGTGGTTTAGAAAACGCCCTGGGACCCCTTCCCACGTTACATTATTGGAGTAAAAGGGTTCTTGGCTTGGAGCCTTGAACTAATGCCGAATGCCGTTCTTGTTCCTCGTGTCAATGACGCAGATCTTGACCGTTTGTTGAACTGTACAACCCTCCCATGCTCTAAGAAGCTTAGCCTAGACAGGAAAGTGGCTGACATCACCACCTTCAGCTGCGAGATACGGGGATGGTTTAGATCGATCTGATGTCGAACAGAAGCCATTATAGTATTAGATTGACGAGACAGTCTGCGACATTAATTAATCGAGACCTCTATCGACAGAAACAAGCTCCTGTTGCCGTTATCTCGACAGCGACTAAAACCCCTCAATAAACGTGTAAGCGGGGTAGCGTGACCAAATAGTTCAAGATCGTCCAATTAGACCAACCACCGGATATTACCTCTTGTAACACTATCAGCGACTTCGTATGGAATAATTGTCGGGCCGCTAAACCTTGACGACCATGGACTTCTTTAATTACTCTGTGAATCCCCTCCCAGGCTGAAGCTGAAAAAGCAGGTTCTTCACGCTTTTCACTTCTCACCTCATCTCAAGCCTTTCATCATGAGACCCAGCATCAATTTCGTTGTCAATGCCCTTTGGCTGACAAGCCTGAGCACTCCCTCTGCTGCCGCTCCCTCCAATGGCAACTATGGTCTTAAGGGTCCTGAGCTCAAGCATTGGCCCGCCCAAGCTGCCAAAGCTCTCAACAAGATGATCGCTCGCAATGCCAACAATGGTCGCTATGCTGTCTTCGACATGGACAACACCAGCTATCAATTCGATCTGGAGGAATCACTTCTTCCTTTCCTTGAGAACAAGGGTGTTCTTACACGAGAGACCATGGACCCTACTCTCAAGCTGGTCCCTTTCAAGGACACCAAGAAGCATAAGGAGTCGCTGTACAGCTACTACTTGCGACTCTGTGACATTGAGGATGCTGTCTGCTATCCTTGGGCTGCGCAAATCTTCAGCGGATTCCCTCTCGGTGAGCTCAAGGGCTACGTCGATGAGCTGATGGCCTACAACAAGACCATCCCCACCACTTATTTTGAGGACGACAAGGTTACAGCCACTGAAGTCTCCCCTCCCAAGATCTTCGAGGGCCAGGTCGAGCTGTACAACCGCCTCATGGCCAACGGCATCAAGGTCTACGTTGTCAGTGCTGCTTCCGAAGAGCTTGTCCGCATGGTTGCTAGCGATCCCAAGTATGGCTACAACGTCCCTCCCCAGAACGTCATCGGTGTATCTCTCTTCCTCAAGACCAAGAAGGGCGAGATTACTACTGCTCGCAAACAAATTGAGGATGGTGACTACACCAAAGAGACACAGAAGCAGAATCTCGAGGCTGAGATGACTCCCTGGCTCTGGGCTCCGGCTACTTGGAAGTCTGGAAAGTGGGCTGCTATTCTCACCTACATCGATGAGTGGAACAGGCCTATTCTTGCTGGTGGTGATACTCCTGATAGCGACGGTCCCATGATTTTCCAGGGTGTTGATGTTGCGCGTGGTGGTATTCACCTTTGGGTCGATCGTAAGCCTGCTTACAGAGAGCAGATTGACGGCATGATCAAGAACAACACAATTGCTCAGAAGAAGGAAGGGCTACCCGTTACAGCTGACAAGAACTGGGTCTTTGTGACGCCAACCGAGCTTCACTAAATTATGTTCTAGCTAACATGATTGATATCTTAATACTAACATGTTTAACTCTCAAACACCACGTAATTTTACTAATTTCCTAAGCGTATTGCAGTCTCTCTTCGGTCCACTCCGGGCGGAGATACTTGCTATCAAACTTAACATCGAAGCTGGATGTATGAGCATAGTCAACCTCCCACTCAACTTTGACCTCGCCGCCTTGAGCACTCTGACTCCAGACTGTAACAGCGATGGTGTTTTCTCCATTGTAATTCAGAACACCAGGAGGCACAGGGAAGGAGATTTGGTTGCCGATGTAAGGGTTGAATCGTCCGTACTGGTAGCCGTTGACAAACAGAAGAACTCTGACTTGGTTGCTGTAGCCTTTCTTCGTGGCAGAGAAGGTCGTGTTGGAAGGCGCTGTAAGCTTGAACGAGACACCGACGTCTAGGCCATCAGGAATATCAAGATCGACGGTCGTTCTGTAGGCACGGACTCCAGCCGAAGGGTTGACGAGGGTTCCCTGCTTGGAAGAGTATGTCTTCCACTTCTTGTCGGAGAAGCCAGGCAAGTGAGCGCCGATACGCTCAGCGTAGAGACCACCCTCGTTGAGGGGACCACGAATGGGATCGATGACCTCGCCCTCAACGCTTCCAGCATGACCAGCAATCTTCCACTCCGAGAACTTGTAACCGCCCTTGGCTGGACCAATGAGAGTGGCATTGGTGATACCTCGAGGGTCAAGAGCGCCGTCACGTAGATCGTGGCCAGAGTTATCCATCAGAACAACCAGAACGTTCTCCTTTTTGGACAGAGTGGCGTTCTTGAAGGAGAACTCTTGGCCTGCCTGGCCAGTGGTGGCTTCGCCGAGATAAGATCCGATATAATCCGAGTTCAGCCAGACGGAATAGCCAAAGGCCATGCCACCCATGAGGTCAAGATAAACACCAGTAGGAGCAGAGCTAGTGGTGGGGAAAGTAGCTCTGTAAATGTGGTTTCCGTAGTGGATCTTGTACTCGTCGACGTAGAGCACGGGGTTCTTCAGATCCGGGACGAGGACCGCGTTGGTGGTGTTCTTCTTATCGGCAACTACTCAAGGTCAGTACATACAGTCATCTCAGATACCACTGTAACACGTACCAACCCAGGCCGAAGATGATGTCTTGTAATCGGTCTTGATCTCGGGCAAGCTGTCGGCATACTTCCAGGAGTCAAGCTTGGGCAACGTAACCTTGGAAGGACCCTTGAGCTTGATGGTGTACTTGTGACCTTCCTTCGACGAAACCTTGACCTTCTCATCGTTCCAAGCGATGGAATTGAGAGACTCGGGAGCAAAGACAGTGATTTCGGTCGCGCTGTCGAGATCGCCCTGGATGTTGAGCTGTCCGTTGTTGATGGTGGCATGGCGGACGAGGTAGGGGCCGTGAACCAGAACTGCGAAAGTCAATATGCGTCTCTCAAGTGTGTTGTTTCATCGGCAGAACTCACCAGTCTTATTGACGGGCGCGAAGGGGTTGTTGTCCAGTGTAGGAGCCCAGAACTTGTAAGCAGTCTTTCGATCAGCAAGAACAATGGTGGAGCCATCCTTCAGGTTGAGAGTGAAAAGACCCTTCGACTGAGTATAGTTGACAGTAACGCTCTTCTTTCCCGCCTTGACCTTAATACCCTTCAGAGACTTGTCGTGCTTGAGCTCGGTGTGTCCCTTGAGGGTGAACTCTCCTTGCTCACCCTCAGGAAGCCAGAGGACAACGACCTCCTTGTTGTCGATGATGGAATAAGTGAGAACTTCGGCGGTCGAGTAGAGGAGTGTCTTCTTGCCGAAGTGGAAGTCAGTTGGGATGACCTTGGATTGATGGCCATTGATAGTGATTGCGCCCTCGTTTTGAGGGATGGTGACTAGAGGTCGTTAGTAAATGCGGCTTACGGAACAATACAGAAACGTACGCTTGCCCTCGGAGGTCTTGACATGAACTTTGAAGGTCTCTTTGGTACCGGAAGGTGAATGATCGTGTCGGGCAACGTAGAAAGCAGCATCATTCTCCTCATGTCGAAGCTCGGAGATCAAGATGGCATCGTTCGTGGAAAGGGAGGTACTGTTGGTAACTCGAATGGTTTTGGTAAGATCGTGCGCAACCCGCGTGAAGAGAGTCAGCGACTTGGTCTCGTAGTACTTATCCCAGATAGCACGGTTCTCAGAGATAGGCGAAGAGTAATCGTAGCTAGTTGCAACAACAGGGCAAGCAAACCAACCCCAGTTGGTTCCACCGTACATCATGTACAGAGAAATGGCGGTGGCTTGCTGTGCGAGCAAGTCACGGTAGAAGATGTTGGCAAAGTCAGGGCCGATATCGCCAGGGCAACCGCCCTCTGGACCGCCCCATGGATTGTAGGAACCGCCCTGGAACTCGGGCAGGAAGTGAGGTTGATTGGGAGATTGCTTGTTGAAGTAGGTGACATAGTCTTGGATGTTGTAAGGAACGTATTCGCCGTTGGTGCCGGTGCACTCGTCGAGGTTGCAGCTCCAGCACGAGGGGTAACTGTCGACACCAGTGACATCGACGTTGCCGGTTGCATTACGCTCGAAGTCGTTGGACCAAGAAAATGTGCGCTGCGGATCGGTTAATATTTTGTCTATAGTCCACATTTGGAGAGGTAAAACTCACAGTATTGGGCGCGTTGTGGAATACAGGAACATCGATACCGGCCTTTCTAGCGGACTCCTTGAGAAGTTGCATGTAGTTGGCGGTAGGCTCGTTCAGAATCCTCTTGTCGTCATTCTTCCACTGACCGCCCAACTCGTTCTCAATCTACACTCGTCAGCTTCCTCCACCATCATCAACGCTGCAACCATACCTGGAACATGGCAACATTGCCGCCATTGGTAATGAGATGGGGTTCAATGATCTTGGAAATCTCAGTCCAATACTTAGACCAAGCCTTAGTGTATCTGGGATCATCGTTTCGAAGCTTGCCGTACTCTCCGGTGGTGACCCACAGAGGAAAACCTCCGGCGTTAGCCTCGGCATTGACGTAGGGACCAGGACGGATCAGGAGGTAGAGGCCGAGCTCTTTGGCAAGGGTCATGATCGACACGAAATCGTGAGCGCCATTTTCGAAGTCGAGGACGCCTGGGGTTGCTTCGTGGTAGCCCCAGCTGTTGTAGATGCTGAAGGCTGTGAAGCCAGCGGCCTTGATCTTTTCTAGCAAGTCGCGCCAGAGTTCGGGTCTGACAAATGTTAGATTCGCGCTTGGTTTGGAGAGGAGATGAAGCGTACACAGGCAGACGCCAGTAATGGAATTCACCTGAGAAGACAAAGATCCTCTCGCCATTGATCAGGTAACTATGGTCGTCCCTGGGTTGTTTGTTAGCTGGAAGTCTCGTAGGCAGCAATTGAGTGAATCACCATTCAACAATGTTTGTAAGTCCATTGTCTTGGATTGGAACATCTTTTGTCTCTTGTCCAATCGACAAACCAGCCAAGGCAAGCAGCCCGACAGTTGAAAGCGAAAGCAACTTCATCGTGACTTGCTATGCCAATCAACCTCAAGCTCGTGTGCACAGCATCACCCAGAACTTATATACGCGCATTCAATGGCACCAAAAAAAAAAGTCATCTCGGCCAGAAATGACCCGCATTACATGACATGACATAGCTCCCCCACGGCTCTCACTCCCGAATTGTGTCGATCGAAAAGTCTGGGGGCTCGGTGGTGCTCTTCACCGGTGTTGAGGGGTAGTAGGGTACGATGGACGGATCAGCCGGAGAATAAAACGCGTCAATGGGAATTTTGCCATGCAACGGTAGCGTTGCAATGTCAATTCTTGGACGAGAGTTTATTCCGTCTGATGACATTTACTCCATGTTTTCTCCACATTCACCCGCATTTCTATTGACGCGGCTCTGGCAGTTCAACTGTCATTTTACGTGCATCGGGCCTATTAGCCCTGTTGGTCAACGCCTTGCTTCCCGACCAATGTGATCGTCTCAACCTTGACTGGTTGACCAGCTCACAGCCCGAATTGCCGTTATTCTATGTGATGGCACCTTTCGATGCTGGAAAACCGGGGGACAATGGGTAAGTGCTCGAAATTTGGTTAACGGTGTTCTTGACTGCCTCGGAGCTTGTCGTCGGACTGATCCGCTGCAGCTGTGATGGCCAAACTGGTCATCGCCTAATGCGCCCAGAAAGCACCATGATCGACAATGCGCTCTACGGCTTAAGCACCCTCTACCGAGATCATCTGTCGACAAGATCTAAGCTTAATCAACGGGCACGTTGCGTTACTACAGATCATCTCCATATGAAGACAGCTGCAGGTACACATAGTAACGTCAGGGACGGGTTGGGCCCCAAGCGCTACAAAACCTTGCATCCTTCAGCATGCTGTGGAACGATTTCATACACCCAGGTGCAGCTATTGAGATCCCAAGAATGCTTCCTTTCTACTACACCAGGTGAGTATCAGGTCTGAGCTTTTCAACAATTTTCCATCAGCTGATTACCTTGTCACATCCTTCTCAGGGCACTTATGCGACTCTCCTGGCACCTCGCAAACCAAGTGATATCTCTCATCCCATCAAAACCATGGGGCAGCCCCGGCCAAAGATGGAACTCGACTTCAACATGATCGTTAGCTAACCTCTTTGCATACTCCAGATTCTCATCCCTAAACAGATCGAGACATCCCACGTCGATATAAGTAGAAGGCAGGCCTCGAAGCGTTGCAGCCCGAGCTGGAATTGCGTAAGATAGACCTTGAGGATCATTCTTCTCTCGAACCTCAGAAGCGTACACGTCCCATGCAAGTTTGGCGCCATCAGGCTTCCAGACCATGAGGTCAAGGATTGGATCATCTTTCTCAACATGATCTCGGTCATCGAGCATTGGGTATACGAGTAGTTGTTTCGCAATTGGAGGATCAAGCTGTCGATCTCTCGCCATTAAAGCAAGACCCGCGGCGAGGCCACCACCAGCGCTGTCGCCGTGCAGAGCGATCTTCGTAGGATCGACCTTAAGCTCTACTGCAGACTTCGACACAAATTGAAGAGCCGCATACCCGTCTTCGACACCAGCAGGAGCAGGATGTTCCGGTGCTCGCCGGTAAGATACCGCGAAGTATGGAAGCTTTGAATCATTCGCGAAGCGAGCGATTTGAGGCGCAAACAGCTCTACATAACAAGAGACGTAACCGCCGCCGTGAAAGTACATCACAGCGGGCGTAGGCTTGTCCACAGCCAACGTCTCCTCGGAGGCAAAGCGGGTGACTTCAATCTCGATACCGTCATAACTTTTGACTTTGAACACGGTCTCCTTCACGCCATCGGGGTATGGAGAATTCGTGACGACTTGCCGGATGACTTCTTCGGTACTCTTCCTGATCTCAAAGACAGATCTCGATGGCTCGGGCTTGGGTCCCTTCGTAACGGGCCCAAGAGCTTTGAGGTATTCAGGATCGTATTTCAAACCAGTCATGATAATCGAATCAGAATTGAAAGTAATTGACGAGGGCGAAGTCTGACGATCGTGTTCAATTATAGGCAAATAGATTTAGGCTATATGTATATATCCCGCAAGTGGCTGGCAAGCTGACTCGGCCCGTAGTCTCGACCGAACCACTTATTCAAAACAATGCCCGTGGTCTGATGCTTCTAGGTCGAAGAGATCATCCAATATCCGGAACAGGAGACCACAGCTATTGGTTGTCTCCGCAGAGCCTACTGAGAAACTTCCCTTGAACCTTTTGCAGTTTGCATTCTTGATCGATTGAAAGCTATAAGACTGGTTAGAAGAACGAGTGACGAGTCGACGACTAACCGAAGAAACCATACTTCAATAATGAGATGACACCGAGCATTACCATGGTATGAGTCTGTCAACATCAAGCAGATCCAGACTTTCCTCATCCAACTCATGCCAGTCGTCCCAAAACGCTGCTGCGTTATGCTTGCCCCTTTCGCCGATACCCCGACCTTTCTGGGCCTTGAGCTCGAGTTTCAGCTTATCAAAAGAAATCTCGATCTTTCCGTCTCCAAGAAATTTCGCCCAGCCATAGTTTTTGTCACCTCGGAATATTTTGAACTTGTTAGACACCCTTTTGCCGCGCCACCTGAATGGCACTTTGTTGGTCGAAGCGTCTGTTGGACATTTATCGAAAAGCATGAGTGCAGTGTAATTCATTCGGCCCAAAGTGAGATAGCCACGCAGCGTGCCATTGTCTCCTGGGGAGAGGACTATACTACAAAACTCGTCGTGGTTCCGTTGAGACTCGTCATCGCAGCAGGGGTAGAATGCTTCGATGGCGTACTTTCCTTTCAGGTTTCCCAATGGTTTCGGAGCTGGCATTGCAACTTGTGAGTTCTCGGACTTGACTGTCGTTGATCCCTTCGTTCTCTTGGGTGCAGGCTGGTTAGGGGTCCCATCCGATTTCCTTTTCTTGGTAATAGGTGCCTTGGCCTTTTCCTTGTTCTCTCTCAACCATGCTCGATGAAGCTGGGGACGAATACCGTGGAAATGTTCAGGTAGCGCTCTCTTGGAGTTGAAGTGATCAAAAGCCTCAAGGACCCATGCGTGTGCCCGGACAGGGGTAGACGGAATCTTCCATAATTTCATATGCTCTTGAAGCCACTTTGGAACTTGGAAGTCAGCGCCTGGGATGGCCGCTGCTGCCACGGAACTTGGTGCTGGTTGAGATGCACGACTTGATACAGGGGTTACGGACGCGTTAGACTGTGTCTCAATGGACGGATAGAGAGCAGCAGCAGCTGTCGGCCGAGCAGTTGCGGATGCCATGAAGATCAAAGTCGAAGCTGATTTGGATAAGGCGTATTTCACTAACTAATTGTGAGAGGGACAGAAGCTGTTGAGGTTGCAATCAAGTAAAAGAATGACGACGGTGGCAGAACCGCGTTTTCTGTTCCTTACTGACTGTACGGAACCATCCCATTTGAGGTTAGCGTTGCTCGCCCCTTGCCCGGGTTAGTCCCAAGATGTCAACGCGAGACTGGCCCGCAAGACATTGGCACCATCACGATTAACTCTTCAAAAAATACATACAACAGCGGGGATTCGCTGGTCGTCACCGACCCAACTACTAATCCGCCCCTTACAGGCTTGACGATGGGAGAGCGGACGGGATCCCGTATTTTCCTATAGGTATGGTCGTATGTGACATTCACAGGCTGCATCGTGGGTCATACTCTTGGCCTTGAGGTAGACAGAAGTACGGGGGCTGCAGTATAAGCCAGTGAACATGTAGTCAAGTCTCACTATGGACTGAGTTCCCAATGAAGGCTCTAGGGAACATATGAGAAGAGCCTTAGTAGAGAGCAAGAGTTGGCTTTCAAGTTGTGAATAGTGGGTGTGACGAGAGTGAAAGAAGAACATAATTATGGAATGTAGACTTGAGTATTGGATTGGCGCTGAGTCTATGAGTTACAAAGACATGTTTCTCGAAAACAAGTCTCCAATGATGCCTCTGTCGACTATCCGTCAATCAATCAACGATTGTCTACTTAGAACGGCAGCGGGCGAATCTGCATAGGCTGGTTCTCGCCTGCAAAAATAGTGTCAGTCCTATATATCAAGAAGATACTAGAATGAGAAACTCACCTTCGATGATAGGTGCGTAAAGTTTGTCCTCGATGAAAGCCAGGCCGGAACCTATTGTTTATTGTTAACCTCAAAACCGCCAAAGCCGCAATATGATAAAGCATACCTGAGAATTTGAGCTCGAGGGGGCCACCATACTCCTCGACTTGAACAGGCTGGAGATCCTCGACCTCCTCTCTCCTGCGCCACAAGACGCGCTTGGGCATCATGGATCGATCCTCATAGTTGAGGCGGCCCAAAGCCCACTCACCAGAGAAAAGACGACCGTCTCGGAGCTCAAAGATGGCAGCAGGGTCACCAGGCTGAGCTTGGATCATGGGCTCACCGTTATCTCGAGGATTGGCGACGGGCTTTCCGTCAACAATGATCATGAATCTGCCGGGAATAGACATGGTGGATAGTAGTTGAATTGTAGTAAATGGGTAGAATGCAAGATGGTTTAATTGATGGGTGATTCTACATGAGTAACTGGGGATATGAAGCGATATTTATACTCTTCAGAACTTCATCACATGACGAGTTCTCTGCGTTGCTCCAACCAGCCTCTCCAAGTTTATCTCAAGGTCCGATCGTTCCCGGGATCTGCATGCCATGGAAAGACGTCTCGTATAATATGCATTGAAGCGTCAAGATCTACGGGCAAAAGTGCTATCAGTGAAACTCAAACCACAAGCAACGCATGCGTCGGGTGAGGGGAAGTGAGACTGTTGGCTTACATGAAACAGCGAGGAGGTGTTGGTTCGATGCCAATCCCCACCATTCCACCATCAGAACGCATGAAGCTTCCAAAAGCTTGAACCTTTTTGTCAGTTTCCTTATTGCAAGGACAATTTACGGGTTTGAATCACCGCACTGTTGACTTAACGTGCCCTCTTGAGTCTATTGCCATGATTTCAGTCACCGTATGGAAGGCTCGTTGTTTGTCTGATAGTAAGCTCCTCATCCTTAACCACGTCGATCTAAAGATCTAATCCAGGTCTTCAGATCCCTGCCCGTCTCAGTCATCTCCCTTGCTTCGGCAATACAAGACTTCCCTGCGGGAAAGCACAACTCGAGAAACTCATTGCCGTAAATAGCCATGATCGGCTGAAACCTGATTGATCGACAGATTCTTCAAGACAGATCTCAGTTCAGCTCGAAGTCAAAAACACTCCGGCTCCCCGGATGATCGCGTAGTGGACGAGCTCGAGTCGGCACGGCACGGATGCGGGTCTTCCCGTAGGAAGTAAAGATGACCATTCCAGTGATGACCCTATCAGGGTACCTAAGAAAGAGAAGAGAACTCGACAGTTAATCCAATTTGAATTTAGTGGGAACTAGGCCCGATATATTTGCCTGAAGATTTGAAGATCTCTTGCTCCATGAGAGTATTTAGCTTCAGCCTTGTCTCAAACAATGATCTCCATATTCGAGATCTGGGATGTCTATTGGGGCAATAGCCACGGTCTGAATGAGATCCGCCAATGGATGTTCGTTCGTGATCCCGTGTCTTACAATCTTGGTATTTAGGAATCATAGACGTCATAGATGCGGTTTCCAAGTGTTACTAGATTGATCTGGAGTTAAGGTCTCGAATTGATGCCGTGTCTCAGACATGTCTTAAGGGTATCTCAAGATATACAGCCAATGGCTTCGTCTGCCATCGGAGGCACATCCGTCCCCGGACGCTGCACCTCCAGGGGCCAAGTAACAAAGGAAGACTGAGTTGGAGTACTCTGCGGTCATCCCCTTACGGCCACGGACAAGCTCCATCCGAAATATAAAGGGTTGGGGCCTACACTCGTGATGCTCGTGGCGACGCCGAACTTTTCTCCGAGACGCATAGCTATTACTGTTTCAAGTACAGCGTTTGGTACTTGAAACAAGGCTGTAAAAGCTTAGACTGAGCTCCTGTTAGGATAATAGTAGTCACGTTCGCATTCCGAACCAATGGCTGAGAAGCGATTCTCCGAAAGTATCTCCGCTACTTTCCAGAACAAGATACACCTCCGATGACAGAATATACTACCAAAATGAGCGATGTGACTATGATTTTGTATAAAAGAAGTATTCTTGGGATAGTAATTGGTAAAGAAAGCCTTAGGTTCAGTACAGCATCTGGTTCTCAATCATCTGCCCATCATGCGCGGTTCTCTTGTTGTCCTACTTCTTGCCAGCTTTTCCATCGCCTCGCCAACTCTGGAGAAGCGAGCAATTACATGTCTCAAAGTTGGCCAAACAGCCACTGCCTCATGGACCAATAGTGCTGGGAAGAAATGTACTTTCACGGGTGTTGTTGGTAGCAACTACGGTGCCAACCCTTCCGGATCAGGAGAGTAAGTTTTGTGGCTACCGTCTTCTTTAAGAACACAACGCTGATTCGAAAAGTTACTCTTGTAACGGAAGATGCGGAGCCGGGTGCAGCGGCACTGCTGTTGGCAACGTCTATACGCAAGATTGCTTCTCTCACGATATCTGCTCGTACTTCAACTCCGCCTCCGGCGGTGCCAGGTGAGTTTTCTTTTCAAAGGATAGGGAGTTGATGCTAACCTCGATAGTGACCCCAATTGCGGAGCTGCTTTCAATGCGGCTGTCGATGATACTGCTTTAGGTTTTGCGAATGGTTGCAGCCAGACGAATCCAAGCAACAGTGTTGCCAAACCCAATAGTGTTCCAGTTTGCAATTAGCACAGCTCTCACCTTCCTCCAGAGGGTCAGCGATAACCTCCAAGCTAGGAGCCATGCTGGCGAGTCAGTATTTGCCTATAAAGTACATTGTCCTTTTCTTATGCTTGTTCCGTGGCTCTGTTGAAACTGTTATACCTGGTTGCATGCCTGAGTCTCTGCCGATATCCCTTCTCTGGTTGTAGGGGCTCGTCTATAGAACACTTCCCTTTCTTTTTAGCTTTTCGTTCTTAATCCATATTGGCTTTCTAGAGGCGGTATGTAAGTCAGTTTGGCTTCCTTGCCCAAGATTCTGCTTGTGAACTGAGAATCAGCCATTGCTATCACTTCCTCAAGCAGCTTCCTAACGACCATCGAGTCCATCAAAAGTTTTTCATCAATCACACCAACTAATGCGAACTTGAGGAACGGCAGCTGTGTCACTCCGAAAATCGAGGAGATGGACAACATCTTCAAGCTGACTTGACCTGCCATCGATCTGATTCGTTCGCTGGCCAAAGACCCCTGCTGATACCCGCATCTGACCCCAGCGAAGGACGGTGCCCCTACAACTGAGGATAGCACCAAAGTCCTTGAAGTGAGTCACCTTTGGAGGAAGTTGAAAGGCTGTACATGATTCGACCACTATCATACATGGAAGCTGGCGCAGCGGAACAGATTTCGATATTTATTCAACATTTTTCTCACACGAATTATCTTAAACTTCTTTCATTAAATACCTAGCCTCAAAAAACTCTAGACTTTCAGCATGTCTTCGTCTCAGCGCGATGCCCAACTACAAGCCCCGGACTCTGAGGCTAGTCCTCAATGAGGGACCATCAGCAAACACCAAGCTGAGCTCAGTGATGTTTGGGGAAAATTGGAGCACCATCCCTCCTACAAGGGTTTGTTGCCTCTGCCTCTCGTTCGAACGGAAGAACAGAGGAGATTGATAGAATCGGAGAGAATTGAGAAAAGGAAAAGCTGGAGGACGGGATGCTGGGGCCGCGTTTCCCGCCCCAGATTTTGTCGGACCACGATCTTGGGTTGGAAGAGGCATCGTCTGAAGACGTATCCTAAGCCTTCGATCCAACCACAGGTCCTCAAAATCGGTCTTCAAGGGAATAACCAGGGTCAAAGTACTGCCTGTCGTCGTGAAATACAATTGCCATTTTGTCGGAAGATACCGAAACACCTGAAGCTTGTCCCGTTTCCGAATTCCAATTGATTAGGATAGCGATCTTGACTAAGTAACGAAAAGGCATGGCTGCTCAGCCGCAATCGTCAATTTTCGATCAGTGACTACAATGGCTGCCAGGGCTGGAATAAGAACGGAATGTGCCATGACTAACTAAAATGCTTAGCCTTCCAGCTGGTCTCGCGGCGGCCTCTAGTGGCGTGCACTATTGAAGCTATTCTCAACATTAAGCAAGGCATAAATTCGGTAGTCCAAATTGGGCATTTAAGCTTAACCTGTAAGCACAAAATTATCATAAATACCCGAGGGTCCATCGTCAATACTGGGTGGAATGACGACTGGTTATATTGCTGACAGCTCTCGTATAGAGCTGGAGACACGTCGGGTCTCCCGTGGTGCACTGACGAAGGTGAAGCTATTTCTGTACACGACAGTTGTTTCTAGCGCTAAACACAGCCCCGATACGGCAAAGCTGGCGCCTGAGTGGCTGGCCTAACAGCTCAGCTGCAGGGCTCCGAAAGTCTGGACCAGCAAAGCCACGACAGTGCCACCACCTGAACCAGCGGCAAGGTTTAGAGATCAAGGGAGGGAGCTTAGCTCAGGTATAATAAACAAGCTTCTTTCAGCGCGAGCTGAAATCTTCATTTTTCTGCAGATCTCTCACGATACTACTTGAACATCTGCAAGAAGTTAAAGTTGAAGATACCTTGAACACGACAGGGAAGCAAAGGTTACACCCGCAAACAACCGTCGACATGCGCTTCGCTGGCAGCCTCATTCTTGGCCTTTTGGCTGTAAACGGCCTGGCTCAAACAGTCGTTCCAGATCAAGACGCAGCGCCTTCGGCCATTTCTCAACCAGAACCATCAGCGCCTGCTGCTGAGCCCTCGAATCCTGCACAAGACCAACCCTCAGATGCTGGCGATGACGGAGACGCACAACCGACAGATGCAGATAGCGTTCCATCTGCCACAAATGGCCCAGAACCAACAGCTGCTCAACCATCAGATGAAGCTTCCCAAGCTTCAGGTGGCGGCGAGCAACCCACCGCGACAGCGAGCGATGATGACGAAGATGCCTCAACAGCTGAAGGTACAGCGACAGCAGATGGTGAGATGAAAGCCGACGACCTTTCAGACACGCAAGCTAACAGCGATTAAAGCTACTGCCACAGATGCCGACGCGACAGCTACAGCGTCCGAGACCGACGACGATGACTCGACCGACACAGCCACTGCGACAGCTACATCCAGCTCTGCTCCCACAAGCACAGGCACCGTAGTCGAAGTCGATCTCAAGAACGCTACAATTGGCGAAAACGCTCAACTCGTCAAGGTTGACGGCAAGGACGCCATGTAAGTCCCCAAAGCTTCCCTGTCCGCTAACTCCACTAACTCTGGCCCCAGTAAATTGAGCGCCCCCGCCAACGGTCAAGCAACTTTCAGCGTCGCCGTCGACAGCGACGATGAATTGAATACGGACGAGCTCATCTACATTGTCGCATCCATCCTTGTCGGCGAGCCCAGCAGCGCGAAACTCCGACGACGAGCCGACAAGACCGACTGTACACTGCAGATCCAGGCTGGCGGGCAGAACGTCTATGAGGAACCGCTGTATACCAACAATGGCCAGTTCCAGGACGTTACCAGCAGCGGCATCCAGTCTTCGGACAAGCCTGAGGTGCAGGTCACGCAGAAGTGTGGCGACAAGCCATCGCCTCTGACTGTGAATAACGTTCGAGTTGGAAACGAGAGTGGTGTCAAGTCAAGCGCTGGCTCTGGCTCTGGGGGCTCGGGCAGTGGTGGAAGCGGTAGTGGTAGTGGTAGCGGAAGTGGGAGCAGTGGAAAGGGCGGCAGTGGTGACAAGACTTCCACGGCGACAGGTGCTTCGGCGAGCGCAACTGGCGACTCCGGTAATATCGGTGCTAAGACCAAGGCCAGCGTTGGTGCTCTTGCTGCTGCTATCCTGGCCGCTGCCGCCATGTTTTAGATGAACGCATCATCTGGTTGGCATCAAGATTGCTTAGACGGGAGGGCATGGGACGCGGACATGGGAAACTAGATTATACGAATCATTATTCACGACAATACTAATCATACATAATTGACTAATCGTATATACGGCCAATTCTCGTTATTCAATTGTGCGTGTTGCCAAACCCTCCATCACGTAGCAATTCCTGCGACCCTCTTGTCGTCATCAACCAATTCTTTATACCGGGGGGCGCTTCGCTGTCGAAGCAATTTACCAAACCTGATCATGACGAAGCAAGCAGAACAAGCGGCCAAAGCGATAAATGCAGCTGAGATGAAACAATTCTGATAGCCCATGTTGGTGATCCAGGGTGTGATGCTGTTGGTTGTTAGTTAGTGGCTGCTGATCTCCTAAGCGGACGGAAACTTACCCATAACTAATAGCAAAAGACATGGTGTTGCGAACTAAAATAATCGTAACAATCGCATCACCACTGAGTTCATAGTAGCTATCAATCAAGTAGTTTATACTGATGATAAGCCCCATGACACTCGTCACAGACAAAGTGCACATGGCGAAAATGAGGCCGAACCAGTGAACGCCGTGTTGCGCGCCGACGCCCCAGAGGATCAAGGATGCCGGAACGCCAATTACACAGATCGCCAGCGGCCACAGACGGTGCTCGGCTTCCATGATACCATTGTTGCGGCGTGCGAGTTTGATAGTAAGCCAGTCGCTCAATCGTCCTGCGAGAATGGCAGCGATAATGGTACCCAGACAGCAGGACAGGTAGCTCAGTCCGACCATTGACGGCTTGAAGCCATACCCGGGGCCTGACAGGATGATAGATGCTGTCGCATTGAGGACGTTGAACCAGATAAGATACGAGCCGTACGAGAAGCCAGCGAAAAAGATGACAGGCCAACTGAGGTACTGAAGCGAGCGTCCAGCGTGACGAGCCATACTCTGGCTTGGGGTAGGTTGCCAAAGCGACAACTTCTGCAAGAACGTTCTCGGTTTGGCATATTGGACGTTCGCCTCGTCAGCCTCTCTGACCTCAGATCCCCCAGCGTCAGCATCCTTTTCTTCGGTCTTGCCGTTGTTCTCAACGATCAATCGGGACGGACTGAATGGTACATGGTCGACTTGTCGGGCGACACGATTGTAATTGGTTTCTTCCATGAAGAAGAAGAGAAACACGAAGACGAATGAGAGGAAGATAGCAGGCCAGTAGAACACCCATTTCCAGCCTTGATACTCGGCAATGAAGCCACATATGACCGGCGCGAAGTAGTTGCTGCCGGCTAGGGCAAGGGCGTAGATGCCCATGTAGGTTCCACGTTGGTGAGTGAAGTACTGGGCATTGTCAGTCACTCGCTTACAATGAAGGCTTGAGGCAGTACTTACGAGGTCAGTGATTGAGATCTCAGGCAGGGCTTCAATGGGTGCGATGAAGAAGCCTTGGATGATGCATTTGGCGATCCATTCTCCGTTGCTTGAGACGTGTGCGCTACGATCAGTCAGTAAAGTCACATTCCAGTATCGCATCACTTAAAAGAATTACCTCCAAACGCTTGTTCCCTGATCATACTTGTCAGCTATTGCTTGTGATGAACGCATTGGGATTGACTTACGATGGCTCCAAGGACAGATACGAGGTAGGTCAAACGCTTGCCATATCGCAGCGAGAAGGGTTGCCAAAACAACAAACCCCAGCCCAATAGAAGGTACATATATCCAGTTCCCTCGTTGAGCGTCTGAATTGAAACCTTGGACTGCTGCGCGAGCGGGACGAGGACTGAGTACACAGTGGCAACAGACATGCCCGTGAACCAGGTGTAACTTTCAAAGTCAGCAAAAGATATTCACAGTAAGACAACAGACTCACAGGTTCTGACAGATCAAAGCAAGGACTTTGCGACGAGGAGTCCAATTCAGAGGATCCTCTGGGTCGTCGCTTGGGGCAGGATCAAGGACGATGTCGCCGTCACCTCCACCTGCATGACGAAGACGCAAGTTGCGATTGAGGTCAACAAGAAAGATAGTCCCAGGAATGGGGTTTTCCACCACAACGTTCACCATTGTCTGCGGCTCGGGCGAAGGCAATCGAAGTGTACAAAAAGAAGATGGCCTGAGGGGAGGGTAGTAAGACTTGTTCAATTCGGGCACCAATGGACGGGGCTCTGTGCGACGTGGCTCTGTGCGATGTGGCTCTGTGCGATGTGGCTCTATGCAACGTCTTATATGCTCATCCTCCGCATCTGTGTCACCAGATGAAGAAGGGGGAATCAGCAATAATAGCGGTGCAATACGACGTTCTTCGCCCGGTAAGTATATCAAGCCGGACATGATTGCTGTTGCTGTTGTTGTTGGTGGTCGAAGCTAGAAGAACAATGGAAACGCCGCTAAGGATTGTTCCACGAAGCGAAAGGGCCTTGGGACATGTTGGTGGACGCCTCGCAAATTATTCCAACTGGTCACCTGAAGCTTCGGGAAGCCAAGGTTGATCGATTTGGTACAGTTGGATGTCAACAATGGGAATTTGGAAAATGTTTGTATCGGATTGGTTGTTTGGGTGGTCAGAAGTGGATGGTATCGTGAGCCAACGACAAGCTTGCAAGACAGCTGTCGACTGGAGTTTGTTTTGACCCATGGTCCGAGCTTTGTTTTGGCTGGGAAATCAGCAGTGCAAACAGCTAAAGAATAGGGCATCGAGTAAAGACCAAGGGGTCCGGGGTTCGAGAACTCCTAGGCCAAGACTTGACATATATCAGCTGGATCATCACAGCTGCACCATCTCCTCATTGTCCTCCTCGCCATGATTTCGTGGCAAATGTTTTGTCACGCAAATACATCCTTCGACCATGACTTTTGCCTCTTCTTCTTCAGCCCCCCCATCAGGTTCTTCCAAAGACTCCTCAAGTGTCACCACCCACAACTTGAAGTCCCTCGAATCTAGACTCTTGGTCACAGAGATGCTCCCAGGGCTTCCTGTTGTACAGGTGAAGCCTGTACCTCTCGGCACTCCCGAGTTCGAAGAGAAGAGGGCTGCGTTACTTGAAGCATTTGCAGCGAAGGTCCCGGGGGAGCTGCAGCTGCCTTTGAAGATTATACAGAACCCTCCAACAGACGTGTCCACGATCCCAACAACATGTGGCATTTTATCTCCAGAAGAGATCATTATCACTGAGGATTATGATGCTGTCGGCCTTCTTGAGGCAATCGCACGTCGAAAACACACCGCAGTAGCCGTTGCACGGGCATTCTGCAAGCGTTCCATCATTGCGCATCAGCTCACATGCTGCTTGACACAATGGTTCATGGAAGAGGCCATCGAACAATCTCAAAAGCTCGATGCATATTTCGAGGCTCACGGGAAGCCTATCGGTCCCTTGCATGGCTTGCCAATAAGCATCAAAGATCACATCCAAGTTGCCGGGACCTCTTCCTCTCAGGGCTGTTTTATCAGTATCAGCGACGACGACCAAGATGCAGACATCGTGTCAATCTTGCGTGCCCAAGGTGCCGTCATTTACTGCAAAACCAACCAGCCTCAATCGCTGATGCATCTTGAGAGTGACTCCCATTGGGGAAGAGTCCTGAACCCTTTCAACATTCATCTGTCTGCTGGCGGCTCGACGGGAGGTGAATCTGCGCTGATTGCGATGAAAGGCTCGATCTTAGGGATTGGGACTGACATTGGTGGGAGCATTCGTGGCCCATCTGCCTTTTGTGGTATCTATGGCTTCAAGGCCACATCGAATGTCTTGCCGACAAGGGGGTACATCAAAGGCGCTCCGCCTCCAGCCGTGCTAAACATCCCTCTGTCGACGGGACCTATGTGTCGCTCCTTGAGAGACATGGACCTTTTCATGAAATGTGTCCTTTCTTCGAAGCCTTACCTTTCAGATCCAAACGTCGTTCCGATTCCGTGGGCTGGTCTTGAAAGGCAGTTCAATCGGCGCCTCAAGGTTGGCATCATCAGCAACGATGGCTTCATCGAGCCTCAACCGCCGGTGAAGAGGGCAATTTCGTGGGCCAGGAACCTTCTGTCCGATAGCAAGTTTGCCAATCTCATCGAGTTGAAAGAGTTCAAAGTCTTGGGTGCAGAAGAAGCATGGAACCAAGTCCGGAGACTGTACTGGCCCGACGGCGGCCATCTCACCAAAAACGGCATAATCCCATCCGGGGAACCTCTTCACCCTCTTACAGAATGGATCTACAAAGACGCAGAGCCCCGGGGCATGCACACCGCCGTAGATCTTACAGCCGTCCACAAAGAGCGAGACGATTTCCGACTTGCTTTTGCCAAAAGCTGGAATGAGCAGGATGTGGATGTCATTATCGGCCCGTCGTTCGTAGGGCCAGCGTGTGCGCACGACACGGCCTTCTACTGGACGTACACCTCGCTCTACAACCTTGTCGACTACCCGGGAGCGGTTATTCCCTCGCCAATTAGGGCTGAATCTGGGGAAGTTTACGATACGGGCTATGTTCCGCTGAGCGGTGCTTGTCGACGAGTTAGAGATTTGTGGGAGGAGGGTGATTTTGGGGGTGCGCCTGTTAATTTGCAGGTTGTGGCGAGGCGATATCACGACAATGAGCTCTTTGGGGCGTTGCGTGTGCTGAAAGACGTATTAAACTTGTCTTAATTGAACTGGTCATATGGTGACATATAAAAGTTAAAGTATATAGTTTCAATCGTCATTTAAATGTATCGCGCTCTCAAAATAGTACAGGAATTTGCCATGATACGAAATGCTGCTCGAGTTTATGGTTCGCGAGTGAAATCAACGGGTTACGCATAAAGTTTGAACAGACGTTGCGAATTAACCGTCGCGAAAGCCAAAACGCTATTTATAACGATATATTTACTGTAAAATATCTAGTATAATTTGAAATCTGCCACAAGAGAGCCAATTTCTCCTGAATTGAGTCAAGAGGTCTTGTGACGAGGCATCGCCATTGCTGACTTTACTCAGCGCGAGGTATCATCTGACCTACCCTGAATACGACCATTTTCGCAACCTCGGACGCGTCTATTTTGCCTTTTTAGATCCCGCCCTCCCTAATCTCATTCTTAAAACTCTTCCCCAACCTCGGCACCTCGGCAATGAGATATGGTTTTACGGTTTTTCAAGGTTTTTCAAGGCTTTTTGAGGCTCTCTCTCCAACAACCAAACCTGTCCTAGTCCGCCACCATCCCATCCAGCTGAACCCCGTGAAACCCCAGGAAAAACCAACGCGTTCACGGAAATACGGCGAGGGGCGTGATTGGCCTTCATGCAGCCTCTGAAGCTTACTAGACATGGGGGGTTGCAATCGGCCGCCTTCCTTGATTTTCTTGACACACGGCGAACTGCTACCCCATGCATTAGCCTCAGGCCTCACTCCGTTGAGAAATGGAGATGGAGATGAGGAAAACATGGGGTGCAGTTGACAGGAATGGAGAATGGGGTTAGGAGATAAGCGGCGTCGCGACGATCTCTTGATTTTAGGTAATAGTGGTGTCGCCGTCTGGAGGTTGACAACGTTACGGGATGAGATGGCGATAGCAACACCATCGGGAGACAGGATGGCAATTGAATCAGCTGAGGCGAAATGCGGCACAAGAGTAGGTAGGCAGGTAGGGAAGAAATTGCCAAGGGAAAATGGCGGTTGCTGCCGGCTTGGCCTTGGAAATGACCGGAGATAAGATGCGATGTGATGTGATGGACCATGTCGCTTACCCATCATGATTGATGAACTTTTGAAGAGCATCCTGCGACAACAAGGCCAATAGCCAATATCGCAAAAGACCATGTCATTCCGTATCGAGAAGCTGGCTAGCAGATTATCACGGTATTATCACTCTAGATAACCCTATTTCACTCGTCGAGTTTCCTCTAAAGGGAATGGGCTCACGTTCTTACTTGAGGGTTGTACGTCATATGACAATTTGTAGCGCGCTGTTTGGACGAGCTTCTTGTCTGAGATAAACTTTGCACAGATGATTTGCGGGGAGGCCTTGAGTGATTGAGTAATGACCTTCCTGTTGGGTAAAGATTACTGACGGTGCCTGAGATAGCCAGCCGTCATTCCCGACTCGCGCGCCCTTTGTCTCGTCGATTGGCCCGTCCGTACGTACTGTATGTACGTGCTGCAGTATTATCAGTGGCGGGTGGATTCAGGGTTTCTGGGTCTCCCTCTCCCTTTAACGTTAGTCGCGGACGGACACTGCGATTGTTACGTTACCACGCGCTTGGGAGAGAAGTTGCCGCGGAACTTTTTTTTTATTTAGCCTGTGGGTGTTTGGAGGACATTGGGCTTTACCTCTTGTGGTAAGCTTGATACGAGTTTATGCCGATCTTTAATGATAAGTGAAGTTCTGTTGATCCTCCAATATCACACGGTACAACTCAAGACAATGTCTTGGCTTTGCGAAATTGACAAGCATAACGTGATCATGTAGTATATTACAGAGTCATACAAGCGGATTCGCCGTGTCCGGAGAGCGACATCGCGATAATGACAGTCACAGTCAATTTTGGTAGAGAATGGATCACAAATCCGTACAATTCCCTCGCGCCACTAGACTCGGCTGTTTCTGTGGGGGTGCTTTACAGTACTGTTCTTTACGGCCGGAGCCTCCACTTGGGGTGTCACCGTCGCTCGTACGAGACAGGGGTTGACTCGGATCTTCGGCATTTTAGACATGGCTCATGTTTCTCGAAATTTTGCAGAAGCACTCGGAGCACGCCACACGGTCATAGCCATTGGCCACCTCGAGTTGCCCGTTGCTTCGATGCTCCATAGCCATATCCGGGCCGTTACAAAGGTTCCTCACTCTGATGGTCGGATGTTTTACAGCAACGGGCATGGCTTCGGTCGAGGTGTGGCATCTCGTGGCGTACAAGATGGAGTCGACCGTGTTTCCATGACAGAATATTTATTAAACGTCTCCAGATCTTGGTATTTTTATTACTCTTCGTTTGCTCCCATCCTCTCCTCCCTTTCATCATCAATCGACTCGCCTTGTCCCTTGTTGCATCCGTGACAGTGAAAACTTTTTTCATCCCATCGAGTCTCATCGACGTACGTCGTCTGCAACATGGCCCAGAATCACGAGGATTTGGCCGCCGAGTATGTCGCAAACTCTATTCAAGCTTATTTCGTACCCTTGCTAATCTCATGCAATGCAGGCTCCACGAGGAGTTAGGTGAGCGCGTGCCCGCCGCCGAGAAGAAGACTGATCTCGCTGGTGGCTATATCGCCCCTTCTATTGATGAGAAGAAGTCTCTCGACAAGCAACACTATGCTTCTGATCCTGAGTTTGGTACTACTGCCGATGGCGAGGAGCCCAATGATCATGAGAAGGCGACTCTTCGACGTGTAGGAGAGAACCTCCCTGCTTCGGCTTTCCTCATCGCTGTTGTCGAGTTGACGGAACGATTCACCTACTATGGTGCTCAGGGTCTTTTCCAGAACTACATCTCCAACAGCCCAACGGGCGCAGATGGTGCCAAGGGTCTTGGAATGGGCCACCAGGCTGCTACTGGTCTCAACCTCTTCTTCCAATGGTTCTGCTACGTGACCCCCATTCTCGGTGCCATCATCGCCGATCAGTACCTCGGAAAGTACAGGACCATCTTGGTCTTCTGCGGTTTCTACTGGGTCGGTCTCATCATCCTCTGGACTACATCATTACCTGTCGCTATGGAACATGGTGCTGGAAAGGCTGGATACATCGTTGCGATTATCGTTATTGGTCTTGGAACCGGTGGTATCAAGTCCAACATTGCGCCCCTCATCGCCGATCAGTACCAGCGACGCAGAATGGCTATTCGAACTGAGAAGACCGGCGAGCGCGTTGTCATCGACCCTGCTATTACCTACCAGCGCATCTACATGATCTTCTATTGGTGCATCAACCTCGGTGCCCTCTCACTGCTCGCTACCCCCTTCATGGAGAAGTACAAGGGTTTCTGGACCGCCTACCTCATGTGTTTCTGCATGTTCAACGTCGGTATCGTCACTCTGGTCCTCCGCCGAAAGACCTTTGTCAACCGCCCTCCCCAGGGCTCCATTATCACTGATGCCTTCAAGGCTCTTGGTATGATGATTGCTGCACGCAACACCGATGCCGCTAAGCCCTCGTGGCGCGAGGCCAACGGAAAGACCAAGGTTGTCCCCTGGAACGACCACTTTGTCGACGAGCTTAAGCGCGCTCTCCGTGCCTGCAAGGTCTTCATCTTCTACCCCATCTTCTGGGTTTGCTACGGACAGTTCTCTACCAACTTTGTCACCCAGGCTGGTCAGATGCAAGGTCACGGTGTCCCTAACGATCTGATGCAAAACTTCGATCCCATCTCCATTTTGGTTTTCACTCCCCTCATCGAGAAGGTCTTGTACCCCATCCTTCGCCGAGCTGGTATCGAGCTTCGACCTATTGCCCGAATCACCATCGGTTTCTGGCTCGCTGCTCTCTGCCTTGCCTATGCTGCCATCGTTCAGCACATCATCTACTCTGCTGGACCTTGTTACGAGCACCCTGGTGAATGTGCTGCTGGTCAGGACGGTAACACCAAGCTTCCCAACAACGTGCACATCGCCATCCAGACGCCCGCCTACATCTTCATCGGTATCTCTGAGATTTTTATCTCCGTCACTGGTCTCGAGTACGCCTACACCAAGGCCCCTCCCAGCATGAAGTCCTTCGTGCAGTCCATCTACCTCTTCACCAACGCTTTCGGATCTGCCATCGCTGAGGCACTTGTTTCTGAAGCCAAGGACCCCAACTTCTTGTGGCTCTACACTGGTGTTGGTATCTCTTCTTTCATCACTGGCTGCATCTTTTATGCTCTCTTCCGCCATTACGATGCTCAAGAAGATGCTATGTATGATCTGGACAGAGATGAGCCAACTCTTACCCACAACGGCATTGAGCCCAAGACTGTGGATCACGAGTAATGATTCGTAAAGACTGTATTCTAGTTAAATAGTGTCATTGAAAATATTATTTCAAACAATCATGTTTATGTGTGCAGCGCGTAGTTGTGAAGTGTCAAATCCGTCCCCCAAAAAAGGTTCGCGTTATTTTGTCACGCTGTGAATGCCCCGTTCGAATCTGGGACCTTTTGCAAAAAAAGCGGGCGGGGGAGACATCCTTAACTGGCTAGGGTCCCTGCTGGTTAGTAAATCCTTAACGAATATGCCAAATGGAGTGTGTTCATCCCTGTTGGGCAGTCTAGTCTCACCCCACCCTGGGAAAGTGTTGAACTATTCGGGCTTAAGTAGGGTGAGCAATCTGTCATGGACCTGGTCTTGACGAAAAGGATACGACACTGCTCATTGGCCAAGTGCAAGTGTCGTTTCCCACCATGTTTCCGCGTCAATATCCATACACGCACGACAGCACACGTTCATTTTGCTACAGCCGACTTTACCAGGGGATTCACCACTTCATTACAGCCTGTGGCTTCCCACTGCCACATCTTGACGCGTCACCTTCATCGCAATCTCAGCGTAAACTTACTCGGTCCTTACCAGGAACTCCTTGTCAACTTCGGCAGAGCCTCTTCTTTCCACCTCTCCCCCAACTTGTGTATTTGGCTTGATCCTTTGCTCATGATGGTACACAGACTACTGATCCCATATACACCCGAGATTGATTAAGCTGAACAGGTTCCAGTTGTCAACCCACGAGGATTTGTTCAACGGCTTGGCTTTCTGATGCATCAAGAAAGATGAACAGGGGCAAGCAGGCGGACGCCTACTCTAAAGAATGGGGCCTGGGACTTTCTTCTAGTACAGCTTGAGATCGTCAGCCACCTGTGAGCTTCTGTTTTCCTGCTAAACTAATGCAAATCTTAGACTACGCCTCACCTTCGCGATTTTGAATTCCGAGAATGGTTTGCCGACATCCCAACCATGTCCTTCGTACTCATGAGCTCAATGAGAAGCCGAATTCTGCGACAAGACACAGTCTCAACATGAGAAGATGATTCTTCTACACATGCACTTTGGCTCCGTGTCGAACATATACAGTTGATCATGGTTGCTTTGCAGATGTCGCTGCAGTTCGGCAAAGAAAAAAAGTTTCACAACTCTGGCCCCGTGAACTCCTGCAACGCCATTGTCGAGGAAGTCGATAAACAATTTGGCTGCAAAGGGGTGCAGCCTCGGAACCCGCGAAAAATGATTGGGAACATGAATTCGAACTGATGACCTCAAAAAACAAAGGGAGGGTGCAGGGAGAGAGTTTTAGGATTTTAGGTTCGGAGTTTAGAAGGTTTGTAGGTTTTAGGAGAGATACCACTGCACCACTTCCCTTTGCTGAGGATATACAGAGTCAAATTGATATATAAGGGTGGTTGAGTGAATAAGTATTGAGTTTGGATCTCTCGTCCATGTTGTCAGTCACGCAAACAAAAGCACTCACATTCATTCACCGCGATGGCCTCAGGGAACAATCAAACTTCCAAACTTCGATAACGCTGAGAACAGAAATAATTTGTGGACAGGCTGGCGTTATATACGCCAAGTCTGCCTCGCCCTCTTTGTTATTCGCACTTAAGGCACAAATCTTCGGATCTTGCTGAGCTTGGTTCTAGGGATGAGGGAAACACCATCACCTCCTGTTGGGTTGACAATATCTAAACCAAGAATGATTACTAATTGGAGCTGTATGATTTGGTGTAAATTCCTGTACCCCTGGCTGCTCATTCGTCCCGTCCCTGATTCTTTGGTCTGCCTCAGGTTGAACTCCGCTGCGTTCAGCCAAAAGCTGAGGCTTCCCCTCCACATCACCATTCTCTTGCCATCCATGGCAAACCGCAATCAGATCTGAGGGTATTCTTTTCAAGCCAACCTACCTCTTCGTCCTATCAACAGGCTACAGCAGAGATGCTTGACGACACAGCGGAGATGGCTACAATTGATGCACTGGGAATAAGGCATCGCCAAGCATTCGTGCAAGCTCTGGCGAGAGTAATGGAAACAGCCGTAGCGGAAAGGACTTTTGCGGAGATCATTGATGGGCTCCCTACGATTGAATCGTACCAAGACTTCCACTGGCCTCAAGAAGGCCATCCCGCCACTCAACATCTTGAGCTCTGCCCTGGTATGATTGAACGAGCTCGTCAGTTACGTTCAGACTTTCCTGCTACGAGCCTGGCATTCCGACTGCCGGTTAGTCCTCGTGATAGGCTCTTACACAAGTCGTTCTAACACCTGACTCCAGTTACTGCATGCTTTTGCAGATACCGCCATTCATTCGAGGCCATTTCACCTGCGACTGTTTGAGCTGTTAGCTGTATCTATTCATCAAATTGCGGTATACTTGTATCAGCAAGATGGTGCCAACCACACCCACGAAGACTATCAAAAGTGGATAGATTCACCATACGATACCCGTCAATGGGATGGTTATCGGCACCCGACAGCTTTCTGCCATTCTTTTTATACAGCGGTTGGGCGATATCCCGACGGGGATGCCGATACTGTTGGATACTGGGCTGAAGCGAAGATATTCGGTGGGGTCGTCGTCTTCGACCGCGGAGAATCAGAATCAGAGGTATGCTGAACTAAGGTACCAAATGTTAGTCCGAAACATGCTGACATCTCTATAGTGTAACGAGCTGTACCTCCATGCCAGTCGGCGAGTAGGCCCCTATACTCTATTCCCCCTCACAACGGACCAGTTCGAGAGATTCGTCGAGTTCCTTCTAGGCGATACAGAGGAGCATACTGCATCGCGAAGTCCTCTCCCATTTAGAGCGACATCAGACAATCGTTGGCGGTGGCATAACTGGGATGCCATAGCCCGATATCACATATTCCGTGATAAGTACGAGCGAAACGTCCAACCAACCAAACCAATCGGCGGTGTCAAGTCTTCGGTAGACTGGCCAGAGATAGGTGATGAGCTGTATCTGATCGGTGCAATGCACGATTATTGGGATGGCCAACCAGTAGATAAAGACAAGGTTCGAGAGGCTCTGGAGCATTTACAACAGGTCACTCCATCGTCGCCAGCTTGGTCAACTAGGAACGCACATTCATGGACCAAGAACCTTTTTGAATAGACTTTATATGCGATATCCACCGAGGATTAGTTTACCAGTTTCCAGTGAACTGGGGATAGCTTGGTGTCTTGACTTCTCTGTCAGGATACACGCCGCCCCTCTGCGGCTGCATGCCTTCCCATTTCGCCTTTGCTAATTCTCTCTTCTCCTCCGCTGGACTCTTCTCCGAGTTGTCAGACTTTTTCTCCTGGGCTACTTCCTTATTCTCATCCTTTACCAAGTCATCAGGTTGAGTGTCTTCCTTGCTTATAATCTGCCATTCGTCCTCGGTGTCTGGATTCGAGGCTGGATTGAAGTCAGCGATATGGACGAGAGAGATGTTGCATTTTGGATTCTTTACTGGCTGGCAACTTTTCGTTGTGATTGTTTGATGACATTATTGGATCTGTCAAATTTAAGATTTCGTAGTCTTCGTTTGTGATATGTAGGTTCTGCCCAAGTCACTACGGTTTGACAGAAGTGAAGTCTGAAAGCAGGTGACGTGTCCCAGCAGGCAACCGGTGGCGAGAAGGATCGCCCGCCACCTTGTTGACTAATCAATACTGGCCTCTATTTAATGCAAAGAGACCTTGGCATTGCTGACAAAAAGTGTTTGCTATTGAACGGTACATTGTTGTTCATTCACAGCAGTTGCTACGAGCTCAATTAAAAGGAGATCTGCAACATGGAAGTATGGTTGAAGTTAACAGTTGTCACTCAAACACTGCAAGTCCAGCAATGACCCAGCTGCTCTCTTCCCGTTATCACCAGACTCACGCCCGCCTCGAGAAGCTGCAGCCTCGTATACACTGGCAATCTCACTCTGCCATTTCTCAACATCTGGCCTCACGAACCGACGATCGTAGGTGATCAGACCATTCACCTCGCCTTCAACATCGCTCGTCTGGGTATATACGGCACCGCTGCAAGCGAACCGCTCAGTCTGCTCGCGGATATCCCGAAACAAGACGCCGGATCGATAATTGTATGAGTCGAGGTCCTTGTTGATTTCGTATGTCTCGGGGATGCTATCGATGGCTTGCTTGACGTTCCAAAGGCTGCAAGATGAGTTAGTGGCGAAGTTGAAGCTGGCGAAGTAAACTTACTGGTCAATCGAGACGTTGTGACCAATGCCACCGTACTCGCCTGCAATGCCAATGCGCTCAGGATCATATGGAGTCTTGGGTTGCGAGTAGAATGGCGTGCCGCATTGAGGTTCAGCATAGTTATGATTGTCCTGAAAACGAGTCAGTGAAGTGTTCGATGAGGTCTTGAGGTTATCTACGTGAAAGTCACCAAACCCATGATCATTCCATCCGCTGATAGAGTTGATGAGTCTTGACTTGTCAAGCTTTTGAAGCAGCTCAGTCAGGCTCTTCTCAGGAGACCCGTCTCGCTGACCCCAGCCCTCGTTGTAGATGACCTGCCACGGTTAGCAATCATCAAAATCCTGACTGGTCTCTATTCATACCCATGTGACGATTGAAGTGTAGCTCTTGTGCTGGTTCACAAGAATCTCGAACTGTCGTTGAAACTCGGCTTGTTCCGCATCGTTGGGCTTACGATTGCCGTCTGCAGGAAGACTAGGCATATCTTGAATGACTAACAGGCCAAGCTCGTCGCATGCTTGGTAAAACAGATGAGGCTCGTATTTGATCTTCTTAAGTCAGTAAGAGCGATTAGGATCACGAGGTTATACTGACGTGCTTGCGAACCATGTTGAAACCAAACTTCTTCAGGAGCTTCAAATCAGAGACCATGGCCTCCCTGTTTGGTGGCGTGTACAATCCATCAGGCCAGAAACCTTGGTCAAGAGTTCCGAACTGGAACACAAACTCACCGTTGAGTAGTGGTCGTGTGACATTCTCAACTTTGCCTTTGGATATGGTTCGAAAGCCGGTGTAACTGTGTACCGTGTCTCCGCCGTCGAGTGTCACGGTGATGTTGTAAAGCGTCGGGGAGTCGGGCCACCATAGTTTAGGCGACTTGGCGGTGAAAGTGAATTCTTCATCGGCCGTTCCTTCATGGGAGGCCAGTTCCGTGCCATCGCTGCCTTCGATCACCACTTTGGCGGATCCGCCAGCCTCTTGAGAAGTATGGACTGTTACGGTAACTAGAATAGGATGGTCAGCGGTTGGATAAGACACCGGGGACCGGGGACCACTGACCTTGGCCATCTGCACCCGCAGTGAGGTCAAGATCGGTGATGTAGTCTTTCGGAACGGCCTCAAGCCAGACTTGCTGCCAGATGCCCGAGCAGGAGCGGTAGAAGATGTGACTCGGTCGCAAGGTCTGTTTGCCAATTGGGATAACTTGATCGTCCGTCGGGTCGTTGACAAAGACAAGCCTGATGAGATGTTAGAGCGTGATACCGCTGGGGAACTCAATCATGGACTTACAGCTCATTTGACTCTCCAAACTTAATGTCATCCGTCACGTCGACCGTGAAACGGTCGTAGCCCCCAATGTGCGTCGTCTTTTCTTTCCCATTCACAAACACTGTTGAGTTATAGTCGACGGCCTCAAAGTGAAGAAGAACGGTCTGGTTCTTCCAGTCATCAGATACCTCGAAGGACCGCTGGTACCAGAACTCGCGCTGATCAAGAATCTGCAATCCCGACAGAGCGCTTTCGATGCAAGCTGGGACCAGCACCTCACGATCCAGAGGGCCTTCTTTGGGCGGGTTGCTGAGATCGCCATCGCCTCTCCATGTCCAAATACCATTCAGGCTCTTCCAAGCATCGCGCTTGAGCTGCGGTCGCGGATGTTCCGGCCAAGGATTGGTGCCGACCTCGTAAGTCCAGTCGGTGTCAAGTGGAGGTTTTTGAACTTCGTACTTTGTCTGTGCTGAAGCGAAGTCGAGAAACAGAGAGCAAAGCCCTGCAAAGGGGATAACACTTGACCAGAACATTTTGAAAAGTGATAGTTACGATGAACGAAATTGCGCATGAGGATGAAGAAGCTTTTGTACTGCGATAGCAGGCCATTCCGTGTTCCCCGCCTGCATACCACGTTGAGTTTGTGTGAACCTTATGACGTCTACATCATCAGCGCTTAACGAGGAGCTCCAGGGGATCATCAAGTTATTCCCCCCTTCCCCCGCATCAATGCTGATCATCACACGTTTTATCCCTACTGCATGAGAAATTCTGCATGAATTTCCTGTATTTTACTTCCGGCAGGTGGAATAAATCCCGAAGGATGAGGCTTTGCTTGTTTAGCTACCAAGATTAACTTTGCCGATGTGGTATTGGGGGCCTCCATCCGGTATTAGCGTGTCTGATCACTATTTTACAGGAGCCTTTGCGCGCATCACAAGGTGCGTTGGTGCCTGGTCGTTACAGGGGCTCAGATCCTCCCTCTGTAACCCAAACGCAATCAGTGCATGAAAGCAAGACAATCGTTACGCCGTTTGGCTTCAGCAAACTAGGTTGCAAACATGCTTTATTACTTTTAAACGTGTTTTCAAACTTTCTCATATAAGGTATGACCGGATGCAGAAGGTCTGGACTCGCTGTACTCGTAGTTTACTAAGGTCCAAAGGTCTGTCCATTTGCTAACGGCTTGTAAGGGCAACTCTTCCAATCGCAGGTATCCTGTCACATGCACCGTTAACTGAAAGCACATCTCGATGAGTCTTGAGTCTTGTCAACTGACCTTGTACACATTGGTTCCCCACCAATTGAAATTATCCGCGGCACCGGTGTAGAAAATGGCGAAGAAGATGACGATGCCAGCGATGGCGACAGAACAATCCAGAGCAGAGCTCAGCACAAAGTTGAATCGATGCCACCAGCTGGCCTTGCGCTTCTTAACAAGAGCACCGAACAGAAGCCCAAATAAAGCCCAGCTACCATAGTTAACGCCTGATGCAGGCGGGATATAGTTCAAGCCGCCCAGGAACAGCGGAACGTGGATCTTCTTCAGCCAATGGACATGAGGGAAGGCCTTGGTTCGAAGAAGGTATACGACGACGGGAAGAAGAGCTCCGACCAGGAAGAACCAGAGCAAGGGCCTGTAAAGGGCACCTGGCTCGAAGAAACGACGGGGACCGAGGGCGCCCCAGACCATGCTTGTGTTGAAATGAGTTCGTGAGAAGGGACAAGTGAACCCGTTCGGGGCAAGCTTGGCATTGCAAACGTTGGGGATGTTTCCAAGTGCCCAGTTGAGGACGGACACTTGACCAAGAGTTCCGATAATAAGGCCGACTACTTGGACCAGGAAGAGGCTTCGGGGAGGGATCTGAGGCAAGTCAGCTTGAGGTATCAATCGCGGCAAGACAATGACCACTTACACCGCAGTAGATACCAAGCTTCAGGTCTTGTGAGAAAGCAAGACCCTTGATACCCGAGATATATCCAACATTGAAGAACCAGATGTTGGCAAGGACCTTGCCTTCCCAGACGTAACCGGCGATGATGCGACAGAAGATATCGATCTGGATCTTGATGTTACTCGTAGCATACACCCAAGCGAGCTTCAAATGTCAGTAAAGTCCTTACGAGTGGAGGTCGAAGTACTCACAGGGATGAAGAAGACAGAAGATACTACCATGCCGAAAATCACACCGTACCAACGCAGTTGAACGGGGTAGTACTCGTACGTGAAGATTCCGATGCCCAACGCCACAAGAGCTGCGATCATGTACCACCAAAGCGGAACGGCATCATACTGTGGCTGCAGTCTGTCACGACTTGATGTGTTCTTTGACGTCAATGATTTGCATGCATCGCGGAATGTTCTCACCAAGTCCTGGCGCTTCTCGAGAAAGAGCCAGACAAAAAGAGACGATATGGTGGCGAACGACAGGCCAAAAGTGTTCAGCGCATAGGTTACTGGGAGATAGATCTAGGGAAGTGCGTTGGCATCTCTCATCTCTAGGAGTCGTGACGGGGAGAGACTTACGTCAGAGTACTGTGCATACAGATCATGGTCGAAAGTGAAGCCTTCTTTCTTATTGACAACCTTCGAGACGTTGAAGACTTCTCCGGTATTGTCGAAGATGGAATTGCTTTGCAGCGGTAGATGGGCTGAGAACCAGGTATTCGAGTAGTAGAGCGCGGGGCTCACGATGTAGATCCAGAAGATAAGCGAAGCGAGAACGTTGAGAATAGCCCAGACTGGGACAACAAGCGGCGATCCTATGTAGGCGATTTGACTCCCTGAAGAAACAACCCGTTAGCGACCGAAGCCTCGAATAATAGAGCGGCGAACACCTACAGTCGAAGGTGAAGGGCAACAACCCTAGTCCACTCTTCATACCGAACACCTGGTTGACCACAGGGTTCTTGGGGGCGATCCAGCAGATCCATGTAAAGTAACCCAAGGCAGGGAAGATGAAGTCGGGGAACCAATACCAGCAGAAAGAGGCGAAGAAGGCGAGGATAAAGAAGTGGTATCGAGAGATCTTGCTGCGGCCAAGTTAGTGGAACCGGCCTCCGAAAGCGCTGAGAGAAGTGCTCACCCAGCAATCACCTCCTTGCGTGGCGTATGCAAGGCTGCGTTGAGAGCTGTATTTCCAAGGACGCCTGGCCAAACGAGGCTCTTTGGTTCGACAACTACTGATCGCGTCAAGCCTGACAGAGCAAAACCAAACAGAATTGATGTCAGTGTTGAGAGGATCTCGAAACCCCATCCTGCCTCGAGGCCATAGAAGACGCGCTGTTCAGTAAGGACATCGGCGCTTAATCGGGTCAAGAAGCTAAGGTTGGCCAAAATATATATAAGCATGTTCTCCTGAGTCAGGGTGAGCGGGTGTCTCTTCGAGGTTTCTGGGGAGTAAATACCTTATGGTTGAAGGGTCCAGGATTCAGGCTATGTCGCTTGCCAAACAAGGTCAAGCCCCAATCCGGTATCGCATATTCCCATGCCTTGCCGACGGGATAAGCGAGGAATTGTATTGCGGACTGCGAAAGACTGATGGATGGGAATCTCAGTGTGTACAAAGTGTTGACACCACTGCCTACAAGACAGAGGGCAATGCCGATTGTCCACATGCGAAGAGTGAGACATGGTAGAGTTGGATCATCATCCTTGAAGCCCACGCCAGCAGCTGACAGGACTTCTTCGACAGATTCGCCTTTGGTCTTATGAGAATAAGAAACTTGTGAAAGTACAAGCCAGCAACATACCTGAAGACGTCTCCGGTCGGACCAGACCCTCGTTTGGAGCGGTCACTTCCGCCTCAGCGTGACCTTTCTCGACGGATGCACTCATGTCGAGTTTTTCGTGTACAGGCCTCACGATGATCACATCAAAGCAGATCAGATAAGATGAAAATGATCATTGATTGATTATCTTATAACAAGATCTGATCTGCCAAGCCGTCAGGACGGCAAAGTCAGTTCGGCGACCTTGGCGTGGACTCCACTGTCAAAAGTAGTTATGTTGGCATGAGTTAATTCTGTGGTTCTTAGCGTGCCGTATGCCGAGATAGGTATCTTGGTGATTCTCGGCAATCAGGCTGGCCTCATCAACTGCTGGTTTCTTTCAATAATCTTGAAATTGTCTGTTACCCTTACCAAAATATCTCATCATACTTTTTGATGACACAAAATTCTTATATCAAGCACTACCAGTCGAGAGCTCACATTATCGCATCAGAGTTCATGTTTCTCAGCTATTCTCACCTGTAGCAAGGCTAGTAGCCACTATCACGGTACTCGGCACGTTTGCCGAGAAACTACGCGGCACTGCCTCGAGAAATTTTTGCATGGCATGATAACTACCATTATCCAAGCATTACCAATTTTACGGTCGATCGAATAGACTAAGCATATCAAGTAACATAACAGTTTCTTGGTAGAATGTCTTGCGCTGTACCAGGACCCTGAAGTTCAGGGATGGTTTATCAATCGACCAGGATCGGCCGTCCACGCACTCTGGGTCGCGTGGGGAGTGCAACTCATCAATTCTATGAGTCCCAGCCAGCTTGTCGAGTCCGTGAAAGCAACTAGGGTTGAAATCTTGACTAGGTATTGGTCATGAGTGACATGATCTTCTCTGTAGCCTCTTCAACCCCGATGAGGCCCACGAAGAATTCTTTGAGATCTGGATAGAGTCTACTCAACTCGGTCAAATTCCTTATTTCCTTGAGTGGCGACCAGATACATTCGATATGGTTTTGCCACTCAACGACACCACCCTGCTCGACGGCAATCAATCTGTGTTGTAGGAATTGGTCCCTGTTGCTTCAAATCAGTAAACCAGTGTGTGGGTATCACGACATACTGACCTTATGGTGATTCTCTCTGATTTCGATAATTGAAGCTCGTTCAAGGCACGATAAAGTTCAACCACGTGTTGAATGGACGGTTGGCCAGTCGAACTCTGAAGTGCTCTTAGCCCATTAATGATGGCAGTCCATGTCTTAGGAAAGTCCGGAATACGGAGTACCAAATGATAGAATTGACATATCCATAGTGGTTTAAAGGAGCTTGGGTCAGTTCCGGCTGGCACTGGCGTGAGGACTCTATTCGACTGCACATAATCCGGCGCATGGTGAAAGCACGAACTGGGCTTTATCCATTTGCCATTGAAGAGAAGGAGTTCGTGAGTGTTAAAATTGTCCCTGCAAAGTCAGAGTATGACACGGCCAACAGTGAATACACTCTTACCAGTTTTCATCGTCAGGTAGAGGCCTGTAGTAAGTACCATCCGGGAACGATTTCTTATGATCTTGGCGAAGAAGGAAGAAGCCGTAAATCCTGGAGACGCGTTCCGGATCCTTGACATTTACCGGCCATGCTTTCTTGATGGTAAGCAAGAGATCAGTGAGAAACTGATCGCCGGCTTCGTATTGGCAACCGATCTCCGTGAGGAAGTTCCATGGATAAGGATCCTCGTGGCTTGGTTTCTGGTCGTTGAGAATAATGAAGCGGAATCGTTCCTCAGGCAAAAGGAAAGATGAACAAATGCTGACAAGGGGTTGTGAAGGATACCATGCCTCGGAAAGAGGATGAAGATTTCCGTCGTGACAAGAGACTTTGAGTTGCTTCAAATCGTGCAGCAACTTCGTAGATTGACGGGTCTGGTGCCTGTTTTTGTTCCAGACGCGACGGAGGTATGTAAGAAACTCATGAGGTTGGTCGTCTGCAAGGCGAAGCGCCGCTGGTGAGAGGCGCTCTGGATCGTCTTTGTCGATAAGGGGAGGATCCGATTCCAGGGGCTTAGACATCGTCAAAAGGTGTCAGACACGATAACTGAACTTGAGTTGCAGGTACAAGTTCAATTGTAGCAAAGGCGTCGCGCAAGTTTCACGATGGAGTTTTCTAAATAAAACAGTACGGATGCCTCCACTTACAGTATCGATACCGTGTTTGAGAATTGCGTCATTGGACACACCCACCAAAACGCGCCATCTTTATGGCGGGTTCGGGCCGTTATCAAGCCAGGAACGGGCCCCTTAAGCACCATCATAAGGCCTAAACACTGAACCAAATTGCGGTGCGTACAGTGTGAGAAATTTACGAAAGACATCCCCGTCTACAACTGCCCTGCTCATACGCCAACGTGTTTTTCGTTTCTTCAGCCACCACTCAAGGAAGCACATTCGGGACAAGCAAGGGATAATCAAATTTTCGGTTCCAAATAATGGCTTTTTCCCTGGAAGTTATTAAAGAATGGCTTTTGGGATCACCTACAGGCGTATTCAACTCCAGATCACGAAGCCTCAGTGGACACTCAGTTATCCCGGACCAGTCCTGACTCTTTACTCTCCCTGCCAATAGGTACAAATGCGTAACAGACGTACAGTTTTATTCATTGCTCAAATTGAACCTCACAATGAATCAATTGACTAAATGCACTCAAATAGGAAGCGCGGATAGACTGATCAAAATGAATCGCGTGAATACGTGACAAGAACAAACAACTCCGTTTCAAACGACTACTTCCGCTCCAGCACCTAAGAAAACGAACGAGGTAGATATGTCCGACTGTGAAGCACTAAATGGCCGAAAACGACTCCTCTGGCTTATCTCCCTTGAGCTAAAGCCACTGCATAGCTTGGGCGCTCCCGATCCAGTATCTGAGATTCTAAGGAGCTCAAGGCGACGGGTTAATGCATTCACGGTGGATGTATCAGAAGAAATAGGGGAACCAGGCACAGCCTCCTCCGAGGATTGAGGCATATACCTTCGTGACTTGGGCACAAGGCACCGCCGCTGCGTTGTTGTTGCTGTGCTGGGCTTGAATTCCATGTGGAATTGTTCACTGCTGGCGGCCTGTGTTACTGGTGTCTCTATAGGCCCTGTCTTCGGCGCGGCCGGGGTGACCTCGGGAGAGTGTTGATGCGGGTACTGGTCCGAGGGTGAATCTGATGGTGTTGAGCTGTCAGGAGCCATGGATATAGTATTCGAAGCGTTGGTGGGCGTGGCTTTGCTCTCTGATCTGCATGGTATCAGCATCAAGGATAGAATTGATCCAACAACTGTACAACTCACTCTTCGCTCATCCACCCCGTTAGAAGGTCCAAGTCCCTCACAAGCTTAATCTTTTTCTCCTCCAGGACGGCATTGACCAGATCAGGTGGAGTGCACAGGACGCTCCTCAAGATAGTCTCAGCTCGTCCACTGAGCTTTTGGTTTAGCCGCATGGTCTCCGGGTTTACCATGAGCCAATGCAACAAACGTATTGGGAGTCCATCACCATATGCTCGCCGTATATCACCTCCATCAGCCGAGATGTGAACAACAAGCTTGTCCAAAGTCATTCCGGAGTCAGTGATGCTAACTGATACAGGAAGCCTAGTGCTTGGAGCCACGAAGCCATGGTCATTGTTAAAGCAAGGGCCCATGGAGTAGCTTCCCGATGCGGTTGTGAACAATCCAGCCATGAGCTCTGCCCCCTCGACAGCGAACATTTCGCCCTCCTTCAGAATCTTGAGCAGCTCTCGCCTATCTAAGGCGTTCCCGGCACGAGGACTCTTGAACTGAGCAGCAATACTTGCAGGCAGGTTAGGCATTGGCCAGCACGAAGAAAGAGATACTAGCCTGACAATGGCCTCTGCCTTCTCAGCTATATTCCAACTCAACTTCATTTGCTTTGCCCCAGTAGGCCAGACAAGTCGTTCAATCACATTGTTGGATATATACTTATCCGTCATTTCAAGCCATTCGAATTCCGTTTCAAGTCTTCCCATCTTGCTAGGAACAAGCATGGGAACTTGATCCCGAAACATGATCTCGAGCACCAGGTCGTCGGCAATCAAGAAATAGTCGTCAGTGGGCATCAGTTCAACTCTACTCGCTGTAGTGTATACTGGAAAGTAAGCCAAGGTGAAGGCCTCATGGGGGTCAGATGGTAAGTTGGCCAAGATCGTCCCGTCAACATCGACCAGAGCCGCGCGTTGACGACGTAACAGGGCAGGGTCGGGAGGAATCGGGCTGACTTCATAAACTTCTCTCGGACCCGTTTCCACATTGATGATATTGTGGAAGAAGTTGAACATGTTGTCATATCGTAGAATCAAATCGACCTTTCCAGTATGGTTGTGCTGAAGTGCCCAAATACAGTCCACACGTCGAAGCCATTTGACGCCTGTGTTGTGCTCAACAGCAATCCAAGACTGAGAATAGAAAGCATCCCTGTCCACTATCAGCACATGCTTCGTAGAATACCCAAGTACTTACCTCACAAACTCTCGTTCTTCCCTCATAATGGCCTTCTTTGAGTCGATTATCCGCTGTTCTTCCTCTTGTCCTTCCCCTGGCGACGCGTGACAGAGGGAGAAGGGAGAAGTCATTGTTTGAAGAGCATAATATAAAATTGACACATCATCAATAGATGCAGAAGCCTCACGAGCTCGCTGATACTCCAATTCGCGAATGGCAGTACGACATGTGTTTTCAGGCTGCCATATCAAAAGCACATTCTCATAAAACTTCTTAATGGTTTTTTCTTTGTCTGTTGACAAGTTCCATTCTCGTGGCAGTAGCGACAGGGATTTTTTTGACCGTACCCAAGCCGGGCCATTGATGCAACATTCGCTAGGTGATCTCCAACCGTGGTGCCAGAGAAGTGAGTGTTTCTCAAATTGGTCTCTGGGGCACAATTAGTGCGCAGAAAAACAATGAATGGAAGATCATTTCATACCTGATGTATTTCGAGTTGGAAGCGATCTCGGGGTCGGATATGAATACATCCGTCAAGTACACACGGCTCAGCGAATAGTAGAGGGTGGGTAGAGTATCTGAGAGATCGGCCGCCTGAGGTGAAACGTCTTTGTGTTTAAGCAGAAGAGCAATCGTAGACTCGGCTACGTAGCGTAGGTCAAACCGGGAGTCGAATTGCTTGAGTGAGGGCATCTTTTTGATCGAGAGTTTGCGTGATCTAAAACAAAAGAGTTGTTCACTTGTTAAAGTGAGTGTTGAGGCGGAAGGGAGATACACGCGACGTGGACGCGTCCAGCCATCTAATGCAAGTTGACACGGTGCTGATCTAAAGAGGGCTGGGTCAACAGGGGGCGTTGTGAACAGAATAATGGAAAGTGGCAGTTGATTATCAAGGATGATTGGCCAAAAGGCTTGAGATGGTTTCACATTGATAAAAAGCAAAGAGCGTGTGGCTAGTCCTTTGGGACGGTTGACGCGAATGATAAAGGTACTTGGCCTATACTTCGGCCATTGTGAGACAGAACCCCCGCACCACCAAAGTTGTCGGTGGTGGGTGGTACCCCAATGTTCAAGATGACGCCCAACTCGACACGTACAGTGCCGAAAGTCACTTGGTAGTCTTCAGTCACTGTGGTAAGCCCCGTAACAGCAGCTCTCCTATCAGTCTCGCATCTGAAGACCTTTCTGAGGTGAAGTGTAAAGCCTTCCGTTCCCTCAATCTTATACTTGCTGTTGCTTAAAATAGTAATTCGAGTTCAGACATCATGCAACCCGTCTTCGGCGAGTGTATACAAGATATATGTGAGCTAATGAATGCTCTCTGGAGATGTTACTTCCCCGCTAGCTAAAGCACCTCATGAGCTGTGGACTCGACAGTAAACTGGGGGGATCCTGAAGATGCCAGAGCCCCGGCGCTAGGCTGCAGCTTTCTCGTTCGCGGAATCAAGATCTTTCGCCTCGACGCAGTTTCGGTGTCGGGGGTCTTGCCCACAGGCTCGTATAAAAGCCCATCCTGGGTAGTTCCGGGCACTTGAGTAACAGGGGCCTGTTCCAAGGGGGGTTCGACTGGAGTTGTTTGTGCTGGTGTTGCTGTCGCCGGCGTCCGTCTGGTTTGGTGTGTCGCTTTCGCCTTCTGGACTTCCATCTGATCCAAGCAAACCTCCACCTGGTCTAAGCACTCTTCGTTTTCGGGTGCACTACGATCTGTTAGCTTCCCATCAGACAACCTTTAAGTGAGACGACTTACCCGCGTCTATCCTGTTGAATTGGGAAAGGCTGTTCGATTCCTTCGACCTCGAGTATGTCATTGGCCAACTCAGGAGGTGCGTTCAACACACTCTTCACAAGACTCACACCAAGTTCAGGGATATTAACGCGGCCGCCACGGCCACCGTCGTAATAGTTCAACGGTGTCATGAGCCACTCCATTAGTAGGCGAGGTAACGCAACAGCAATTGCCAGCTCTTGCTGCTTTTTGTCAGCTGCAACATAAGCGATAACTCTCCGCGAAATCGAATTCGTCAACTTCAACTGAGGATAGGTGTCTTTGACCACGTTGCTTGGTTCACTCGCTCTATGCTGGCTATCCCTCGTGTCAATGCCGATCAGATTTGTCTCAGAGAACATATCTTCCACTTCTATCATGATCGCATGTCGCAAAGACTGGAGAAGTTCATTTCTATCAAAGTCGTTTTCCGTTCGACAACTTCGGAAATAAGCAGCGATCCTGACGCAAGTTTTAGTCCTCGCACAAAGGAATAAGTTGTTTGACTTAGAAGAACGTACCGTAGGAGCGCTTCCGCCTTCTGGCCAATATTCCATTCAATCTTGCGTAAGTTGCCCTCACAAGGCCAGTCAACAACGTACTTTGCCTGAAGAGTTAGATACCTTTTTTGCATGCCAAGCCACTTGAACAGAGGGTCGAGCCGCATAACCTGACTGCGTGTAAAAGCAAGCATGTTGGCCCTATCCCTGAACAAATTGAAAAGGCGCATGTCGTCAACAATGAAGAAATTCGTGTCACCACAGACACGCTTTGACTCGCCTGTTGGAGAAAGAATGGGGAAGATGGGCTTAGAAATGAACTCGCTAGGATCCATGAGTGCATCCAAGTTCTGCACCAGAGTGTTGAGATAAGACATCAAAGTAAAAGTCTCGTATGCAGGCGCGTCGTCTGCGAACTCAAGAAGTTGTTTCCGGAGGACATTCATCGTCAACTCTGGTATCTCAAGGCGATCTACGAAGAAAGATTTGAGCTGAGGGTATCTTTGACTGAGGTCGATTTGATCAGGTAAATTCACGCCATGTGACCAGACACATTCCTCGTGGTGAATCCATTCATTACCCCATTTGGGTTTAGGAGAGCAAATGATATAGGGATGTTTTTTGAATTCCTGTCTATCGTTTACAGTCAGCAGACTTTTCGTATTTCTATCGTTTTCCTTTCGGGGAATACAGACATCATTTGTTCTCTATCTCGGCCACGCACGTCAAGGTCTTCAAGACCTTGATACAATTTGGGTATGTCTTCACGGGAATTCCCTGAATAGCGCTTGACCCACGAGATGGGTACTTGGTTCGGTAAAGCTTAAGCTCCTCAAGGATAATACTATACTCAGTCACGTCTTCTAAGAGAAGCACTTCTTTGTAGAATCTTGCGATCAGGTTGCTCTCGGATGGTGTTGCGTTCCACTCAGCTGGTAGTGGCATCGAGGACTTCTTCGAGTACATGCCCTCCGGGCCATAGCGAAATGAAAGATCAGGGTTACCCCAGCCTTGTGACTGTAGGAGGAGCGAGCCTCTCGTGAAACCATACCTATTTCTACCATCAGCTCAACTCCATAAGCGCATATGCAATCAACAATGGCCGTACCTGATGTAACTTGCGATCCTCTTTTCACCTTTGTTACCATCCATGGCTTCCAGATAAATTTCATACAGTAATAGATACAGATCCTTGACTCGCTGCGGGGAGGTAACCTTGTCCTGTGAATTGAACTTGATATCCGACAAAGTGCTGACCCAGAAGTAGATATCAGGCGTGGTTTGACATCCAAGCTGAAGAAGAAACTCCCAATCTCCGAGGGTACCATCTTCGGGGAGAGGGGGGTCAAGACAAGGGAAGGAGGCCTTTTCCCCGGGCAACAAGTAACGACCTCGAAGGCGCCGTAGCTCCGGGAGCGGAATCCAGGTCTTGTGGATCTTAAGTGTCTCTCCATTCTCGAGAAGAACCTTAAAGGCCCCTAAGAATCTCAAGCAGGCCGAGTTCTCTACTAGTCTTTCACCTTGTTCTGGCCAGACACGACGCAAGTATGACAACACGTCTCCGGGATGCCTTCTGGCGTATGTCATAGCATAACGGGAAATTTTCGAGCGCGCGCCCGGTTCGAAGAGCGGTGGGTCGGAATCTGCAGAAGCTGTCATTTTCAATAGGACAAAATGTATACAACAGTCCAGGAGGCGCGTGTTCAGTCGGTGGCTTTACGTAGCGAGTTTATGAGAGACGCAACGCGGGGTATCTTCGAGGTTGGTGTTGTCAGCTTCAAATGGCTGAACTTTAATCTAAGGCAGCGATTGGCTGATGACAGGTACATCCATTAGATTGTCTCAGACGTCCAACTCTCTCCTGTCCTAAAACGGCCGTGTCGCGTTGCGTACAAATAGTCTCTTATCTCAACGGCCAGTGCAATTAACGGACGCATATGAGGCTGTTGGAAACTGGCATCGATTGCTCGGAATTGAAAGCATGCGAGAGGGTTTAGGTTAGGCCGTTTCAGGGAAGTGGACAGAAATAAACGCTCGCAAAACGGTTATTTGCGAACATTTAAACACAAAGAAGCCAAATGAAAAGCCAGTGATTTGTTTAATTTGTTCCAAAAGTTCACACTCTGGTGTGTCTTGACGTAAATTGCAGTGTATTGTTTATCTTGAACCCGAAGGACGTTATTGTCAGTTTCTTACTATCGCTAATGACGCCAAAGAAATGAGAACGGCAAAAACAGTCGTGATCAATCATGTCTAGCCCAGTTGTAGAATCCCCGAACTTAGTCAAACTTGCTCTCCTGGAATGTGCTTCGCATCGGCATCTCAGAGTCATAGCTACCAGCCTCCTTCTTCATGTGCCGATCAAAGCTCTGCGTCGACATCTGAACCTTCTCGAACCAAGTCCTGTCTAGAACGGGAGCCGCAGGAGGGCTCTGGCCACGAGATCGAGCTGCCTCGGCCTGGTTGGCGTAATCGTGGATGGCGAGACTGGACGCGATCTGGAATGCGCTTCGAATTTGCCGACCATTCCAACATCCAGTTGATCGGGCAAGCTCTTCGTAGTGCTTGGCAGCAAAGTCGATAATCTCGTTCTCTTTAATGATGAGGGCAGGTTCGCCGGTCATGCGGTGGCGCTCGGCCTCGATCTGCTTGAGCTTGCCGATGTTGAGGCGGAAGATGTCGCGTGTTTGGGTCTTGTCCAGAGGAGGGTAGTATAGGGAGAGGTGGATACGAGACTTGAAGGCCTCGTCGATTGTGCCGACTCGGTTGGTAGTCAAGAAGAGAAGCCCGTTGTAGTACTCAAGAACACGGAGGAAGACGGACACAAGAGCGTTGCGCTTCATGTCCTGCTTGGATCGCTGAGTGAGGAACACGTCTGCCTCGTCAAGCAGGAGAACACAGTCCCAGAGATGAGCGAGGCGGAAGACGTTCTTCAGAGAAGACTCGACCTCATGAGGTGTAAGACCGAGATCACCGCAAGTGATGACAAACAGCGGCTTGCGGTTCTCCATAGCGACAGCCTCTGCGGTAGCAGTCTTTCCGACACCAGGAACACCATGCAGAAGCACAACAAGACCACGACCCTTGCCCTGGATCAGATCCTGGCTTGGTCCCTCAGTCGCGGCATCAGCGTACTTGCGCTCAAGAACCTTTCGCTGGAAATGCGACATAACCAGGCCTCGAACGACATCCTTGTAATCGCTCTGAATGCGGAGGTTCTCAAAGACACCAGGCTCGCGTCGCACGGGCTTAAGAACGTTGAGATCAATTGGCAAGAAGCGACGCTCACGGAGAGCATAAGCGAACATGCGCTTAGGAAGAAGAACGAGGTCCTCATCACGAAGCTCCAAGGCCTTGGGGTTGGTCTCAAACGTTCGGCTGCCCTTGACACGAACCCGGAGGAAAGCGTCTACGGCAAGGTTGTCCCTTCGCTGACGGGCCTCGACGCCATCGACATGCTGGATGATCTCGTTCTGGGAGTATGCTAGGTTCTGGCGGGTGCCGTTGAACCAATGTTGGATAGGCATCTCGTCGTCCTTGATCTCGCATCGTGAAGACTTGTTGATCGTGAGTTGATGGAATCGCGGGCGCCAATCAGGCATCTTCTGGTAAGCCTCTGTCAAGTCGACAATGACATCACTCTCGACGAACTCAGGATGTCGCATCTTCTCGTAGTCCTCGTTGTCGAGTATCTCCTCTTCAGGCTCCGTGCGATGGGATGGGGGGTTTCTGGTCAAAGTCCAGGCGCTGTACTGGTGGTGGCGATCATCCAAGTAGTTGATGAACTTGCGGCCCTGGTCTTGCATTGAGCTGAGAAGCTGCTTGTAGTCGTGACGGTATCGAATGGGGAAGGCCTCGAGGGAGTCAATTGATCGCTCTCCAATGAAGGACTCAATCTCAAACTTGCGTCGGACAGCGCCAAAGGTGTTGCCGTCGTGATCAATGTAATAAGCGGAGATCTTGAACTTGGAGTTCTCGTCGATCTGCTGCTCATCTGCGAAGAAGTCCCAGCCAGAGGTGGGATAGGATGTCTCAGGCTCGGGGCTTCGGACCTTGTAGACACGCCAGATCTCGTGGTACCGGCCGCCAGTTTCACCGGATGCAGGCATGTAGATGAGGTCTCCGACGCGGAAGAGGGACCAGAGATCGTCGAACTTGACGCGGTCGGCGGTAGAGCCCTCGAAGCGGTTGTAAAGAGGAAGGACTTCCTTGTCGACAAAGTCAACGTAGCATCGCATGTCGCGAAGTGCCTCGGGACTGTCCATCAAATTGTCGTAGTCTTCATCTGCGTCAGAGTCAACCGACTCAATGCTGGAGGCCTCGGATGTTTGTGAAGCGACATCATCACCATCTTCAGCAGCCTCCTCCTCGTCAACAACCTCTGCCTCAGTCTCTTCAGCGACATCGACAACCTCGGAGCTTTCGCTGCCGATGTCTTCAAAATCAGCCCACTTTTCCTCAAGAGTCGCAAGGATCTCTCGCATCTTGGGCTGGAAGTGCACCAGAGTCTTGAAAGGTCGCATGAATGTTCGGGGAGATGATCGCTTCTCGGTGTCGTTCATCAGAGCTGTCAAGTGGCCCAAGATGGGCTGGGACTGGATACGAATGCGCTGAATCTCGGAGTCGGAAGGCAGTTGGCTATCCTTTTCGCGACGAGCCTTCTCATAGGCATCGGTCTTGCGATGAGGTGTCTCAATAACACCACCACCAGGGTAATACGTGTACTTCTGACGGAGACGAGCCATCTCCTCACGTCGACGCAGACCATGCTCACGACGGATCTGAGCCTGGGTACCAGTACCCGACATCAAAACGTCAATGGCATAGTCAGGCTCATCGATGTCCTGGAATCTGTTCTTGAAGTTCTCAAAGTTGACCTTTCGGACTTCGGGGATCTTGGGGCGCCATTTGGCAGCAGTTCGGCGTCGGTCAGCGAGGATGCGCTCGCGTCGCTCTGCCTCTTGCTTGAGAGCTATGTATTCGAGGTCATTCTCTTTGTGATTGCGTGTGTTGCGCGTGTTGTTTGTATTGTTGCGACGGCCGCCACGCTTGTTGGCCCTTGTTTGTGCAGTACGCGCCATTGTGAATAAAGGAGAAGTGCTTGGAGTTGTGTGAATGAGAATGACGGTGTTGAGACCTGAAGATGAATGTGTCTTATAATAAAATGCACATTGCACAAGCTTCTGGCCTAATCAGGCAGCTCACGCATGCCTGCATGCATTATGATTATCACCGTGAATTCGATACGACGATTGATTGCCAAGATGCCTTGCCGGGCTGAGTCACTTCCCGTGTCGTGCTGCACAGAAACCCCCTGTACTCTCGGTAGGACTACAGGCAGCAATGCCGCTGAGGGTTGTGGCGAAGCGCCCAAGCGTCGCCTGGGTGTCAGAAAAGGACTAAGCGGCGTCCACATAATCTCGCCGCTTAAAGATCCAGGCTTTTTGTCAACCACCATCTCCGCTCATTGGGCCTCCCGCCAGCTCAGTCTCACCTCAGCGATCCCCCGCTAACGAGCCAATGATCCCTGAGATGGCGTTTGAGGATTCACAGCTAGGAGATCCCTCAAGGCAGCAACCGGGGGGCTTAGAATGCGGTGTATCGTGAATACGGCTGCAGGGCCTATCAAGCCGTCGTATGATTGAAGCTCCGGCGGCTTATCGAATGTGATAAACATGCAGTCTTTGCAGGCCGGTTTCACCAGTCTCGAACGAGCAATTTTGTTGTCAAGTCCTACTTCATCGAACGGCACTTCGGTTACCCCAGCTTGCAAGCCCTTGCCCTTGGATCTTTTTCATGTGAGATCTTGGCAATTGCCAATCGAGACATAGCGCATTTACAGTGAAACGTACAGTACACCCATCTTGAAGAGTGATTGTCGCAATATTGTAAGAAACCCTAGCCGGAATGAGGTCCCAATTCTAATGAGCCCGGGCTGGCTGGAAGACGCTTAGAGATAGATAAAATATCTTGGAATTGGTGGAAAAGAACATAGAAACTATTGTGTTTTTATCCAATGTATCATGTCCTACAATCCAAGAAATTGTCCTAATTCGTGGTCGGAAAGTTACTCAAGCGACCGCCATCGACGACTATAACTGTGCCGTTACAATATCCACCCGCTCGAGATGCAAGATATAGGAAAGTTCCCGACATATCCTTCTCATCTCCCATTCTTCGAAGTGGCGCCATTGATGTCGGCACGGCACCAGGCTGTCCTGACTCATCGGTATACATCTTGACAATCGGCTCTGACATTTCGCTGGGGAATACTATTAAACGTTAGAATGCCTCTTTCAGAGTTATACATAGCTTGACTCACATCCAGGAGCAATGCAGTTGGCTCTGATGTTCCACTGAGGAAGGGCAACGGCAAGCTGCTTGGCTGCGAGAACAGCTCCAGCCTTGGACTGTCCGTATGCCCAACCGCCGGGAGCTTTCTTGTTAAAGGCGGCGATAGAGCTTGTAACAATGACTTGTGAAGTCTGCTCGACATTTCCCTTCTCGTTGCCCTTCTTCAGAAGTGGGAGGAAAGCCATGCTGGTGAACCAAACCGAGGCGGTGTTGATGGCGAACGTGTCAACATAGTCACCGAAATCCGTGTCAAAGTTGGACTTGGCCCATTCTTCCAAGGTTGTTTCGGGAGTAAGTGGCTTGACTTGGGGTCCTCCAATGCCAGAGTTGCACACCAACAGGTTGACGTACCCATTGTCCTTCTCAATCTGAGAGACCATGTTCTGCAGATCTGACTTGGAGGTGACGTCGCACTGAACCCCAACGACCTTGTCGCCCAATGAGCTGGTGACTTCATCCAGTTTTTCCTTCCTCCTACCAGCGATGTAGACCTTTGCGGCACCGTTTTGGAGCAACGCCTTGACGAACATGAGGCCGATGCCTGTAAGACCATCAGTTGTATTCCGTGCTTTAGGGGAGTTCACTGACCTGAACCTCCGCCTGTCACGACCGCAACAAGGCCATTGAGGTTGAAGAGTGAGCCAGCGCTGAGTTGTTCCGAAGACATTATCGCTATCTGATCTGAGAATGGATTCTATAGAGAGCAGAGTCGTTAGTCGGGGATCTCAAAAGTTGAGGTAATTCATTGATCATCAAGCCCCGCTTATGAGTCAAGCTGTCATATCGTCGTTATCAATTCAACCCCGCTCTGAACTCAACCAACACCTACAGTATTTTATTATCTCTGCCGCACGCAGTAGTCTGCTCTCATTGAATGTTCTTTCTTTATCTCGGTCTCTAAATCCAATTTATATGAATACTCTCATGGAGTTGGGCCTCCGCCCAGCTTAAAATAGTAGGCATAGCCGCGGCTCGGTTCGGCCGAGAACTCCACTAGATCTTCTGCAGTTCCGAGACTCACTACCGTCTGAAACGTTTGCTTGGAAGGGAAGCATAGTAATAACTGGTTACTCTATAAACCTTTGATTGATGTTATCATGGAAAACTGGGCAGGGCTTAAGCAAGCCAATATCAGTGGCAAAAGCTCGGCGACGTTTGCTGATTGCACCCAAGTACGGTTTACGCGGAAGCTGCGGAACGATACGGCATCCCGGTATCTTAGCTATCAAAAACTTAAATCAACACGTGTAACTGATAGCGAATAATCTATTTGCTACGTCCTGATCCCAGTGGCATGATGCTATCCAAAATCATACGGTTGCCACAAGCGAAGCACTAGGCAAGTCAGAAAAGTCTGAATAACGATGAATCGCACCTTGACTTACATCATACCACGATGTATAAATGTCCAAGGGCAAGCCAGCATGTATTCTTACCATCAATCAACTTAATTCTTTCTTCCAATCCCTACATAGTTTCCGAAAGAGTTGAAACAAACATACCTACCAATGACTGAATCCGCACAAGGACGCCTTCTCACTGATAGCCAGAGCTTGCAAAAGCTCGGGCTAGACAGCTCTCAACCTGCGACCTGGGAAGACGGCCTACGCAGTCCCGGTGTCGAAAGTGGAGAGTGGGAGTGGTGGTATGCCGACGCACATCTCCAAGATGGATGGTTTCTACAAGTGGCCTTCTTCTATATAACAGAAGGAGACGGTCCCAAGACGGGACTCATTGACCTCAACATTGCCAAGGATGGCAAGAAACTATGCGATTTGCATAAGCGCATTGGCACTCTCCCTTCCGAGATTGTAGTGGCAAAGGGCCGTTGTGATCTCCAGTACCGCAAGAGTTACTTCCGCAGTGTCAATGGCCTCAACGAGTATCGCATCTTCGTCGACCCAGATGAGATGGAAGGATTTGGTTTCGACGTGGTGATCAAGAAAACTACTCCATCATATCGGCCGGGCTCAGGTCGATGGGACGTGGAGGGTCGTCACTTCTCATGGTTCGTAGCTGTCCCTGGTGGCCAGCTCACTGGAGAAGTCACGGTCAACGGCACCAAGACCAAGGTCGAAGGCAATACCTACCATGACCACAACTGGGGCAACGTCCCGATGGAAACGATCCTGGATAACTGGCTCTGGGGACGTGCCGATGTTGGCGGGCTCTCTATAGTGTCCGCCTCAGTGCGGTTCCGCCAAGATTGTGGTGGCCGAGAGGTGCCTCTACTCTTCGTTGTCCGCGGGAACGAAGTCCTGCTGGATGTGAGCGACGACCAACTTGTGTGCTTGGAGGGGGTCAAAGTTGCGCAGCCAGACACGGGCAAGCCAACCAGTTCTGACTGTATTTACCTGGTCAAGTCAGCAGGCAACAACCTTGCACAAGTTCGCTTTGACGGACAGCAGAAGGTGATCGCATCTTTCCCTTACCCGACTACGAGTCAGGAGTGGGAGACACGCTATACAAGATATGCCGGGATGGTAACTATAAATATCGCAGACGGAGACAAGCAGGTATACGTCTTTGATCATGGCAGCTTGGAGGTTATGGACTTCTTTGGCCGGAGGAAGACATAAAGGGGTCCCTGGGCAAACCCTTGTTTCATCCTTATCATCAAAACCAATGCTGATGGGTCAACAGACTTATACATCTAGATATGATTAAGAATTAGAAATAACACATCTCATCTTTTCATATCTAATAGCGGGCTTTCATCGCATGAGGTTGATAGTGAAAGCTTATGCACGGCAAACTGCTCTTGACTTTCCTGTTTCCATTGTACAGCCCCTCTGCACGCTAGCTAGACCAGTACATCCATGAGCAGCTCCTAGTTACACATTTTAGCTCTTTCAGGACAATTCTGTAACTGAAGCTCATATAATTGCACCTGGATTCGCTCAGACCAACAGTCATAGCCACGGCTCGGCTCGGCTCGGCCGAGAGTCCGGCAGCCAATTCCGATTCCGAGACTTGATAATGTCGGATCACCAATCTCTTTATAAACCAGAGAAATGCTTCAGTAAAGAGTTCCGGGAGTTTTTTGATGTTTCAATATGTATAGATGAAGAAGATAGCGATGAGTGCAGCATACGAGGCTGCAGGGTGACACAGGCTAGGCCAAGCCCCCTAAGACTGAAGGTGATTGCACAATCACAAATCTGCCTTGGCTGAAGCCTAGGCAGACATGATCAATATACATTAAATAAAAGTGAGGCAGGTTGATATTTCTACCCTAGAAGCCATCAGAGAGACAACTCTTTCAATACTCTGCCAATACCGCCGCGAACCCCAACGTTTCCTGCACGACCAAGGATGCAGGTCGACGATACCATGTCACAAGATAAGAAATTCAAGCATCCGGCCCCGGGACAACAGCCCGGCGATACAAATGAACAAACTGCACAACAAACTTCGGAAGCCGACGTGTTGGCCATGATTGAAAGGATCCGTAACAGGTCGGGCGAAGATATAGCTGCCGAGTCAGAGAGGCTTGCAGTGGAAGCAAAGCGATTTTATGAAGAGCAAATGCACTTTCGGTCACAGAAGCAAAGAGAGCAGCTGATTTACTTTGCGAAACTGGTTCTGCCTGTCGCTTTCATTCTTGGGGCATGGTGCTGGCTCTGGTAGCGAGTCTCGAATTGAAGGCTCTTTGTGGAACCTTCAATTCCGCTATCTGCTTAAACCTCACTGTAGGAGAACCGAGGCGGTGGACACGAGAGGATCGTGAGCCTCGGCTGGCAGATAAAATGGATAATGAGGGAGCCCAAACCTTAGTTGCGCTGATCACGCCATCTCGACCCCGCCCATGCTCAAATGAGGTCATTTTGTCCTCAATCAACTTATTGCCTCAAGAAAGTCTTTCCAAACTTCAGCAGAATAAAGGCCATCCGTGATTATACCCATCAATACGCAGTATCATGAGTGTACTGAACTCAGCTGCGCAAGGGTTCCTGGCCCAGCAGCCAGGAAACGCTAAAATAACGCCCAAAGTCCTGCTTATCGCTATGGTGAGCACAGGTTGAGTCTTGGGATAACATTGGACTAACGACGACTAGTTCTACGAAGAATCAAGGAATTGGCTTTCTCCTGATAGTGCTCTTCAGTTTTCTCGTAAGGTTTGCGTTCCGGGCTTGGCTAGGGGCTATGAGGATATTCATGTCACGGAAACTGGCGAGGTCGCACTTCTGGTTGTAGGGACTGCCCGTAAGGATCCAGCCCCCTTCAAGGATCTTTTCCTGACCACGAGTAGTCATCAACGCATCCTTGTCGATCAGTGCTCTCCTGACGTCGCCACTCTTCGACCTCACAAAGTCATACTTTGTCCTAACCGGTATTGCGGGCGTTAATCCCAAGCGAGCTACTATTGGTTCTGTTGCCTTTGCCAAATTCGCTGTTCAGGTTGATACGCAGCTTGAGTTTGATGCGAGAGAAGTGCCGGAGGAATGGGGATCAGGGTATGTTCCTATGGGAGCAGACATGCCTGACCAGTTCCCTGGTATCGTGCATGGCTCTGAGGTATTCGAGCTTAATGCAAACCTGAGAGACTATGCTCTGTCCGTCGCCAAGACTGTTGAGCTTACAGACTCACCAAAGGCTGCTGAGCATCGAGCTTTGTGGAAGAACTCTCCGGGTAATGTTTTTGACGCGGCGGCTCGAGATCCAACTGTTCTTGAGGGAGATGTTCTGTCATCCAACACCTTCTGGCATGGTCATAGAATCTCTGAAGCTATGGAGAAGGTTGCAAGAGTCTATACTTCGGGACAGGGGGAGTACACGATGACAGCCCAGGAGGATAATGCCCTGCTGGCTGGCCTTTTAAACGCAGCACTTCAAGGGAAGGTTGACTTTTCACGAATCCTCTTGATTCGATCTGCTTCTAACTTCGACCGAGGGCATGAGGATAAGCCCCATCAACTTCCTTTTGTTATGGACAAAGGTGGTTTGGGGCCATCTACTCGCAACCTTTATCTTACTGCTCTCAAGGTTATCCAGGGGATCCTCCAGGAGTGGTCCACCAGATTCGAGGCTGGTCTTCCTGCTCAGAATTATATCGGTGATATCTTTGGCTCACTTGGTGGAACGCCAGGTTTTGGTGATAAGCAAAATGTTGAGCAGATAAGATCCCATTAAACATGGCTACAGACTTGCGTACAGTCTTCATAGATTTCAATGTAACTACATAGACTTGAGATGGCCACTTAACGCTGGAGGCCGAATAGATATACAAACGGGGATATGAATGACAATCTCATCACAAATTTCTCAGACTTATTTCAAGCGATCTACAATCATTTGCGCCTAGCTAATTCAATCAAAGATTTTACATCTCTCGAAGCAAGCAAGATTTCAGTCTGGCTACAAGCCTATGTGAGATGGTTTAAGGCAACGTCCCAGCCTGAAGTTTTTGCTATGAACTCAAATAGGGGGACAGATTCATCCCACGGAGCAAGCAGCAATTCTCTGGCCAGCACAATTGATTCTGGTCACAGTTTTGGTGCCTCTATTTGGGATGGGAAAAAAGCCCGACACGTAGATAGTAACAGATAGAGTTTCGGACCGCCCTCAACAGACCAAGTGTGCGAGGGGTTATATATTTTCGTATTCTGCTATTGAAGGTGAGAGAGTAGAGGACTGTTGATTGGGTGCCGTTTTAGTCGTAGTCCGACTTAGAGGGCGAAGCGTCGAGCCGCGGAGATGCGCTATTCTCATGATGATATGATACATATGATCTGACTGAAAGGCATTCCACTTCACAAGACGTGTGGTCTTGCTTCTCCCAAAGCCGAGAAATGTCCTAGTTTTCCCCTTTTTGAGTTGAAAATCTGCTAGCTTAGCCCTAACTGCCGCCAAATTCGAATATTGCTTCTTGGGCGTCACCGTCGTTGTTTCAGCAATGTGATCAAATCAAGGACATACATTAAGCAATGCATAAGTCCCAACTCATTTATGAAGGTTAGGTTTTGTAGGGAATTAAGTCCTTGGAAGCTGGCTCAGCTTTGACACATGCAAGTTGACGTGGTTAGGTGACCATTTCGGGCTCACCGGTGATCAGGGTTGTGGAATCGAGGTCAACCACTAAGCCATGTCCGTCCCATCATGTGTCAGTAACAGCTGTCATATTACCAAGCACTCAAATATAGATCTCCGCGCTCTAGTGCCATTTTCTAAGCCTTACCATGACCTAGTAATCGCAGTATAAAGTTCGACCCGGTCTGCTTTCTGCTAGGGTTTGGATAATTTGAACCAACAATTATTCAATATTTACAACTACTTCCGCTTTATCATATTGCGCTATGTCTCGCATGGTGACTACATGCTGGAACCTTGCTCCAGTAACCTGTCAACTCTTTCCTGTTGTCAGCAGAGCTGCTGTTTCTACTGCTTTCATAAGAAACCTCTCACTTCCAGCTAAGGGGGCTCCGGTGATCGGCGCCAGATCATTTTCGTCGGACCCTAGGTTCAAACGTCGGGCCAATCATTCTCGTCTTACCCCAGCACTAGCTGTATCCGCAGGACTTGCCCTCGGCTACTATCTTTACCAAAGAGGTCCCCAGCCAGTAAAGCTGAGCCTAGTGCCGGAGAAGCCAGAGAAACCAAAATGTGCTCATTGCGTGGACAACAAGCCAGAGGTGATCCAAGAGAAGCCGGTTGGATGCTGTGAGGACGAACAAACCACTACGTACCAGGAGAAGCCTCTTTCATGCTGCGTCGATGATGAGGTAAGTTGCGTCACTGACTTAGGCTTGGGTATAGCTGACCCTCCAAGGCATCCATAGCCATGGTCCCTGCTATTGGCGGAGATCATAAGCACAAGATCTTCGAGACAGTTGACGACGAGACATTGCTCATCTCAAGGCTCCCCAAAGAAGACGCGATTCTAACAACGGCGCCAAATGTCCCTCCTTCCATCACAAGAGATCATCCAGCTCTTGTCAAGGTTCCGCTAGTGACTACGACTAAGCTGGCTCAGCTGACTAGCCAGTATAAATACGAACAGTGGACTTTCAACGGCACTGTCCCTGGCCCTTTCATCCGGGCCAAAGTCGGAGATGTCATTGAGCTGAGCCTCACAAATAAAGACCCCGCAGGTAATCCTCACAACATCGACTGCCACGCATTCACTGGCCCTGGTGGTGGTGCCGCTGTTACTACCGCTGAAGAGGGTGAAACCAAGGTCGGTCGCTTCAAGCTCCTTTACCCCGGTCTCTACGTGTATCATTGTGCCGCTGCCCCTGTTCCCGTTCACATTGCCAACGGCATGTACGGCCTCATGTACGTGCAGCCGGAAGGTAATGACCTACCGCCCGTGGACAAGGAGTATTATGTTATGCAGAGCGAGTTCTACCACGAACCACCAGAGGTTGATGATGACGGTCGACGATCCGAAATTGTCGAGTTCTCGTATCCCAATGGTCTTCGTGAAGAACCTCAAGTCGTTGCCTTTAATGGTAGCGAGTCAGCCTTGACAAGAGATCATCCTCTCAAGGCTCATGTCGGTGACGACGTGAGAATCTTCTTTGGAAATGCTGGACCGAACCTTACTAGTTCATTCCACATCATCGGCACGCACTTCAAGAATGTTTACCGAGATGGCGGCGTGACCAGCAACCCATCAAAGGGCATTCAGACCGTTTCTGTTCCTTGTGGTGGGTCAACTATCGTCGACTTGAAGATGGCTGTCCCAGGGACGTATACACTAGTTGACCATTCCATTTTCCGCTTGGACAAAGGTGCAGTGGGTTTTCTGAATGTTTCTGGTCCGCAAAATCCCGGGGTGTATCAGAGTTCTCAACCGCCAAGGCCTTGCGTGGGCTGCAAATTGCACTCCTGATCAGATCATGGAGTCTTTTTGAAATGGAGCTAGCAGGCACGAGGAGTGGCTGAATGGCTATGGGTTTAGCATCTCCGGCCTACGGTGTGACGACCTGATCCGCCTTCAGGCAGTTTCTTCGGTTATAGTCTGATTGGGGGTTCAGTTTGTTGTGGGGGCACGATATCCAGAAGATATTCAAGCGAGTGTTGTGAATGACTTTTGATGTTTAGCGCGGTGAATGTCATGTCATGGATTTGACGACTCAAACGGTTTCGATTTCTAACATATATAGGGGAGGTTATTTAATGCATCTGGTGAGATGGAATGGTCAAACTGAAGTATCAGAAGAATTTCCAGATATCTTGAAAGCCAAGGAAAATATTGAATCAAAGAATTTCGTTTTCTCATGAGGGTCAGACTTTTACCACTTGGTCTTGTATCCGTTGCAATCCCAATAGCAGAGAAGACAACGATACCTGACAGGGCACTCATTAGATGTCTTTTAGTGACTTCTACTTCGTGATTTTGCCAGTCAGAAGCTTTGTTGACATGAGGGAAGGGCTCATCAGGAACTTCCTAGTCCGGGAACTCGCACAAAGGTTCCCATCCTTCCTCGACAGCCCATTCGAGAATCTTTGCTTTCGGAACGAGACCACGGATCATGTTGCAGTGTTCTGGGTTTTTTTTAGTAAAGCGGAGGATGGTAGAGCATGCTTAAAAAAAAAGCACTGTCTGTTATACAGTCACTCTCGTTAAGCATAGGCAGCGATAGACCAATACATTTCTCATGATATCCCTCTCCATATTCGCATAGTCCTGAGCGATGTCAGGGTCGTCCAAGAACCGGCTTTTGTGGTTACTGGAGACAGCGAGTAATCAGTAAAGAAAGAGAGGACATCTCAGAGCTCGTCGAAGAGCTTCGTTGGTGAAGTCAAGATCTGTGACTTCGAACTAAATAGCCACGATTAAAGATGAAAAGAGAAGCCTAGCGAGGCCAACTTGTGTTCTTACCCATGGTTTCGCGATAATTGTTTGTCTTGAATTGCAGTAAGAGCTCGGCTGCTCGGCGGTCAATGGCTTTACCGATCGGACAATCAAGATAGAGGGAACCAGGCGGCTTCACTATGGAAGGCGGTGTGATGCAGTCTCCGCTGGGCAGGGTAGGCTAGTTGAGTCACCTATTAGAGACTTTGCCAGAATGGCTACGATATCTAACGTCAAGCCTATACTTACATTTTTAATGACGTTCCTGACATGCTTGGCTGTGAGTTACGTCAGTTCAGCCCATACCCGAGGAATGCTACAGAGGATACAGCGTACTGGGCTGTGTGCTGCGACCTTCGGCCCATGTTACCGTCTCAATTGCTTGGGGAGTTTTGGGTGATAGCCTATAGGAAAGCCACGTTTATATGAGCAGAACTGGGAAAATATGCTCGAGAACTGAAGACCCCATAAAGCAAAATCTGGTCGAGGGGACTTTATGTCGCTGCCTACTTATGCTAGGTACGCTAAAGGGCGGGGTGCAGAAGTGCTGAACTGCCTCTTTGGGTGTTTCTGCCCGAGCTTCTTTGACAGTTTGTCTAATGCTGTACCTTTCACTGCGCCGCAAAGCATAATTTGACAACATCAGAGATTTATCTCATTCTTGATACCCCAAAGAGGTAATTTCGATCGAATATATGGCATTGGTTGACTTGCAACCACACTCTAATGGATGCGTAGACCAGAATTACTCACATAAGTAATTCTGTCCGAGGTTGTCTCTTATACATATCGTCTAACTATAAATGCCATGCATCTATTGCAAAAGGTGCAATCGGCGCATCCAACCATCTAAAGATCTCTTATCCTGTTCTGGTTACCAATAAACGTAGCAGGGATGGCGTTCCTTGCCCTTCTTGCTTCAGTAGCGTTCCTTGTCTTGAGGCCTCTTAGTCACTATCTTCTTGATCCTCTTGACCTGAGACAACACCCAGCCCCCAAATTTCTGGCAGCAACAACTCAATTCTAGACCCTGGAGGAGACATGGCTTCAACAGCAGTCAAAAAGCATCCATCGTCAGCATGAAAAGCTTGGTAATGTTACCCGAATTGCGCCTCGTCTCGTCATCTTCACCCAGAAGCTGTACTTGACATGTATGGCGATGCTGCAGCTCGAAAGCTTGCGAAAGACACATTTTTTCACAAGATTGCTGGCAAAGAGCGCGATATCGTCAACTTCATTGATCATGGTGATCATTTTCAACAAAAGAAGTAACTTTCCAACTCATTCGCTCTCAAAAGAGTTAGGGACGTGGAACCTGTCACCAGACAGAATTTCCAGAGATTACTTGACTACCTAGATAAACTCGAGGGCTTTCATTCGAAAGACTTTTATCTGAAAACATCGTTTCCATAAATGCTAATAGCGGCATATGCTTTTTACTCTCGGATCCAAAATGCTTCGAGAAGCTACGAGCCGAGATCGACGCCAGACTAGAACCGAGACATGATGGAATTGTCTCATACGGTCCCGCTAAAGACCTTCCGTATCTGAGAGCATGTATTGACGACTCATTGAGGCTTCGTCCCCTAATTGCCTACGCTCTGCAACGTCCCGTGGTCTGTCCCCAAGGCGCAATAGTAGCGGGCCATCACATCAAGCAAGGGACGACTGTTGAAGTTTCACCATGTACTATTCGCCGGAACAGGAAACTGTATAAGAACCCTGATGGATTCGATCCTGAACGCTGGTTTGACCCAGAGCAATTGTCCAATCCTGAAGGTACTACATCGTGTTTAGTCAGGGTCCGTTTCAATGCCTTGGCAGGCATATTGCGATTGCTGAATTGCAGATATTGATTTCAACCCTGGTACGGAGATACAAAATGTACTTGGCGGACCAAGAGATGGACTTCGTCATCTTTGATCGATTCAACTCGAACCCTGGACCACTTCCTATCAAGGTGCAGCGGCGGGTATTTGTGGACTAGCCAGGTTTGGGTATTGTAATGGGAGGGAGAGATGTATGCATGGCTGTAGGAGAGGAAGAGGCATCCAATGCATCAGTACTGTCTTTATAGGATATCTGTAGTCTGTAGATAAACTCAATCGTGAGAGACTGGGAAATCCCCTCGTTGACCAGATGAGATCGGCATCGACGCTATCCCAATCGGTTTCGTGCGCTATCTTGAGTCACACTTCACAGGTAGGTCAAAGCGGTGAATGCCAAGTTGCGCCAACGACTCCCGGCCCGACGATCTCTCTCGTATTGTCCTCACATATACCCGATTTAAGAAGCTCGCTGGAAGCCAAGACCATAGTCAAGCTTATCTGACACTCCAATTAAAGTCCCTATCGCCAGTACTTTATTTGCACCTCCGTGGTCGACATCGCACTAGTCATCAATACCGAGATAGTGATGGGGTTTTAGGCCTTGATTCGCGGAATCAGTGATACCCCTGTCTGCTAGCTGAGCGCTAAGCCAAGTATCTCGCATGCATAAACTAAGCATATTCTCTAGTGCAAACATAAGAACCTTGGGATATTCCCGTATGGGTAACGTGTCCGAATCACGCGAGGTCATTAGAAAGAGGATTAGGTCAAGGGATACCAGGGTCACACGAGGCCTCTACTGCCGATCAACTCGACACTATCTCGCATTCATCCCATCATATTGCGCTATATTGCTCCCTTTGCCGGATCGACACTATGTTTATCCCTAACAAGAGGGTTCATCCCCCCCAAGGGAGGCGGCGCACCTTTCCCTTTGTGAGGAGCGGACCCGAACGAGATAGCGGTCATGGCAGAGCAAATGGCGGGGGAGGCCGATGTTCGTTAGGAGAAAAGGTACGGGAAGGATCAAGCAGGTCCAAGCATTCGAGGTGATAAGAAATTGATGACAGCATATAACCCCGCGGCTGCACCTGAACCCCAGCATTGGCAGCTTCCATGCCCTGGCATACCGTTGGACCCTTGAACGCAAACATCTTTGCAACGTCTATGAGCAATTTTCGTCTTGATGACTCGTTCTAAACAGCAATAGCATCTTCAGAGTTAGATTTATGGACCTTGATACCCAACTCCAATCATCAGCGACATAATCAAGGAGGAGCATAGTCTTGCAAGGTGGCTAGCCAAGATATTTCGAGGCTAACTCCGCTACAAGTCTGTCTTGGCAGTGGCACTTTTGCTTGATACTATTCATCCACTATCACTTTCCTTAATTGGACGCCTCGGCCGCCGTGACGATTTAGGAAGCTGAATAGTCTCTATCCAAACTCAACGCTATCACGCAAGACTTGGTGTTGATGATATGAATGATTGGATCTAATTGTATTATCAATCATTAAGGTTTATTCATGCTGATCTCTGTATAAATACACTTAACGATCACCATGATATTCAGTTTTGCTATCCTCATCCTCACAACTCATCTCCTCTTGTATCTCTCTGTTCATCATGACTAGCTTCCGCCGCCTCGCTCTGGCTCTTGGAGCTCTGCTCCCCGCAGTCCTCGCTGCTCCTGCCGACATCCTCTCCAAGCGGCAGGCTGTTCCCGACAAGTACATCATCACCCTCAAGCCTGATGCCTCCGACTCCTCAGTTGCAGCTCACTTGAACTGGGTTGGCGATGTCCACCGCCGCAGCCTCAACAAGCGCGACACTTCTGGTGTTGAGAAGACTTTCAACATCAGCAGCTGGAGCGCTTACTCTGGCGAGTTCGACAAGACCACCATTGCTGAGATCAAGAAGAGCCCTGAAGTTTGTTTAAACATCCAGTCTTAGTCATTCAATCGCTAACATGCTATAGGTTGCTTTCGTTGAGCCTGACTACACTATGTACCTCAGCTACGAGGAGTCTGAGCCCGAGCTTGCTGACCGTGCTCTGACCACTCAGTCTGGTGCCCCATGGGGTCTCGGCACGATCTCTCACCGAACCTCCGGCTCTACCAGCTACATCTACGACACCACTGCCGGACAAGGCTCTTACGCCTATGTCGTTGACAGCGGTGTCCAGGTCAGCCACACCAACTTCGGTGGCCGTGCTTCTCTTGGTTACAACGCTGTCGGTGGTGCTCACGAGGATACCCTCGGTCACGGTACTCACGTCGCCGGTACTATCGCTGGTTCTACCTACGGTGTTGCCAAGCGGGTAAGTCAAATATCATACAATCTTGCCATTCAAAGACTGAACAGCTTTCCAGGCCAACGTCATCTCTGTCAAGGTCTTCGCTGGCCGTGAGGGAACTACCTCCACTATTCTTGCTGGCTTCAACTGGGCTGTTAACGACATCACTTCCAAGAGCCGTGCTGGTCGCTCTGTCATCAACCTGTCTCTCGGCGGTCCCGCTTCTCAGACTTGGACCTCTGCCATTAACGCTGCTTACAACGCCGGTGTCCTCTCTGTTGTTGCTGCCGGTAACGGTGACAGCAATGGTCGACCTCTTCCGGTCTCTGGCCAGTCTCCTGCCAACGCTCCTAACGCTCTGACCGTTGCTGCCATCGACTCCAGCTGGCGCCCTGCCTCTTTCACCAACTACGGTGCTGGTGTCGACGTTTTCGGCCCTGGTGTCAACATCCTCTCTACCTGGATCGGCTCCAACTCTGCTACCAACACCATCAGCGGTACCTCCATGGCCTGCCCTCACGTTGCCGGTCTTGCTCTGTACCTCCAGGTTCTTGAGGGTCTCTCCACCCCCGCCTCCGTTACCAACCGTATTAAGTCTCTTGCCACTACTGGCAGAATCACTGGTACTCTTAGCGGTTCTCCTAACAGTGTTGCCTACAACGGTAACGGTGCTTAAACACTATGAGATCATTATAGAGGACGTGGATAGATATATCAATAGTGTAAAATCAATACTACCGATATGTTAAATTTGACTCTTAGAGGACCCTCTTGAACATGCATAAAGTCTGACCCAGTCTTTTTATCATAAACTTAGGTCAAGTTATGACTAGTCTAAACTCACTATCAGGCAGGTTTATAATAACATACTCTAATATACGCAACTCTATACTTATTACTTAGAGTCTAGAAAGCTCCCCTCAACTCAGATTAATAAAATAGAAATCACCATTATTAATACATAAAGATTAAGAGAAAGAAAGTTGTCAATTTGTAAGTTAAGGCTCGTACTAGCGATACATGATAATTTGGGATTTTAGGGAATAGGTTTAGCGACCGCCCACAGCAGGGAGACCAGGGGCCCCAACAGGAGGGCAGGTGTGAAGAGTGTAACACTCGTCGGTCTTGCCAATAACACATCGCTTGCCGTCGAAGATAGTGCCTTCGCCACACTCAGGAACTTTAGTGGAGATGCATTGACCTTTTCTTACGAGACGGGCGTTCTGGCGCTCCCCAGGCCGTTCTGATACGAGGGAGAATCGTGATTTGATGCCAATGTTGGGACTTTGACAATGATACCGGGGAGTCGGAGCGGGCGAACATGAGCTCATGCATGGGTTATCACAAACATTGTCTCGCTTTCGGCTGCCAAAAAGCTTACCTCCTGTCCCTGCCGAAATCACAATTTCTTCTTCGGGGAGCTTTACAGCCTCTTCTCCCTCCATGGACTTGCTTTTGGGTAATGATAGTCGTATTGCTAGAAAATGTGTCAACTGCACGGCCTTCAGCTGAATGGCTTGGACGATTCCTTGCCGCTGGGTGACTTTTGCCTCACTAACGCTGCCGCAACGCTCAGATATAGATTGAGGCCTCCCTTTAGTATGTCTTAAGGTTTGGATTTGCAGACGATCAGCACCGAGCTCGGAACGGGCCATCGGGCCTGCTGGCGGAAGGGATTTCCCCTGAGACAGGCCATACCTAACTTGTAGAAGAGGCCGTTTTTCCAAAGTTAATCTCTGAGGTCTTCGTAGATCATATATTTCCTTTGATCCAATAGTATTCCTTATGTTGTTTCCCGATTTTCTCTTTTGCCGCTGCCATCAAACTTAGTCCGGCTGCTTCTGAACGTGTCCGTCTTTGCATAAGAGCGGCCTCAGCTCAAATGCTTGTACAGGGATCTTTTCAGACACTACATAGCTTAAATCTCTTCGGATTGGCCAACTTGCGAGATCCTCTACATCCAAGTCTGTCCAAACGAGAGGGCTGAGACTGACTTTGTTGATTTCGTCACCATCACCAACCTTCGTGTGCATCTACATGAGGAATGTGCCCGCATCTCGCTATGCTTTTGCAACGAACAGGCATGTGGCGCAGGCCAATGGAGCTGTCAGACGAACAGAGCGTCCCGTGTTTTTACTATCTCATTTGAGATGGGATTTTCAGTTCTGTCTCAGATTGACGTCGGTATTTACAGGGCAAATACCGACGGAACCCCTCCTATGGACTCCTGTCGCAATTGCCTTGGAATATGTTCATTTCGGCAGGCTTTCTAAGAGTCTTCAGCCAGCCATCTTCCATGAGGAGATTCCTTGTTGGTAAATATTGAGACATGACTGGTCTTGAAGCACTTGAGACACTTGTAAGCGCTAGTAAATGACGATTAAATGTCTAAGAAAGAGGAAATTGAGAGGACGTCAGCTCAGTAAACGCCATGATACGATGGAGATGATCATAGCGTGCTTGAATTAAGTGAAGTTCGAAAGTGTCGGTGTATGATGAATAGCTGCGTATAAAGTATGGCATTGAGAACGCTTTAAAAAAACCTCTTCATCTAAACCTCAGGACTCATCTCACCACAGCACTCAAACGTTTTCAAACTTTTCTTGACTTCAATCAACTTCCAAAGCCAATCATGGTCTACTACGCTTTCCTCAAATATGTACGTCTCTAGTCTTCAGCAGTCATTAGGGGACCATCATGCTGGCCTTTTCTTAGCAACCTTCCGAGCCCAACTATCGCTACCTTCTTACAGCTCCTGATGCTGAGACCATCGACGAGTGGTGGCGAGAGGCCTCTACCAAGTTCCCAGAGAATGTCAAGCGTCTCGGCCCTGATTTCTACTCTTGGGGTAGCGGCGCTCAGGCTTGGGATCTGGCTCCATCATTCTTAAACAAGATCATATACACTTTGCTAAATGATCGAGATGGTCGTATCATTTCCAACTTCAGCCAGCCTCAAAGAGTCAGCGTCCTCAGTGGTGATTCGTAAGTTCCTTCAAGGCATTATTCTGAACTCTTGTGTCTAATGTACTGGAGCTACTACATTCGCTCCAAGACTAACCCTGAGCTATACTGGCTTGAAAAGGGTGATTTGATCTATGCGACCAAGCAGGGCCGCACTCGCTTCACCTTCCGCCTAGACGGAGACCGTGACAATGACAGAAACAGAACCGTCATCATCGGCAAGGACTACATCTCAGTTAGCGCAGTTGGGGGCTCTGCTCAGAAGTATGTCAGCGTCAACGACAATGGCGAGGTCGTCCTGAGTGGACACAGCTGCCGCATGTACTACAGTGACTTCAAGAACATGTATCTTGCCCAGGGAGAGATGGATAACCTTGGAAATGTTTCTCTTCTGAAGTCTGATGGCTTTGGTGAGGAGTGGGAGCTCGTCAAATAGATAAAAGCTAGGGTCTGATGGCCGGCATAATGTCTAATTTGTGAGCTAGATGTGTTATTTGCAGTTGAGACTTGTGGCTGAGAGCTTAAACGGACAGAACTTAGATAGCTATTTCACATCCGAAAATGGCGTCGGAGAAGCAATAAACATTTCATTTGTAGTCATAGATCATTTGCTTCCGACTTCAAGCTTGCTATCATTAATGGCCAAAACTGCTTATCTTTGCACCTGCAACATGTTGGCGAACGATTGCTGTAATTCACAGGCGTCTCCCGAGGTGATTGATCAGGTTGTAAGCACTAATGCAGTTACTGTACAGTAGCAATCACACGGCCAGTTCTATTGGTTAAGAGGCAGGTAAGCCCCATTGATCAGCGTGCTACTGTACAGTAGCAACAGCTTACGTCGACAGGTGAGTATCTCATTCAAGGCTGTGTCCGAGTAATCAATATATGGACGTCTAGGTATTTGAGGGCCTTCATTTCGGAAACATTGGAATACTCCCTCTTCCCTGCACTCCTCGTTGATGGTACAGGTCCAGCTCATTCAGCATCCTTTGTTTCGTATCAATCGCTTTACTGTTCTACCCCTCATCCCACTTAGTCAAAATGTCCGTCGCCCGATCTGAGCTCAAGTTTCGCGCTCCTCCGTCAATGCAATTGAGTGACGGCTCGATAAAGTCCAGGACATCTCCCCCAGATCATGTTCAGTCTACAATCACATCTCTGGATCGAGCCCGAGCTCGATTCGCGGTGACGGGCAATGCCATTGTGACTGGGGGCGCTGGCGATATCGGGTCTGTCGCCTGTCGGGCTCTGCTTGAACACGGACTCCAGGGACTAGCTATATTTGACCTACATTCTGATTCAGGGCCAATTACAGTCACCCGACTTCAAAATGACTTTCCGGAGGCGAAGATCACATTTACCAAGGTTGATGTGACAGATCCCGAGTCCGTTGAGGCCGCCGTTGCCACCGCGGAGCAGACCATTGGTCCCATCAATATCTGCCTCTGCTTTGCAGGCATCGCCTTTGCTGCCCATGCTTTGGACATTACTCCACAGCAATTCAAAACCATGTTCGATGTCAATACCACGGGCTCATTTCTGGTAGCACAAGCTGTTGCAAAGCGTATCGCAGGCGAAGGAACTGGTGGCTCAATCATCCTGATGGCGAGCATATCTGCCCACATAGTCAACTTCCCTCAACCTCAAGTCCATTATAACGCTGCTAAGGCGGCTGTTATCTCCATGAAAAGCTCACTCGCCGCAGAGTGGGCGGTACACGGTATCCGTGTCAATAGTATCAGTCCTGGGTACATGGATACTATCCTAAATGAGGGGGACGGTTTGGCCGAGCATAGAGCTATCTGGGCAAAGAGAACTCCATATGGCCGGATGGGAAATCCGGAGGAGCTCACAGGTGCTGTTGTCTTGCTCGCAAGCAAAGCAGGTAGTTACATCACGGGCGCAGACATCCTTGTAGACGGTGGGATCAGTGTCTTCTAGAGATTCCTGAGAAAGGACTCCGTATTAGTAGTACACTCTAGTCCAAAACTGCTACCAAGGCAATTTGATTACTCTGAACCCTTCAAATAATGAGGACTAGGCAAACCTTCTCAATATACCAGTCATCCATTAATAATCCGCCTGATGATGATCGTTCAAAACTTCCATCGCGTACATCTCGAGAGAAGCGCTATTGCATTTCACACAGAGGCAATAACGAAACACTGGTGATTTAATTCTTCTTTTCAAATTCATACCAGATATGACAAAACGAAACACCAATAGCATTATGCCATGGCTGTACGGTCGCCACGCGCACGAGGTAACTGGACAGTCTGCAGTACTTGGAATGGCTGGGTAGTGGACATTACCTCCCATTTCACAGCATTGGTTGAACCTCCGAGGGTGTAAGGAACTGTACAGTCCGTGCATTAGTGCCTCGCCCATTACTCACCGCGACGTCTTCCACTGTCTTGTCCATAAGGATTTTCATTATCTTTCAGGGGGCTCATTCAACTATAAATGAGGCGATCCCTTTTATTATTCTTGTTCTACAGATTCTTCGGGTCAATTTCTCACCTACATCCTCTGTTCTCTCAACACAGCAGACATTCAGCATGAGTAAAGTCACCTGGCTTGACAAGCTCCAGGAGCAAGGTTCGGCAACCCATCCTCTTCTCCGTCACCATTGGTCGTACTGAATTACTCGATAGTCAATATCGACATTGACTGCATGGATCCAGCAGAGGCAAAGAGATTCCTGCCTTTCAAGCCACATGATCAAACGAGCAATCAGCGCTTGGTCTACGAGCAAATAATCTCTCCTGAGAACCGCGGATTATTCTTGAAAACTGTCGAAGAAGGTAAAGATGAAGGATGGGAGATAATTCTTGATCGCATGGTAAGCCACTTGATCTATTTTTGTAGTACCCGCTCATTCACATCATCATCTGCAGAGTGCTCTGCTGTGCGCCAAAAATATAGACAACATCCAGGGCCGTGTCTTGCTTCAGACCTCAGCTTTCCACGCGTACGACACAGGAAAGGTTGTGTCCCAGGCCCGATCCTATGCACGTGAGTTCGAGAAGCTTGGTATCTCGAAGGATCGGATTTGTATCAAGATTCCGTGCACAGGTCCTGCTCTCAATGCCAGTCCGATTCTACTCAAAGAAGGGATCCGCACGCTGGGAACTTCTCTATTTTCTGTTGCTCAAGCCATCGCTGCTAGCCAGGCAAAGACGTTGTCCATTAGCCCCTACTACAACTGTGAGATCCCTCCTCATTTGTGTGCCTCTTTCGGTATGCTCACATCCTCATAGTTCCTTGGTATCATACCGACCGAGAGCAGTGGCCCAATACTAAAGACCCGGCTCTCGAACATCCTATGTCACCCAGGATCGTACAAATCCAGCACATCTACAAACGCCTTCGAGAAGAGACTGGTGAGGCGCAACCACAGCTCAAACCAGCAAGGTAGGTAACAAAATTCTAGAGGGTGAGAAGTCTTGACGCTGACCTTGCTTTCCAGCTTCATATCCGCTCGTGAGGCAATGGCCGTAGCTGAGCTCGGCTGTGATCATGCCACTATTCCTGAGGATATACTCCTCCAACTTTCGCTCCTGGATGCTGAAGCTAGCCCTCCACCTGGCAGTGATACTCACAGGAAGATCGGTACCCCGTCACAGCGACTTGCTCATCTGGCAAAAGTTGATCCCCTTGCCGGGCCTGACTGGTCTGGACTTCCAGCACTCGATATCGACTATCTGGCAGATAACGGGGCCGCACTGACCGAAGCCATCACTGCTGACACTGTTACCAAGAGGGGGCTTGACCAAGCTCTGGAGGCATTTAAGGCCAACGAGCTGCAGAGTCGAGAAGCAATCGAAGAAGCCTTAAAGCAGTTCTGAGGATCATTATTTCGTATTTCCATCCGAACCAATAATAAACTCTCATTAAATACCACTCTGTATCTCATTATCCTCTACATTATTCAGAAAAAAAGATGATGAAACATCACTTCCACTGAGACCACCAACCCAAGCCGAACCCTCATCAACGACTCCCTGTGTCCAGAAACCCTCCATCAAAGGATCACCCACATACGAGTGACTGAGACCCAGAAGATCTGGGAATGGAAAACTGGGCTCGGCCGCTGTATTTAGGCACAAGCTGAAGTTCACTTGTGGTTCCTGGTATGCTGAGACTGTTGCAGATCCGGGAGTAGATTCTAGGCTGCTTTGGGTGTTGTCGGGTGTAATATTGACATTTGTTTGCAGGCCTGGGGGTGCATAAGAATTATCGGTCGAGAACCCCACTTCACGTGTTGTCTCATGCTGGACCTGGGAGTATTCTCCTGCCCAGTTATCTCCAAAACCTGCAGGGAAGGTCCCAAAGACGTGGTTCTTTGTTTCAGCTAGTTGGGCCATAGCTTGGGTCATGGGCTTGGCCTGGGCTTGAGGCATAGATGGTCCTCCAATTTGAGCGCGCAGAGCATTTACCTCAGCGACAAGCTGATGGTTCTGGTCGACGACTTCTTGCATGTCACTGGCTGCCGCTATTGAAAGTTCGCGCTGTTGTCGCACATGCTCTATGCTCTTGTTTACAATGAGAACCTTTGTCAGTCGCCGAGTATTGGCAAGGTCGGGCAGCAGGCGCGCCAGTTCCTAATCAAGTGCCACAATAAGGTTACTTGATGATATTTTGAAATCTTCATTATAGGTGGTCTCACCAGAAAATCTTCTTTTAGTTCCCCTCGGCGTTGTTTCTCGATAGCCAGGTTCCTAGCTGTGACATCGGGCGGCAATGGCCGAGGTCGATTCTTCCGCTTGGGGCGTGAAGTTTTCGTAATACCAGCATTAGACATCGTACGATTCATTTGTAAAGTATTTAGTAATGAGCAAAGGTTGCAAAAGCGCCGTGGTTTCGAAGTAATTGTGAGCGAGATTGCGAGGGATCTGTCTGGCATTACATCACCGAATACGCTATCGACGTGGTGGGAAGGTCGATCAGATCGGCCCGTATCAGCACCGAATGCGACATTTAATTGGCCGGGAAAGTTACTGAGTGTGCGTTTACTGTACAGTAAACATGTGGCACAGGAGGCCTATGATTATAATGAGGCTGGGAGGTTGGAAGGATGGATAGCATAATTCATGCGTCTCTCACAAATTATTTACTGATTTATGGTTGTTTTATCCTTATTGATATTTCTGTGACTTCTCTGATTCTCTGAAGGTATCATAGCTTGCCCTCTGATCAATTATCGTCAAGTCCAGCAAGAAAATCAGCCGATGGCACAAAGAATGTCGAGCCTGTAACGGCCTTGGAATAGTTGAGAATTCGATCATGCATCCCAGGTGGAACACCGACAAACATTCGCTCAAGCATTTTCTCGATAACCCAGAGTTTCTTTGAGTACCCGATAAAATATGTGCCAAACTCACCCTGGGCCGGGGATCCGAAGGGCATATTATCACGTAGAATATCATGCTC